TTTTTGTCTGGCTGAAAAATCTGAATGACCGCAAGATGTTAGAAAAGATACAAAAAACACTTTGCTGCCCACTTGTGGTTGCTCAAATATGTTTTCCCAAAGTCCCTGAAATCAGTGTACCATGCAGGAACAGATGGAAGTGGGACCCACTTCACTGGAGAAAGAACCATCAGCCATACTTCTTTTATTTCTTGAACCAAACAGGTAATGACAGAATTTGCACAACACATGACATCACAGTGTGCTTTTTTGTGTGTGCTTAGCTTGTTATATCAAGTCATTATGTAAACCACAATGTATGGCTTAGTAAGAAGTTCAAACCTAGCTAACTGGAATTTATTTAATAACGTATGACTTAGTATGATATATGAACTATTGTATGTGATGTAGAGATTAGAGTGTCAGTCTAGGAATAGGTAACAGGAGGTTTTCAATACTTTTTTTCTCAGCTATGAAGCTCATTTAGTGATTTTGGGCCAACTATCATCTCTCTACCTAGCTCAAAAAGTTGTTATGAGAATAAAACAGGTTTTGGAAAAAGAGAGCATAATTCACTCCACTTAATCTCTCCCCTTAGCTATTTCTGAACCATTTTGAAGAAAGAAACCCTCAGCATGTATGGTCTTAACCTGTCATTTCAGTTTGCATTTAACTCTCAGCCTAATGAAAGAAATGGAATAGAACGGAATAGGTCAAGAATAAAGTAGCAATGAAAACAAGAGTGATGGGAATGAGTGGAATGATGTAAGTTCTAAAATGATCATAGAAGAAAAGTTGTTGGCTGATGCCTTGGAAGGAAAGAGCAAACTTGCAAATGAAATCTCATCATAAGGTAATCAGCAGTAGTAAGGCCATCATGTTACCTCCAAGGCAGCTTTGCCAACCAATGGGTTTGGACTAATTTCATGCATTCTTCACAAATAATGAATTCAGATTTCCGACAAGAATGCTTTCTCTTTCTTCTGCTGGGCAAAATGAAAACGAAAGCAGGGACAATGACAGAAAGAAAAAAGAGGCTGTAGGCACAGAAACTAAACCACAACTAACAGGCTACATTTTGCCCAACTGCTCCATGAACCTTTCTGTTAGTTTAGCTTAGGACGTCATCTGAATCAAGAGAATTGAGTAAACCATGGTTCACTTAAAGATAGATAAGGGAGTTGTGCAATTATAGTTAGAGAGAAAAAATATGATCAGGACCATCATGCTAGCTTTAGCCCCATCCATCCATCCATCCATCCATCCATCCATCCATTGCCTATCTATCTATCTATCTATCTATCTATCTATCTATCTATCTATCTATCTATCTATCTATCTACATCTATCCATCTATCTATCATCATCTATCTTTGTATTTCTTAACTACCCATCTCTCTCAGAGATCAGTTTTTGAGTTTTATTCTGCCTACCTGCAAAGATGATTTCCAAGGAGATTATTTCAATTTCAATTATTGAAAGATTCTCTCCCCTTTGTCCTTGTTAGTTGTACAAAGGGAAAAATTACAGTCAAATTCTGCAACTTTAGTGGCTCTCAAGGAACCACAGGCCTTTAGAGAAAGACCTGAGCCAGTTTAATCTAGTGATTAGGGTGCTGGCCTAGCAACCAGGAGGCTGTGAATTCTAGTCTCACTTTAGACATGAAAGTCAGCTGGGTGACTTTGGACCAGTCACTCTTTCTTAGCCCAACCAATTCATAATGTTGTTGTTGTGGAGAAAAGAAGGAAGGAAGGAGTATTATGTATGTTTGCTCCCTTGAGTTACTTATAAAGTAATAAAGATGGGATAAAATTCTAAAAAAACAAATTGATTTTTACATGTTAGATTGAATGAATCAGCTAAATTTCTCAATGAGGCAAACAGATATGGAAAAGTTCCACAGCAGAAAGGTGTTAAGAACAGTAAGGAGGAACAGACGTCTCTAAAGCTGATTGTGATGTGGACTTAAAAACAACAACAACAGCCCAGCCCAATTGCACTATGCTTACAAAATTGTCAATGACAACGATGATTGTTTTCTGGAAAGTTTAGAGGAATCCAATGAGACATATTTCTTTGCCATCCAGTTCTCAAAATAGAGATCTATGTTACAGGAATTCCTGACTGTTTTTAAAAGGTCAGCCTTTTTTGTACATTCCATTTGAAAAGAAACTGGCCTCATAAAATTACAGTGTTTGGGTTTGCTCCTTGCATAGCAATTCCCTTTAAAATAAATTATACATATCCTTGGGAAAGTTACAAAGGCTGTTGTCCATTCCTGAGGAGAAATTAGAATAAACTTTCCTCTTTTTTCCGATGAATAATGCATCTTTTTAGATAAAAACTTTGCCGGTAAATGGTAAATACTCCTTCAGACTGGATTTGAAAGCATCCATGCAGTATTCCTGGTAAAAGTACTGAAGTGGTTTTCCATTGCCTTAGTCCTTATTCTTTTTAAACTTTCCATGTAGCTCATATCCCTGGAACTTTCTATGATGCTGGCCTAGAAATCAGGAGACGATGAAAGAAACCAGCTGGGTGACTTTGGGTCAGTCATTCTTTCTCAGACCAGCTCACCTCACAGGGTTGTTGTGGGAAAAATAGAGAGGAGGAAGAAGTATTGGGTATGTTTGTTGCCTTGAGTAATAATAAAGTAATAAAGATGGAAAAAAGTTTAATTAAATAGTTAAAATGAATAAAGACTTATGACCATTTTTCACACTAATGACTGTTGCACATCATCTCCATGGCCATTTGATCAAAATTCGGATGCTTGGCAACTGGTTCATATTTATGATGGTTGCCATGTCCCAGGATCCTGTGACCCCCCTTTTCAACCTTCTGATAAGCAAAATCAATGCATGTCACTAATTTAACAACTGCAATGATTCTGTCATGGTTCCGACTGATGAAACTCTTCAAAAGAACTTTGAGGCATTGTTTACCTTAAAAAATCTTTTATTTGAGCAGCATAAAGTCGGCACTACATAGTTGAAGCCAAAAACTGAATTCCCCTCCCCTTGGCACAAAGTAGCAAAGCACAATTCCATCCTCCAACTAACAATCAAAAATCACATTCCCCAATTAGTTTGAAACCTGGGCTCTCTCCACAGCTCTCCAGCCTGCCAAATCGTTATCAACTCTGGGCTCAGTAACCTTGAATTCCCACATCTTGAAACTGTTGTTATGACTAACTGGACTCTCATCCACATCCCCCCTCCCAGCATCAATCAGCTCTGAAAGCGAAAGACAAAAATGAATGCATTTCCATCTGTTGTCAAAGCAAAAACATCCAATGTTAGCAGCATTAACAGATTCACTTAACAACTGGGGCAAGAAAGGGGCAAGATTCATTTAATAAATGTTTCTTTTAGCAACATAAATTTTGGGCTCAATTGTGGTCATAAGTCTAGGACTACCTGTACACACTCAGTTTAAGGAAGACTGCTGGTCTCATGTCATAAACATATCCATCAATCTTCCAGAAGATCACTGGGTGTGTGTCAAAAAATAAATAAATGCCCTCCTACCTTCATGGATCAAGCACTAGCATGCCTGCTGTGCTGGGCCTGGATGGGCAACGTTACTGTGAGAGACTCCTGCCATCTTTTTCTTCTCATGATGGTGATCCCACAGATCGGAGAACAAATGTTAAAGAGCCCAGCATCACTTCCCTTGCCATTCCTACAAAACACCAGTTTGGGATTTGGTGCCATGTCTGGCAGGAGAAGTGGGAGAGATGGCTCTCTGGCAGAGAGGGGGAGGATGACTGTCTTGTTGCGAAATGAAGAATGCCCCTGGAGAAACAGCACTTAGAAAACAGAACAGGGCTGGATTTATTCATCAATGTGTAACCACCAAAGCAAGCGGAGTGGTCTCCATCCCATGCTCTGCCCTGAGTTCTGAGTGAAGGCAGTCCAGGTGAAATTACTCTGTAACTGAAGCCCCATCATCTTCCCAACAAACTTCATCAAAAAGGGGACATTATCAGCCAGGTACTATTTCTATCATTTCTGTTCACATATGCTACTTGGATGCCTTCTAGAACATGGGTCCCCAACCGTGGCAACTTTAAGACCAGAATTCTCCAGTACCTTTGTCCTCCTAACAACCCTGTGAGATGGGTTGTACTGACTGAACTCACAGTGTCCCCTTTCTAGTCAGGTGTCTTAACCATTAGACCAAATTATGCTAGTTTGAACTATTCTGGCAAATATTTTAAACTTAAAACACAGCTCTTGTTGCTTTTTTTTGCCAGCTATTAGAATTTCACATCCAAAAAGTTTAATCCACCGGGATGTAATCAGTTGGTAGAATATCCTTCTGATTATGAGCTAGGTACATACATTTTCAGAAGTAAAATTCAACCATCAATTGATAACTCTAATCCTAACCCTAACCCACAGGATGTAATTGATTGGTGCATGAAAGTCACTAGCAGGCAAAAATGTTTTGTGGGGCAAGCAAAAAAAAGAGCTTGAAACTCTTTTCATAACAACGCATGCATTTTCATTGTTTTCTTGTATTCTTACTACTGCCTATTTAGAGGCTTTTAAAAATAGTAATATTCTTCACAAAAATGAAGGGTAAACCAGTTCTTTATTTTGCACAATGATTTCAGTAGGAATTCCATAGAAAGCACAATCCTAAATGGCAATCCTAACTATCTAGTTTTGGAAATGTATCTACTGAATAGTTCTCAGTTCATCTTCTCCAAGCCTGTGCCTTCAAAACATCAAAGGCATCACCTCTCCTAATTTCCAGCCAGTGGTGCAAGTGGGGGAGGCTGTATTTAGATAAAAGCATTACCATGTACGGTTCCTTTGCTGTCAGAAAATTAACTCCCTTTTTAAAAAAATAACATGGGATACCCTTGGAAACAATTATAATGAAATCAGAGTTGTTAATCATCAGTTACATTGGCATGAGGCCATTATGTGATGGCTAGCCAGGAGGCCTCTTTTTATTATTCCTTTTAATGTATAGACAGTTTGAGAAAGATTCAGGTTTAGCGTCGTGCAGTAAAGAACTTCAGTCTCCTGAGAACTGGAAAGGAATTAGGCTCGGCTAAATGTGAAAAAATTTACTAGTGCCTGGTTAAACGCTTTACCGCTGAATTAATGAGTAACCCGCACTTTAATGAGCAAGTTGGTGCTCTCCTACTGTGTTACAGTTTTTCTTTGGCTAATATAAAGGTCTCCACACTGTTTTTTAACATACGGTAGCTACAGCGTGAACATGCCAGTGGCTTTAGGGCATTTCCTTCTTGTACTTGGAACAGTCTACCTGCAAAAAACAAGCTGTCCATCAATGGCTCTCCAACAAGGTATGATTCCAATTGCCTCTTTATTGATAATCATTGTAAAAATTTACTTGGGCCAAGTAAATATTATGCTTACTTATTTCAGTGACTTCATTTATCAGCTACTCTTTCTTATTTCTGCTGTAGCCAAGAGTAGGAAAAAGGTAGACTCACACAACTGTTCACAAAGTCAGGCTTTTTTTAAAATTAGCCTTGTTAGCTCTGCATACAGAACAAGCTGGCCAATTGGTATCAAAACTGCGATTGGGCTGAGATTCTGCCCTTCAACCCATATGGGAATTCTTGGGGCATTCCCACTAACTACGGAAGTTCACTGCATGATTTTGGGCTATGTGCTCTTCTTAGGTCATCCTTTGCCAAAGGGTGGTGGTTGTGGAAAAACAAAAAAGGATAAAGGAGTGCAATGTAAGCTATCTTTTGCCTCTGGAAGAAAGGCAGAATACGGTATACATCTAACAAATAAAAGAGTAGGCTGTAGACCTTATATGATGAGCAACAGTGACACATCACCTTAAGAATAACTTTGGGGTATGGGTTTTTGTAGATGAGATCATATTTCATTATGATTCTGGGAGTAGATTCTAAAGGGACTATTATATGAAAATACTAATTTTACATGTAAAGATGCAGAAGGTTACCTTCAGTTGTGTCTGTTTGGAAAGCTCTGTGGTTCTATCAGAGAATTTGGTACATGGAAAACAGAGGAAAGCAGTTTGGTTGATTTCTTTTCCTTCAAAATCTATTCAGAGCCTTGGAAGACACCGGACAATTTCAAATTACTTTCCTTCCCTTTCCATTCATAAATTCCTCTTCTGGAACAAAGACATTCCAAAATTAAGTGGACATAACTGGACAGAAATTTACAACCTGTTGTTTTGCATTTCGATTACTCATGGAACAGTTTATTCTGAAGATTCAGGGAGACATCAAAACCATACAGTGAACTGATAGCTAAATACTTAATTAATATAAAATAAAATGTGTAATTATTTCAAGTTTTACCTTTAGTAGGCTTATCCACAGGGTGATATTTCCCTGCTATATAGTCTGAGGTTATACCATCTTGAACTGAATGTTAAATTTGTTAATAAATGTAAATATGCCCATGTGGATAATAAAGACTTGACATTCAATATGATAAGTCTGATCTTTGTGATTGTTTTGTACTTGGCATGCATAAAATTAGTCTAACTGAATTTCAAATTAAGCCATTTGTATTTAGAACTGAGCACATATAGATACTACTTCATTGTTTTTAATAGCATAGTTTGATCTACAGAATTCTACAGAATGAAGAAAATTCTGTTGTATATCTGAAACATATCCTTTGCATTAAGAATAATATGATTAAAATACACTTTAGTATTAAATAATATTTAAATAATTTCAACTATTGGGTGACAATTTAAATTTGGACATGATCAGTAAATAAAGTAGAAGAATAGTACACAAGAGTTACTGTTTTCTACATTGCCTCTTTTCTATGCTTTTCAGATTCAAGATGTGGGCAGAAAGTCTATGGAAGCGATTTATGGGGGTTTTATAACCACTTTGCTCGGATTGTTGGCGGAAGCCAAGTACAACAAGGATCACATCCATGGCAGGTCAGTGTATTTCCTCCAGCTCTTATCACACTAATAAGGAAAATTAGGTTACCGCATATCTTTGATTTTTTTTTTCTGTATAGATGCTTTTGCTGGACAGCATATTACTCTTTGCAAGACCAATGGAGCAAATAGTGAACAATGCTCATGGTCTCCAACGGAACATTGTCATTAATTCTGTTGTCTGCATTATGAGAAACTGAGATAGGCATTCTCATTTGGAAAATAATTTTAATCTCAAACCTCATAGATAACACCAAACAAGAGAACAATCCATTTGCTTCCCCCTCCACAATTTTTACTGGCCATCTGTGGTTATTTAAAGAAAAGACATTGTTCAGATTTAATAAAAAATATTAGAAGATTTGGGGTGGGAATGTTAAAATAAATGTATAATTACTTTTCTTTCAGTTACCATCATTTTCCTCCCCCCATAATGTACTTTGTCACTTCTAAGCTTCTGGCAACATCAAACAATGTAATATACTACATCTCTTTTGGTTGGCAGGTTCAGGCATTTTCATATGCACACGGACAAATGATATGCTCTACTATAATCTGCCCCTTTGGATTTTTCCTCCCAAGTGCTGCTACTGCAACTATTGACATTCACTATAAAGTTGAGGAAGGGAATATGAAAAAAAGATATGTTAAATCATTATAACAATATTAATTCCATATGCAGAAAACCATTTAGACATTGACAGTATTAGGCTAATTTTGACAATATCTGAATATTCGTGATTCTGTGAATGTTACCAATTAAAGGGTGAAAGAGGGCTATTAGCATTCACTTCTGCTTCATATTAAGAACAGAACAGAATAACGGAATTGGAAGGGACCTTGGAGGTCTTCTAGTCCAACCTCCTGCCTAAGCAGGGGACCCTATACCGTTTCAGAGAAGTGGCTGTCCAGTCCCTTCTTAAAAGCTCCAATGATGGAGCACCCACAACTTCTGAAGGAAAACCTTCCCCACTGACTAATTGTTCTCACTGATAGGGAATTTTTCCTTAGTTCTAGGTTGCTTCTTTCCTTCATTAATTTCCATCCTTCATTAGTTTCCAAGAATTATATAAAGCAGGGATTATGTTCATGCATTTATGACATTAATCTGGCATTGTTGATTTTTATTACATATTCCCTGTACCCCACTGTGTATTTTGCCTTCTGTTGCTCTGTTATAAGATGTACATTTCCTAAAGTGGTATGTGCTCTCTGTGATACAGGTTTCCTTGAAAAGAAGTAATCATCACTTCTGTGGAGGAACCCTTGTTTCCACTCAGTGGGTAATCACAGCAGCTCACTGTGTTGTAAGCAGGTACAAGCAGGCAATTCACTGGAAGGGCTATGATTTCAGATTACCATTGTGTTTTATAAATCATTTTCATAGACTTTTGATATGCTTTCTCTAGAAATGTAGCTTAATAAATGACCAGAGACATCAAATATTTAAGCATATATCTCCAGATGATTTCACAATGTAATAGGCAACACACACACACACACACACACACACACACACACATCCTATTGTACAGGAAGATTCTAGCAGGTGCTGGGGGTATTTTATGGTTTTTAATGAGCTAAGACAGTGCTACAGAACTGTGCTTCGGTTTTATGGTAATGTCAGGTTGTTATTACTTTGTATATTATATTTAATGAATCTCAATATATTTAATTGTAAGTCACACAGAATTGTTTTGCAGAGTGAGATGTGTGGCATATAAATTTAATAAATAAATATTACTGTATTTTATTGTGGGGGTTTTTTTCTTGTGCACTACCAAAAGTCAGATTTTAGCCACAGGATGGATGGATGGATGGACGGACAGACAGAGGGACGGACGGACAGACGGACGGACGGCAGACAGACAGACTGACAGAATCTCTGCCTAAAATAGTTATTTAATTTTGAAAAACCCATGTTCAATTTTTCCCAGTTATATCTCTCCACTGTTCTGTAGATCACTGCTCCGTTTGCTGACTGTCACTGCTGGAGAACATGATTTGAGTCTGAAAGATGAGGAAGAGCAGACCCTCTATGTAAAAGACATAATTAAGCACCCCAACTTTAATAGGAAGAAACCAATGGATTATGATATTGCTCTTCTAAAAATGGACGGTCATTTCAAATATGGTAATATGCTAGCTTAAGATGATACAAATGTCCACATATATGTGCATGTGCATGTATGCATATCTGAGCCATCATATTAAAAATGTGATACACAAAGGAAAACAATTTACTGTACAATCTAATACTACTCTGTATAGAAAGTCTAGGCATATGGTAGGTTGTGCCATCAATCGGTGCTTTTACATAGCTTGATCCCCAAGAAGTCTCATAACTAAGTTCCACCAGCACAGTATGTATGTTCTTTTTCTTATTCTGCCTTTACCACCCACAGTGCAGCTATGACTAGAGCACTATGTTAATTGCTTTCTGGACAAGGAAATATGTGGGTGATTTAGAGGCAGAAGATTAAGTGTAGATAATGAGAACACGCATCCTGAGGACAAGGTAAGACTCTAGTTATACATCCAAAGACTTGTGCCTGGCTTGTTTATCATTAGATGATCATACAAAACCAGGTACTTTTACACAAGTCCAACTGTGGGTGGAAAGAAGACAACAAATTTAAAATTTGGGTGTGCCAGGTGGGAAACATAGAGACATTTAATATTGGATTTTATTTTGATGCCCACTTTGGAACAGAATCGTATTTCCATTTCATAGTGTTAAATTAGATTTTATATTTTTGTAAATTATACTTTAACTTTTATAGAAATCACTTTCTATATTGGGCCTCTTGATACCTATCAAGGTGTATGAAATCGTCATTGAGACATGAGCCATATTAACATTCTTTCAAATGTGTAATCAAAATTTTGATCTGTTTTAATGTTAGGTGCAGCAGTATGGCCAGTCTGTCTTCCTGGCCCACATGAAAAATTTGATCCAGGATATATATGTGTCACTTGTGGTTGGGGTCGTTTAAGAGAAAGTAAGGAAATGATATAATATTTGAAAGTGTTTCATGCTTCAAAAGGAATTATTATTAAATGTACATTTATGCATTTGTGCATTCTCTCTCTCTCTCCCCCTCCCCCCATAGGAAGTCAAGGTGGGAGGCAAACAATGAATATAAATAATACTGAAATGAAAGTGGAGAGGAAATGACAATAAATGCAGTTAAGAAGTTTTGGGAAAGTGTGTGTTTTCTCTCTATGCTCAATTTATTTTCAGTACCCAAATAAATTCAGCCTTGGTTTTAGTGCATGTTACTAAGGCTAAATTTCCATGAATATAAGCAAATATTAGATATTGTGGTAAAGAGATATTCAGAGGCATCTGCTTATTGCTCTGCTGCTTAATTTATGAAAATGATGGCATAATAGTATGTATCCTGGATGTTCAATGATGTCATATATTTCAACATTCAGTTCTGTTTCATCTAGGGCTGGAAATCCAGCCTTCAATGGTGATCACATTTAACAAATAGTTGGAAAAGTGTTGGCTCCACATTGTAGTTTTTCATCATTTCAGTTCATGATGTTTGAATGTTTTGTGGCACAATACACATAAGTACACTGAGGGCTAGTGATCCAGTTCCTGGAAGCTCCAGTTTAAAAAAGGATCAGGCAGTAAAGAAAGATCTTTGCTTGAGATCCTTGACCCCTGTTTCCAGCTAGAAAATAGAATAGAATAGAATAGAATAGAACTGGAAGGGACCTTGGAGGTCTTCTAGTCCAGCCCCCTGCTCAAGCAGGAGAACCTATACCAGCGTTTCTCAACGTTTGTGTGACGGTGACCCCCGCCACACAAATGTGCCGCACATGCATGGTGCGGTGCGCATGTGCGGCGGCGCCCCCATGCATGGTGCACATGCGTGGGGCCGCCCCATGTGCGCCGCCACCCCCATGTGCGGCATGCATGCACGGCACCGCCCCCATGCGTGGCGCGCATGCGTGGCACCGCCCCCTGAGGGGAGGAAATGGCGGATCGCCTTGTTTGGCGACCCCCGTAAAATGGTTGATTGACCCCAAATGGGGTCGCGACCCATAGGTTGAGAACCGCTGACCTATACCATCTCATACAGGTGAATGATTCTGAGCCTGATGGATGGACAATGTAACAGGGCAACTTCCTGAGTTTTGTTTGGTTTTCAGATGGGATCCTTCCTGACATTTTGCATGAAGTCAGATTGCCCATCTTAGACCAGACTCAATGTTCTGGAATCTTGTCAGCTCTAAGGAGGCCTATTCGAAGCTACACCATAATGTGTGCTGGATTTCCAGATGGAGGAAAAGATGCTTGCCAGGTTGGTAGATTATATCAATATATTTATTAAGGAGAATACAGTGGTGGTGGTAGTGGTGATGGTGGTGGTGGTGGTGATGTTGTTGTTGTTGATCATGATACACAATACTGCAGTAAAATATTATAGTAGTTTTAGGTCATTTTTTGTGATGTTTATAAAAATTCCAAAGAGAACTTTTAGGAGGAAAAGCTGTGGCTCAGTAACAAAAGATTTCAGGTTAATTCCCAGATGGAAATTCAGAACAAGGCTCTTTGAGTAGCCACTGAGAACTCTTGCTTCTGAATATGTAGAGTCAGCCCTGAGCTAGAAAAATCAGATACCTGACTTGGAAGAGTGTAGCTTTTATTAGGGCATTAAAAATTTGGTAAGAAATATGAATAAAAATTATCTTTTTTTAGTCTTTGCAAGCGGACAGCCGTTCTAGTCTGTTGTAGTAGAAATGATAATGAAGCTTCAATGGCTCAGTTATTTTCAGTTTCATAGGGTGATAATTTCTTGATTGTAGCTATTATAGCCAGTCATTTTCAGTCTTTCTGCCTTCTGGGAACAGTGAGAACTACTGAGTAATACTTGTACATCTGCTATGAAAGCCCAAAACAAGACAAAATATTTGGGGAAGTAATTTAAGATGCTCCACCTTTATTCAGAGATCATCATTTATACTCATAATAGTAAGCTTGCCAGCCTATTTAAGACAATAACATTATAGCAGATCTAGAATTTATAGGGTGAAGAGTGTCCAAAACAAATGTAAATTATAGATTCAAACTACTGAAACTCAGATTTCCATAGACCAAGCTAGAAGGAGCTTTGCAGCTGGGATGTTGATAGAATTCAAAAGCAATCATGGTCAGTAGTGGAGTCATGCATAGAAGAAGGGTGTAGTATGCATTTTTTTAATGAACAGAGAAGCATCCTTGAACAATTAAGAAAGACTAAGTTGCTCACAATCATAGTTCTATTGGCCAGTTCTATGCATTTCTACAGAATCAAATTCCAAAGGTGTCTAGACTTCACTCCTATCCCTACAGGACACTTCATTCAAGCAGTCTATTGATCAGTGGGATCCAATAGCTTAGTCCTGCAATTTTTATTACAAACTTGGTGAAGGGATCAAAAAGGAGACCATTCATTGATAGAGATTGACCAGTTATATTTTCTCGCTTCACCTGGATCTGAAATGGTTTCCTCTCTCTTGCCAAGGTCAACTTTTTGGTGAAGTCTGTCACACATCCAATCCTGCCTCTTTAGGGAACTTTATAATGTGGCAAAGGTGGAATGACCTATTCCCACCAGTTTGCAAAAAAGAAAGTTCGCTTAAGATCCAATAAGTAAAGAACTGCATGTGCTGTTTGAGATGTGTCTCCTTTTGAGGAAAAATAATATTTCTCCTGCAGGGGGATTCTGGAGGCTCACTTGTGTGTCAACGTGAACATGGTTCTTGGACCCTGATTGGAGTGACTTCATGGGGCCTAGGATGTGCTCGAAGCTGGATTCATAATCTACAAAAGAAGTATGAGAAAAGAGGAACTCCAGGAGTTTTTACGGATCTGACCAAGGTGCTCCCTTGGATTCAGCAGCATATAGATGCCGGTAGTAACAAAATACCACCAATACTGTGATTTATCTCATGATTATATCAATTAGCAGGTTATTGATAATAGTATTTTACCTGATTAGAATTTATGACTTGCATTAAGAGTAGAAACTTACTCCCTTGCAAAACTATCCCCCGCACAAACAAAAACAAAAATGCCTATGTTTAGTCAATTTTTATTTATTGCTCATACATATTTATTTTATTAGCTTATAGTATAAAATACAAAAATACAAAAGCAAGTAGTAGGAATCAAATATAAGGAGAAGGGAAAATGAGATGTATGGAGGGGTTAGGGGAGTATGAGAGATGCTATGCTTGACTTCAGACTCCCTCTATTGCAGTAAAATAAGGCATTTGATTGAACCTCAATTTTTTTACTTTCCATAACAGTATAAGCTAGCCATTTCTATGTTTAGCTGATCTTTTATGTCTGTCTTTTGAAGGACTCTTTCTTATCCCTTGTCAGCCTTGCGTGACAAACCAGATGGGAATCACCATCAGATAAGCAAATTCTACTTCATTGTAAAGCTACATTGAAAGTATCTTGCAAATCTGAGAAAGTACAATCCTCCCAGCCCCGCCTCTTTTTCAGCCTAAGACAGGGGTCCCCAAACCCTGGTCCGTGGACGAGTACCGGTCCATGGCATGCCAGTAACTGGTCCGCACAAACAAGCAAAGCCCCATCCGTGGCATGCTGGCAGCACACAAAACCATGCACTTTCCAGTCTGTGAAAAAAAACCTTTCTCCATGGAACCGGTCCCTGGTGTCCAAAAAGTTTGGGACCTCTGGCCTAAGAAACTAGGGAGGCTCTCTTCTGAGCCCCTTGCCCTGTCCACGATCATGCTGTCTCTTCTTTAGCCATTGCCTTGGGTGTGTCTCCTGATTCATTCTCCCAAGGTTTTCTCATATGCCATCACATTACTTGACAAAGATGTTGAAAGTTGGTGCCTAGTTTTACATTATGTTATGATATTATGTTATGTTTTATGTTTACTGGGTTATAAAGTCAGGCTACATCTGGCTTTACATGAGCAGAGTCTGCTTCAGGAACCAGATTTGTCTTTGCTCTGTCTTCTCTGCTTTACTCAAATGTGTACCAGAAGGCGACAGGCTTTCTTTCATCACATTAGATTTGGGGGACTGTTCATTGCAGGGAGAAAGAAGATTTGTCTTGATAATGTGTAATTAGAGGGCTGTGACTTTCCAAAAGTCACTGAATTGCAACCTTCAGCAACTCCAGCTATTATAGCATTTGGCATTTGTAGTTCAGCAACACACAGAAAGCCATGAATCCCCTAGTTTTGCATTAGTGAATGCCATTCCATTGGTACATACTGGCAGAATTGGCAATATTCATTTGAATGCAAGGACATTGGGTGAGAAAAAGAAGCCAGAATGATATTGGGTGTGGTACACATGTAATATTTTTCATTTTGTTTTGTTATACAGCAAGGTGTATGTACATGAAATGGCTCCAAGCTCGTTTTGCTAATCTCTTTGTTTTAAGAGGCTAGTTCCGCATTATGGGAAGCTAAATGTGGAAGGTTCTTTGTTGGTAGTGACTGAAGGCAGTATATAACTTTTGCACTGCACTGTTACAAATGTCATTGGTTTTGTTTTATAGTGATATCAATATTCAGCTTCAAAGTGTGCCTGGGTAATAGTTCTATTTCAGTCAAATTCCAATTGGACTGGAATTTCAGTCTCTAAAACAATGCAATCATTAAGCAAGTCATCATGGGACCAGACCTATTTTATTACATTTTTACCACAGCCATTAAGTAAGTCAACAAGTCATTAAGTGAATTGTGTGGTTGTTAAGTGAATCCTATGATAGTTAAGCAAATTGCATGGTCGTAAAGTGAATTTGGCTTCCCCAATTGAGAGTAACTGGCTGGGAAGATCACCAATCACAATCATGTGACTGCCGATCGTAAATCACTTTTTCCTAGGCTATCTTTAAGCAAATAGTGGTTGTAAGTCAAGGTTTGCCTGTATATATATATATATATATATATATATATATATATATATATATATATATATATATATAATAGCTAATCTATTTCATTCATTCCTTTTAATTAGATGTCAAAATGAAAAGTTCTGTAGGTGAGTATAGAATTTCAAGAAAATCTTTTTGAATTTGAATATTCTTGATAAGATCAATGTACGCCTGAGTCCTTTGGGATTGGGCGGCATATAAATAAATAAAATAAAATAAATAAATAAATAAATAAAATAAATGTGTTATGGTCAGCTTTGTGCTTATGTTTGATAATATTTCCAGTCAGGGCAAAATTAAAATGTGAAAATTGTATTTTTATATATTTATATAGTTTCTCAATTCAACAGATTTTTAAAAGTACAGTAACTGATATTCCTTTTCCATATAAGTGTTGAATACTGGTATAATGAAATTGTCATGGTTCCGATAGATGAAACCCATCAAAAGAACTTTGTGGCAAAATTCTTCCTTAACGAACATTTATTTGGGAAACAAGGTATCAGCACTACATAGTTGAACCCAAAAACTAAATTCCCTTCCCTCTAATACAAAGTAACAAAGCACAATTCCCACCCCCAATAAACTGTCATAAAGCACATTCCCCAATTAGCTTCATGCACGGGCTTTCTCCTCAGCTCCTCAGCCCACCAAAACATTATCAGCTTATCCTTGAGTTCCCATGGCAGCGTTATTATTATTATGGCTAACTGAACTTACATCCCAACCCCGCCTGCTGCACCTGAATTCTAAAAGTAAAGAAAAGCATGTTAAAGAAGAAGAGAAAATGGCTGCATTTTCACCAGTTGTCAGAGCAGGAGCATCCAATGTTAGCAGCATTGACAGAAATACTTAAAGTTGATATATTTGGGTAACATTTAAATAAGCAGTTCTTAAAATAAGATAGGAACAAGAAGGGTGAACTTCAAGAATGTGTATGGCTATTCTTGAGTTTTACTTTTAGTTTTACTAGCTGCTCACTGCAGTTATGCTGATTAATTTGCAATGCCTTCTGCATAGTCTCATTTGGTAAGGAATTACAAGAGATAAACCTTGCCCTCCCTTGAAATGAAAGCTAAGAACTGGCTTTGTCTCCGAACTCATGTCTTCACTGCCTTAGGTTAGTGAAATAATCTTTAAATATGGGAGCCATGCTGGCTTATTTGTACTCCAGAACTTTTACGCTATGGACCAAAAGTTGAAACAAGTCCTTAATTATTGGAGCTAAGCAGTTTTCCTCCTCTAATTCTACAAAATTGAATTTAACTCAAAGCACAATTACATTTTTTATTTTTTGTTATCCCATTTGACAAGTATTATATTAGGGCATCCCAGCTGACACGCTGTTTCTTGCCTTCCCTCTTGCAATTGGCAAAGAGTAATACGGAAGGGCTGTAGCTGTGTAATGGACATATCTTTCCTGTACAGACTGAGTTCCTGCAAAGGTTCTCCAAATTAAAAGCCCTGGAAACCTGAAGAACCTTATGTGTGTGCATTTTTGGATCTCCCCCAGAGAAGCTTTAAATTCATGCAGTCACTTTCTTATCTTAAGTAATATAGAAATGTTATTCCTTGTTTGCAACATGCTATTTTTTTCCTCAGTAAGATTTTTTTAAAAAAGAGCTCTTTTCTCTAGACTTCCTATGCTGTTACTTTATTTTTGAGGAAGTAAAAATACAAAATAAGCACAAGGTTAAAGTGCCTAAGTAAGAAAAAGTGAAGAAAATAATCTACCAGATGTGCTAGATGTCAACTTCCAAAAGTCCTAGCAATGATTGGTTAGAGATTCTAGAATTTGAACTCTTGAGGACAGCAATACAAATAAAAAAATCAATAAGTATTTGGTTTAATTGAAATAATCCATGATAACATATTATATATTCACAATATAGCATCGTGTAACATTCAAGATGGTGCACTTTCTGGCAGTGAAGGAAAATTGATTTTTCCTGAATTCCCAAAGCATTTTTATCAGGATAACCAGTAAGTAGTTAAATATTTATTTATTTGCCATTTTCAAGGCTCAGTTACCCTGGATTGTTGCATATAGCCCTTCTCAATCCATACTCTATTGCAGCAAAGTTATTACAGGTAGTCCTTACCTTACAATCATAATGCAGGGCAAAATTTCAGTTGCTAAGTGAGATGGTTGCTAAGTGAGTTTTGTTCCATTTTATGACCTTTCTTTCCACAGTTGTTAAGTGTCTCACTCAACTTAAGTTAATAACATGGTTGATAAATGAATCTGGCTTCCCCATTAACTCTGCTTGTCAGAAGGTAGAAGAAGGTGATCATACGATCCCGGGAAATTGCACATATGAACCAATTGCCAAATTCTGAATTTTGATCACATGACTAAGGGGATGCTGCAACAGTTATAAGTGTGAAAATAGGTCATAAGTCATATTTTTCAGTGCTGTTGTAACTTCAAGACAGTCACTACACAAATGGTTATAAGTCGAGGACTACCTGTATATTTAACTAGAATTCTTAATTATGTAAACCCAAATAGAGTGACAAAATTCAGAAGATTAAAAGTATGACTTCATTCATACAATATATTAAGGGCATTTTCTCATGGCCATATTAATCTTCATTCTGTTCATCTTTAATTTGGCCCCCCAAAATAATGCCAGAATAATTTCTGGTGCCTGAAACCCTAGCCATATTCTCCCTCAGAATATGCTACAGGAGATCGGTACTGTCCTTACAGATTTCATGCAGGACAAATTAAGGAAAATGAATAATGGATTCCTAAAATTCACTTCTCCTCCAACTGAGCACCAGTTGCTAGTGGGAAAAATTATCTGTCAACTACTCTTCATAACCTGGAATGGTGCTGGAGTTGAGGAAAAAGTGAGTTTTGAAAGATAGGAAAACAAATTTGTTCACGTTTGCTCTGTCTTCATGCATGGGTTCAAAGGGACTCAACTATCAATTAATTGCCAAAATCCTTTGACAGCCTAAAGGTATGTCATTTTTAGAATAGCAAGATATCTTCTAACTATGGTTAGCAGGATGTGAGGATAATCCCTAAACTTTAATGTGCTTTATTGTTGTTATATAAACCCACATAATGAGCTTGAATTTATGTAAACTAAGCTGATTATAATTTATCAGCTAATTCATAGTTGAGTAAACGTGACTTAACATGGTACTGTATATGCCGGCATATAAGGCGACTTCCGCAAGCGTTAAAATCGGCGCCAAAGGTGGGGGTCGTCTTATATGCCGAGTTGTCTTATACGCCGGAAATACTGGGAATGCGGCTCAGCGACAAAGACGGGGGTCGTCTTATACGCCGGGTCGCCTTGTACGCCGGCATATACGGTAAGTAAAGTATGTTTGTGTACTGGATTATTCAGTAAATAAAGCAAGCAATGAATCTTCTTTTAAAAATGTCTTATGTGATTATGACTTCTGTATATCTTAGTTGGGATAGACATTCATACTTTATGCATGTTCCATAACATTTATCTTATCTTTCACTAGTCTATGAAAGTCTTCTTATGCTGTTTGAAATAAGTTTTTCAGAAGCAAATCTAAAATCTCACTGGGTTTCGTTAGAGAACTAAAATTATTATTATGTGTGCATGGGGGGAAGGTTACATGTATTTAACTAGGTTTCAATATAATATGCATGGGAAGGTGGAAGAAACAAATTGCCTCTTTGTTTTGTCTATGGTTTTGTGCACCAGTGCTTAATTCATGGTTTAATTTTCAACTAGAAATCACTCAATGTTTTCTCAATCTAGGCTCTGCATTTGGACTTTATCTGTTCCAGAAGGGAGGCATATAGTGTTGAATTTTTCTCATTTTGATGTGGAGCCAGATGCATTCTGTGATTATGATTCTTTGTCAGTGATTTCTATGGATGACAGACTCATTGGTAAGTTTCTTCTTCAAAATGTATAGCCAAAAGCGGTCTTCTAATTAAAAACAAAGGATTCTGCTATTAATAGCAATAGCACTTGGACTTATATACTGCTTCACAGTGCTTTACAGCCCTCTCTAAGAGGTTTAAGAGGTTTACAGAGTCAGCACTGCCCCCAACAATCTGGGTCCCCATTTTATTGACCTCAGAAGGATGGAAGACTGAGTCAACCTTGAGCCGACCAGGATTGAACTGCCAAACTGCTGGCAGCTGGCAGTCAGCAGAAGTGGCCTGCAGTACTGCATTCTAACCACTGCACCATCATGGCTCTTTGTTGACGTTTGCATATGATTTCTTTGACCATCAAAACAACGTACTATTCAAAAGTCAGCATTACTTGACGCTTTATTGAACTGAACCTGCAAAGAAAATTTAAAGCTGAGAGTTTTATGGCATGGAAAGAAAAATCATCCATATATTCAAAGTGGTAAGAATGTTTCAGCAAATGACCACACATTTTTTTAAATTAATCTCTGAAAGTTGTAAGGGATGAATGTGCGACAATAATAATAATATCCATGTCTATAAGTATCAATATCTTCATTTCTACAACTATGCCTTTTAGGGAAATTGTGTGGAATGGACCTTCCACTACCTATTTTGATTGGTTCAAACAGCGTAAGATTGAAATTTGTCTCAGATAACAAGGAAGAAGGAACTGGATTTACCATGACATATCGAGCTATTAAGCCAGCTAGTTTTCTAGGTAAATATTAATGCTCTTGATCAGTCCATTGTTTTTCCACGGACTGGAGAGTGCATGGTTTTGTGTGCTGCCTGCATCTCGTGGATGGGCTTTGCTTGTTTGTGCGGACCGGTTGCTGGCATGCTATGGCCCAGTACCGGTCCACGGACCAGGGGTTGGGTTCCCCTGCCCTATAATGGTAATATTCAAAGAGCAATTTTGTACAATTTTAATGTACAATATGTCACAAATATATCCATACATTCCACAGTGTGATAGGACAACATAATCTTCTAAATGTTTGAAACAGGTTATTTCTCTGTGTCATATAATATATGTGGATAAATGCATAACTCTGTATTTATTTATGTCATATTTGTGTAGTGTATATTGGAGGTGGTGACCCTTTGAGAGCTATATGCAATGAAATTTCATTTTAATATATGCCGATTAATGTATATTCAAAGTGACAATAAAGTTGTTATTCTATTCTATTCTATTCTATTCTATTCTATTCTATTCTATTCTATTCTATTCTATTCTATTCTATTCTATTGAAGAAATTTTGGTTTCTTTTTAGATTCTGGCTGTGGATCTCTAGCAGTTCTCTTTAAAGAAGGAACAGTGCAAAGCATGCACTATCCTGAAGCATATGATAACCTGGCAGAATGTCAATGGGTTGTTCATGCTCCAAAAAGTCATGTTGTTAAGGTATAAGTCACATGCATAAAATATTTCTTTCAGTCAGAATTTATGCATGTTTGCATTGGTTCAAATGTTCAAAGTAGCACTTTGACATCTTTTCTATTCATGAATTTGACTTTATATATGTATTTACTGTGTATTTATATTAGATTTTTTTGAGTCCAACATTTTTAGTATCGAGACTGACTATCATCAGCCTGGCTTTTATCCTATATCCCTGATTACATTCCATAAGTAAATGTTTATTTCTGTATCAATCTTGATCATTGAAGTGTTAAAAATTTGGGTTATATTAAATAGTAGTAAATTAAACTCTAAATCTGTTTTGAATTAAATATTTGTAAAATGATTTTTAAATATTTTTAATGATGTGCAACTCAATCTTTTGCATATTTTCTTGGGAAGAGAATAGCATTTGCCTGTCCTTTGTTGAATGGCATTTTTCTTAAGCACTATGTTTGACCAATGATTTAACTAATTTGATAACAGTAAGATCTCTAAGAAAAAGAATAGAAAAACATTTTTATTTAAAATCAAACTCCCTTGTTTTGCATGAATTTTAATTCTTTCCTGTTTTTATTTTTCCGAAGCTTGTCTATGAACATTTTGAACTGGAAGAAAATGAAGACTGCACTTATGACTCAGTGGCAATCTACGAAAATGTTGCAAAGGAGAAAGAAATAGGTTTGTTATATTCCTTTCTGAATTATGGGTTGATTCAGATCTAATGGTTCTTGTGTATGTACAGAGAGGAACTAAATTAAGAATGCTGGTATAGTTGATTGGCTTTATAGGTGCCAGCTATCAGCTGCAAAATGCATGCTTTTCCATTTACCTTTGCCTGAGTTCTTCTATCATATTGGTGGTTATCTCTTACATATAATCTGAATCCATCATTTGCAGTACTGTAATAAAAATACTGCAGAACCTTGTATGGTCCTATTTTGTAGATTATTGAGATAATGCAGGTGAAGTATCCTCCAGTAATTCTATGTAAAGTACAGATATTGTTGTCTATCATGTTAGACTCAACTTGGGACCTGAGGTGAATAAATGGGATATGGCTGAAAGAATATATGGGTTACTCCAGGTAGGATAGAACTAATTTTTGCTTTGCTCCCTGGAAATAATTGAAATCAAAGACAATCAGTAAGTTGAGAGGGGCTATAGAAAATAATTCTTAGAGGGCTGGACCAATGTTCAGTTAAAAAAAAAACAGTTAGAGACAGATACTCAGAGACTGCCTTGAGCATGGAGGCAAAGGAGGCAGCTGCTTGTACCTCCTCAGATACAAGCAGCTGAGGAATAGGATAATTTGAGTAATGGACCAGATTCTTATGAAACTGAGGCAGGACTCTTGCGGACACTTTCCCCTATACCAGGGGTAGGCAACCCAAAACACTCAAAGAGCCACTTGGACCCGTTTCCCACCAAAAACAAAACACAGCCGCAAAACCCTTTTGATATCTAAAATGAAGATAACACTGCATATATCCTTTTTTACCTTTATTATAGGTGTGTGTATGTGTATGTGTGTGTGTGTATGTGTATATGTGGGGAGTATATATATGTAGGTCTTTGGTTGTTCGGGTTTTCTCCTGCGTAAAATTGGAAGTGTCATGGCGACGTTTCGACGAAGTCCCATTCGTCATCTTCAGGCTGGTGTTTTCAAACAGAAAAATATCCACCATCCTTAGAAACCTCAAAGATAAAATTGAATTAGAAAATCAAGGAATATACGAAATCCCATGCACCACTTGTCCCACCACATACATCGGACAAACCAACAGAAGAATAAGTGCACGCATTGAAGAACATAAGAACTCAGTCAAAAAAGAGGAACCAACATCTTCCCTGGTCCAACACCTTAAAGCCACAGGACATGAAATTGACTTTAAAAATACCAGAACCATTGCCAAAAGTGAACATTTTAATAACAGAATAATCAGAGAAGCCATCGAGATAGAAAAACGCCCACACAGCATGAACAAGCGAGATGATACCTCCCGCCTACCAGCCATTTGGAAACCCGCCCTTATTGACAAACGACTCCCTAACACAAAAAATGATACCAGACCCACACTCACAAAAACCACACAGGATGTCACCACCACACATCCACGCAAAAAACAAACCCAAAGCCACACCGATGATGAGGCACGACCACAAACCAGAAGCCAGACCACAGCTGCATCATTAGCCACTTTAAACCCCTCCAATCCATACATGAAGCAAACTGACACCCTCCATGAAGAGGAAGCACGACCACGAACGCGAAGCCAAAAAATAGCAAGGCAGCCCAAAATCTCAAACCCCTCTGCAACTCAGACTAACCTGAGCACAACCAAACAGAACACTCCCCCAGCCAATCAGAGCACAGCCAAGCCCCTAACCATTCAGAACACACCTCCACCCAATCAGAACACAGCCAAGCTCCCACCCAATCAGTTCATACCCCCACTGGCAGTTAAAAGGAAGAAACAGCTAAGACCACACATTGCTGCTCAAAGCACGAAGCTGAAAACACCAGCCTGAAGATGACGAATGGGACTTCGTCGAAACGTCGCCATGACACTTCCAATTTTACGCGGGAGAAAACCCGAACAATCAAAGACCTACATACAAATACCCGCGAAAACCTCAGAAAACACACACACACACACACACACACATTAAAAATAAAAGTAAAAATATGACTCTTGGGAATATCCATACTATTAAAACAATGATCACCAAGAGAATGATTTAAGAGAATAAAATTACATATACACACAGGTAAAAAAAGATATATGCAGTGTTATCTTCATTTTAGATGTCAAAAGGGTCTCTCTCTCCCTCCCTCTCTATCTGCCCTTGGTCTGCCACTCCTCTTCCCCCCCCTCTCTCTCTCCCCCCCTCTCTCTCTTTCTCTCTCTCTCTTTCTCCCCCCCTCTCCTATCTCCTGCTCAGCTGGCAAGCTTCAAGCTGTTGTCCAACAACCTCCGGGGTAGGCAACCTCGTCTCTTTTATGACTCATGGACTTCAACTCCCAGAATTCCTGAGTCAGCCTAGCTGGGCTAGCTAGCTCTCTCCTGCCCTTCCTGCTTCCTGCTTCCTTCAGAGATGCAGCAAAGGGAGGAGCTCCACCCAGAAAGCTTTTCAGCTCCTCAGAGAACACTGTGAGTGCACTCTCTTTTACACACACACACACACACACACACAAAACACACACACACACACACACACACACCCAGACACAAACACACACACAGAGAGAGAGAGAAGCAGGGAAGTGCAATTGCCTCTCTCTGTCTCTGTCTCTCTCTGCAAAGGCAGAGGAGACTGGGAGCCACAGGGGGAGGCTCAAAGAGCCGCATGCGGCTCCGGAGCCGCAGGTTGCCGACCTGTGCCCTATACTTAGGTTATCAGGTACCTTCCACTTCATTAAACCTGCCTGATGACATACAAGGCACACCAGGCAGGAAACTTCAGAAAAGTGAAACACTCACCTTCAAATCAAGGAAGGAAAGCTCTTTAAAGATTCATTTGTCAGGTACAGGTGGAGATGAAGAAAAGCAAGTTAGACGGAGGGACTCAGAAAAACTTTTTGTGGAGGTCCTGGCTCAGAAATTAGACAAATAGTATCATTGCTCAAAATCCAAATAGCACCAGGCGCATACGATTTCTCAGGATATTCCTGAATAAAAATGCTTCTTTAAATTAATTGAATTTGACAGCAGGATGTGATAAAGCTAGATACTGGAATTATGAATTATTCCGGTGTTTTATTATGTATTTCAAATTCATCATCAGAAAAAATTGTTGTTGTTGTTAATTGCGAAGTTGTGTCCGACCCATCGCGACCCCATGGACAACGTTCCTCCAGGTCTTCCTGTCCTCTACCATCTTCTGGAGTCCATTTAAGTTCACACCTACTGCTTCAGTGACTCCATCCAGCCATCTCATTCTCTGTCGTCCCTTCTTCTATTGCCCTCAATCTTTCCCAGCATTAGGCCCTTCTCCAGTGAGTCCTTCCTTCTCATTAGGTGGCCAAAGTATTTGAGTTTCAACTTCAGGATCTGGCCTTCTAAAGAGCAGTCGGGGTTGATCTCTTCTAGGACTGACCGGTTTGAACGCCTTGCAGTCCAAGGGACTCGCAGGAGTCTTCTCCAGCACCATAGTTCAAAGGCCTCAATTCTTTGGCGCTCAGCCTTTCTTATGGTCCAACTTTCACAGCCATACATTGCAACTGGGAAAACCATGGCCTGGACTATACGCACTTTTGTTGGCAGGGTGATGTCTCTGCTTTTTAGTATGCTGTCTAGATTTGCCATAGCTTTCCTCCCCAGGAGCAAGCGTCTTTTAATTTCTTGGCTGCAGTCCCCATCTGAGGTGATCTTTGAGCCCAGAAAAATAAAATCTGTCACTACCTCCATTTCTTCCCCATCTATTTGCCAGGAATTGAGAGGGCCGGATGCCATGATTTTGGTTTTCTTAATGTTGAGTTTCAAGCCTACTTTTGCACTCTCCTTCTTCACCCGCATCAAGAGGCTCTTTAGTTCCTCTTCACTTTCTGCCATTAGAGTGGTATCATCTGCATATCTTAGGTTGTTGATATTTCTCCCGGCAATCTTAATTCCAACTTTTGATTCATCTAGCCCTGCCTTTCTCATGATGTGCTCTGCATATAAGTTAAATAGGCAGGGCGACAGTATACAGCCTTGCCGGACTCCTTTTCCAATTTTGAACCAATCAGTGGTTCCGTGTCCAGTTCTCACTGTTGCTTCTTGACCCGCATATAGTTTCTCAAGAGACAAATGAGATGGTCTGGTACTCCCATCTCTTTAAGAACTTGCCACAATTTGTTGTGATCCACACAATCAAAGGCTTTTGCATAGTCAATGAAGCAGAAGTAGATGTTTTTCTGGAACTCCCTAGCTTTCTCCATGATCCAGCGTATGTTGGCAATTTGATCTCTAGTTCCTCTGCCTCTTCGAAATCCTGCCTGTACTTCTGGTAGTTCTCGATCCACATACTGCTGGAGTCTAGCTTGTAGGATTTTAAGCATAACTTTACTAGCATGTGAAATGAGTGCAATGGTGCGATAGTTTGAACATTCTTTGGCATTGCCTTTCTTTGGAATTGGAATGTAAACTGACCTTTTCCAATCCTGTGGCCACTGTTGAGTTTTCCAAATTTGCTGGCAAATTGAGTGTAGCACTTTTACTGCATCGTCTTTTAAGATTTTGAATAGCTCAGCTGGAATACTGTCACCTCCACTAGCTTTGTTGTTGCTCAGATTTTCTAAGGCCCATTTCACTTCACATTCTAGGATGTCTGGTTCGAGGTCAGTGACCATCTCATTGTGGTTATCTGGGATGTTAAGCTCATTCTTGTATAGTTCTTCTGTGTAGTTTTGCCATCTCTTCTTAATCTCTTCTGCCTCTGTTAGGTCTTTGCCATTTTGGTCCTTTATCATGCCCATCTTTGCATGAAACGTTCCCTTCATATCTCCAATTTTCTTGAAGAGATCTCTGGTCCTCCCTATTCTGTTGTTTTCTTCTATTTCTTTGCACTGTTCATTTAAGAAGGCATTCTTATCTCTTCTAGCTACTCTCTGGAATTCTGCATTCAATTGGGTGTATCTTTCTCTTTCTCCCTTGCCTTTTGCTTCCCTTCTTTCCTCAGCTATTTGCAAAGCTTCCTCAGACAGCCATTTTGCTTTTTTGCATTTCTTTTTCTTTGGGATGGTTTTACTTGCTACCTCTTGTACAATGTTGCGAACTTCCATCCATAGTTCTTTAGGCACTCTTTCTATCAGATCTAATTCCTTAAATCTATTTGTCACCTCTACTGTGTATTCATCAGGAATATGATTTAGTTCATACCTGAGTGGCCTAGTGCTTTTCCCTACTTTTTTCAATTTAAGCCTAAATTTTGCAACGAGAAGCTCATGATCTGAGCCACAGTCAGCTCCTGGTCTTGTTTTTACTGACTGTATAGAGCTTCTCCATCTTTGGCTGCAGAGCACATAGTCAATCTGATTTCTATGTTGACCGTCTGGTGATGTCCATGTGTAGAGCCGTCTCTTGGGTTGTTGGAAAAGAGTGTTTGTTATGACCATCGTATTCTCTTGACAAAATTCTATTAGCCTGTGCCCTGCTTCATTTTGTACTCCAAGGCCAAACTTGCCTGTTATTCCGGTTATCTTTTGGCTTCCTACCTTAGCATTCCAATCCCCCATGATGATAAGGACATCATTTTTTGGTGTTAATTCTATAAGGTGCTGTAGGGCTTCATAAAACTGGTCAATTTCATCCTCTTCAGCACCAGTGGTTGGAGCATAGATTTGGACTATTGTGATATTGAATGGTTTGCCTTGGATTCGAATTGAGATCATTCTGTCATTTTGGGGATTGTATCCCAGTATTGCTTTTCCTATTCTTTTATTGACTATGAAGGCTACTCCATTTCTTCTGAGGGATTCTTGCCCACAGTAGTATACCTGATGGTCATCTGAGTTAAATTCACCCATTCCTGTCCATTTTAGTTCGCTGATTCCTAAGATGTCGATGTTCAGTCTTGTCATCTCTTTTTTGACTACGTCTAGCTTGCCTTGATTCATGGATCTTACATTCCAGGTTCCTATGGAGAAAAAATCTTTACAGCATCAGACTTTCCTTTCACCACCAGATATATCCACAGTTGAGCGTCCTTTCGGCTTTGGCCCAGTCGCTTCATTCTTTCTGGCGCTATTAGTACTAGCCCTCTGCTCTTCCCCAGTAGCATATTGGACACCTTCTGACCTGAGGGGCTCATCTTGCAGCGTCATATCTTTTTGCCTTTTAGTACTGTCCATGGGGTTTTCATGGCAAAGATACTGGAGTGGTTTGCCATTTCCTTCTCCAGTGGATCACATTTTGTCAGAAAAAATAATGATATAGAAATCACGTCTGCAGTGTAACTTGTCACTTTCCCCTATGAAAAAGGTTAAAATCAGGATAATTATTACCTGATTACTTAATAGAGTTAATTATGCCCTTGAATAATACCTGAAGTTTTACAAATGTTAAAAGGGGTGGAAACATTAAAAGAAAATAGCATAGGGCACCAAAGGTGCTGGAAACTCACAGGCACGGATTGACATGTGTCTTTCAATATTAGAGGGCCTTCTCCTGGGTCTTTGACAGGTTGGATCAATAAAATCGACAAAGTCTAATATTAAGTTATTGGCAATTTCAAAGTAATTGATATTGAATGGAGCAGGTAACCAAGCAAAACCTACTACAAACACACAGCTGCAAACATTTAGTTGTATCCTCTATATATGTATGTAGAATGCTCATTCATTGAGATTTTAGTATTTTATCTTTTAAAAAGTGGCAGTTTGCTGTTATCATCTTACCATTCATTCATTCATTCATTCTTCATTTTCTTAGCTCGATCATGTGGATTTGCTGTCCCAGCACCAGTTTTGAGTTCCTCTAACACCATGCTTATCCAGTTTCATTCTGATGAAACAGAGACCTACAGTGGGTTCAAAGCTGTATTTTTCTTTATTGATGTTGCAGGTAAAAAAAAATGTTTGTGTGTACAGTATGTGTGTCTTAGTTCTGCATACATATGCATAGTATATTTTGTCCACTTCAGTATGTTGTTTATAGCAGCAAACTGCTTTCAAATTGCTAGATTTCAGTGGATCATTAATACATTTTTATTCTAAATCAAGTCATAATTTATACTTTAATCACATTTCTCCTGCCTTTCTAATGTAATACTTGAATTAATGAAGTGAAGTATAAAGTTTACCAGCTCTGGAGCCTATCCAGAATAGTGATTAATACAATCACCCGGTTATAACTAGTGCAATTTATCATGGACAGATTTATATCATCATAACCATATCTAGATGAAGCCACAAAATTGTTAGCATGGATGGCTTCTAACCCCCAGATCATATTCAGAAATCAGTCCCTGGAATGTCCAGATAGGTGTGGAAACATTCTTACTTGAAAATTTAGACAGGCCTGTGAATCAGTGCTGACAATATTGGGCTAGATGGTCCACTAATGGCTTGTCATAAGACATTATCTGAAATTGTTCTGTCTTGCTCCTAATTAGCTGGTCATGGTGACCACTGTATTGTATTTTGGAGACAGGTTTAAAACCTGCTACTCTAAATTTACCACACTGTCTTCTATGCATCTAAAATCATAATACATGACATATCTTAAACCTGATTTTCCACAACCTGCTACTCTTCAGATTTGGACATTCAATATTAACAGCTTCAGATTGAGAAAATCTGATCCGAAGTATTAAGAGAATGAAGCAATGGTGATACGAATTAAGAACCACTATTACACTAATATTGATTTCATGTACCAATTTCATCTGCCACTCCAGGTTCAAGCTGTCCTTTGTACTGATATATCTTTAGTGTAATAACATAGGCAAAATATGTAAGTGTAAGTAAGCCATGGTGCCGCCAAATTACAGACCATCAGTTAAATCAGTTACTTCTCTGCATATACACGTAGTTGTAAATTGAATTTTTATCTTTCCTGGTGAAAGCTGAATAACATTCATTACAGGAATTCTGAGAATGCCTCTGTGTGCTTGTTCTTCTGGTTTTGTTAGATTTAAACATAACAAATTCGAGCAGTGGAATGATACTTGAAGAAATCAGTGAGCCTGCAAATGAAACAGACATGCCTGGTAAATATGCTTCTCATGGGAATCTCTTTAATAGCCCCAAAGAAGGGGAAAATGAAAGCAGAGAGAAATCCAGAATTTAATTTGTAAATATTCTTGGTATAAATGTGACATATACTGTAGCTTAACACATGCAAAACAATAATTATGCAAAATTTCTGTAAGCATTCTATCATCACTCACCAAATCTTGATGGAAACTGTGTTATGCTAATACGTAATTCATGGATGAATCCGCTTATTTAAGAATGAACCTCACAGATTAGAAACCTGAATTTTTGTAAATTATTTTATAGAATATTGGCCAATCAGAACCTCAATCTACTGGATTACACAAAGGGGTCCATTATACAGATAGTCCTTGACTTACGACCACAAATGAGCCCAACATTTCTGTTGCTAAGTGAGACATTTGTTAAGTGAGTTTTGCCCCATTTTACGACCTTTCTTGCCAAAGTTGTTAAATGAATCACTGCAATTGTTAAATTAGCAACACGGTTGTTAAATGAATCTGGCTTTCCCATTGACTTGGTTGGTCAGATGTCGCAAAAGTGGATCACATCCCCCTGGGACACTGCAATCATCGTAAATACGAGTCAGTTGCTAAGCATCTGACTTTTGATCATGGGGATTATGGGAGTGCTGCAAAGATCGGAAGTATGAAAAATGGTCATACGTCACTTTGTTCAGTGCCGTTGTAACTTCGAATGGTCATTAAATGAACTGTTGTAAGTAATAGTAATAGTAATAGTAGTAAAGTTGGAAGGGACCTTGGAGGTCATCTAGTCCAACTCCCTGCTCGGGCAGGAAACCCTACACCATTTCGGACAAATGGCTGTCCAGTCTCTTCTTAAAAACTTCCAGTGTTGGAGCATTTACTTCTAGGCAGCTGACTGATTAATTGGTCAAAGTTTCTCCTTAGTTCTAGGTTGCTTCTCTCCTTGAAGTTTCCAAGCCTTCAGGTGCTTTGGATAGCTTAAGGCAGCCCCTGAGATATTGGAATACTGCTATCATGTCCCCCCTTGTCCTTCTCTTCGTTAAACTAGACATGGTTCCTTATATGTTTTAGCCTCCAGTCCCCTAATCATCTTTGTTGCTCTTCTCTGTACTCTTTCTAGAGTCTCAACATCTTTTTTACATCGTGGTGACCAAAACTGGATGCAGTATTCCAAGTGTGGCCTTACCAAGGCATTGGAGTGGTATTAATACTTCACATCTTGATTCTATCCCTCTGTTAATGCAGCCTAGCACTGTGTTGGCCTTTTTGGCAGCTTGGCTCATATTTAGGATTGTCTACTAGGACTCCGATGTTACTACTATTGAGCATGCACCTATGGCCATTTGGTTTTTCTTGCCTAAATGTAGAACACTTTTTTCACCATTGAATTTCATTTTGTAGAATAGTGTTCATCTGTCCAGGGAGTGTTGGCTAAGCTATGGGTTCCCCATCCATATTGATGAAGATGTCATCTGGACTACCTGTAATGGGAAGGCTTTAAGGAAGGTAAAAGAAAAAGGCATAAAGTGACAGTGCTCTAGTGGTGGCTCATAAAGTATTTTTCTAGCAAGACTTGTTAGATGGCCACAGTGAAGTGACTTTCCTCTTGATGGATGGAGATGGGATGCACTTGGCCATTGCACACTGGTAGAATAATTAGGGATTGAAGTATGGGTACCATATTGAAGGTCATCTGATGGACCACCTATCCATTTGGAAAAAGGGCTTTTACTTAGGATAGCCACTGCACACCTCCCCCACCTCTTCTTCCTGATACCAACTTTTAGAGTGGCAAATCCCCACTGCTGTGCTGCTACTGTTACTGATAGCTTATCTAGGCAGTATTTCTAGGCAGTGGGAACTTTAAGATAGGTGGACTTCAACTTCCATTGCTGGCTGTGGAATTCTGGGAATTTAAGTTTACCCATTTTAAAGTTTTCAAGGTTAAAAAATTGACCTAGCAAATAGTCTCACCAATCCTTGCTTGTAAAGAACCAGCTGTACAATATTAAATTGATATAAGCTACTCCTAAGCCAGGGGTGTCAAACTACCAGCCCGTGGGCCGGACACGTCACCAGGAAACCACACCCACTCCATTGCTGGCAATGGGGAAAAAGCTCTGATATGTTGCGCAATGTCACGTGACATCGCGAGTTTGACATGTCTGCGCCTAAACAATCTAAAGAGTCAGTGAAGGGTAAATAGCATTGTTTTCCATGAAGAATGTTGTGCTCTACATTTATATTTTCTCTGTTAACAGATGATAGTTGTGGATTAGCATCCAACCAGCCGAGATTTCTCTTTAATCGGATAGTTGGCGGTGAGGAAGCTGTGCCACATTCTTGGCCTTGGCAGGCCAGCTTGCAGATTTTGGATGAAAACATCTGTGGTGGAGCTGTTCTCACAAGAACCTGGGTGGTTACTGCTGCTCATTGTTTAAAAAAAGAGTAAGTACAATATGGATACTCTAGTTTTGAGAGGGACTATTCAATGTAGAAAACATACCAACAAATGCATAAATTAGAATGCAATGTTCTGTATATCTACTCACAATTGTCCAGGTAAGTAGACACATTGACTAATGCAGGGTAATTTAGCAATAATCTAACTTAAATCTGGTTTGTTTGGGTTTTTTGCATCTCTAAGAAACATTTCCTGGATTACAGGTTTTCAGAGAATTATTTTGTAATTATGTAGAAATAGTTATATTACTTATTCAAGGTTTGATTTAGCCAAGTAACTATCTAATGGTGAGTCTGAACTATCAGTTTAAAACATAGGTGGTGGGTTAGATAACAATATATATAACAATATATATTTTTTAAAGAAAATAAAGAGTTGCAGTAGTTTGTTGACCCTATGCTTAAAAACACTTTCGCTTATACAATTTTTTGTGGCTGTAACAACACAAAATGTAAAGTACTTATCCAACTAAATTTCAGTCATCAACACTTTTTAGATTTGACAAATTCAGTATTTTATCCACTTATGTTATTATATTAAAAATAAAGTTGATTTTTTCTGGCAGCTCTTGATCTTTCTCTGCTAGTCCAAGAGTTACTTGCACTAGCAGTTACTGGGGAGCTTGTAACAATCCCTATATATTCATGCATACAACAGTATTTCAATCCTGTTAATCAAGATCTAATTGAAAGCTAACTTCGTGACTAGATGATGACTTATAATAAAAAGATTCTTTCTCTCTCCATTGATATGGTTGAAAAAAAATCTTTAAAATCATTGGGAATAGTCAATTGTGTAGTTATAGAAGCAGACTATTTTCAGGGCCTCATCTTAAAACCAAACTTCACTCCCTATATTAGTTAATTTACTATTTAGAACTTATGAACCATTACTCTGATAAGAAATTAACTTGGGCTTTACATAAGCTACTTACTCAACATTTTCCTACCAAATTATCAGCAGCAGTATTGGAAAATAAATGGAAAATTGATAATTGGTATAATTTGCATTTGTGCTATTTCCCAAAGTATGTATAGCCTATTCTCTATTAATATAGTTGCAATTTACCAGTACAACCTACACTCCTCCACCACTATTATAACCTTACTTTCCTTTTGTATCTCATTGAGTACAGAATTGTGTTCTATATTAAATCTATATTCTATATTAATTATATTCTGTATTAACTAATGAACAAGCTCGTTTCAATACAATTAATAACAGAATGCTATGCTATGTATGCCATCCTAAGTTCAGTATATAAGCTGAGCAAACAGGAGAAGAACAGCAGCAAAACTGTAAACTAAAAGCAGATATAGTATATGAATGAAACCAGTCATCTATCTTCATAAAAAAAAACATAACGGACATCCAATTTTTTAAGATCCACTTTAAAATAAAGCTGCATTATATAACATTCAGTAAGAGTAATCAACCATAGGGAAAAAAAAATTCTTCTGCTCATCAGCCTAATGCAGTAACTCTAACCAGTCAACATGTGAATTGAGTCTTTATGGTTGATCTAAGAATCTAGACATTGGCAGACTGTCATAGTGATTTCATACCAGAATGGCCATTTCATGTACCTGAAAGGAAACTGATAGCTATCTCCATCAATCAAACCTACAAATCTCCTTTAAACTTAGCCTCATATATAGCACATGACAGTGGTTTAATTGAGGTATAACCAGAGTATGGCGTTAAGTCCTACTTTCTCCAAAAGATTCAGCTAACAAATTAGCACTTGTGGTAACCAATTACCTTTACCATGTTTTTTACCTATATTTGATCAAACCCATCATGATACATGTGACAAATGCCATCCAGTTCTCAAGACCAATGTTTTATTTCTTCTAATTGTGAATAGTAAGGTCATCATACAATTCTGATTCAATTTCAGGCCAGTAGTACTCATGGCTTGGTTCACCTCATTATACCAGCATCTAACTCTCAACTAACTTCTGCAACTTTAATTATATTAACTGGGCATGATATTAATGTATTCCATTTAATGACAAAGTCCCTCTTTGATAATTATTGATAGTTATGTTACTGCCTGTTGCTACATGACAGTTACAACATTTATATGTAACATTTATATTCTCATTTCTTCTCATTACTGAGGCTCTATGAAATAAATTGGAAGTTTCATCCCTATCAAGTGACTGGACATTTTTTAGACATAGTAAATATATTGAAGATTTTTTATTATATAATCATATTTTAACACCTAGTGGCAAATATGAACTTACTTGGTTTGTGATCAATACTGGATTCTTATTTCAAATTCAGTACTTTTGTTTATCTACCAATGAATAGGGGAGTATGAGAGATGCTATGCTTGAGCTGATTAAAGCAATATTTGAATTATATTGTTTTTCTAGAGGAAAATATCAAGATCTGTGGAGAGTGGTGGTGGGCACTCATGATATAAAAGAGCAAGAACAGAGCAACCAAGTTAGTACAAGTTGTTTTTTCTTTATGACATAATGTGAGTTGATCGTGAACATGTAGAACTCTATAATCTATGAACCAATCTCAGTTCTTTTTAAGGAAAGTGATCCTTTTTAGTTGAACTGAAAATGGTTTGGGAACTATTTTGCATTTTATAATACTGGTAAAGCCAGTCTTACAGGATTTTTGAAGCAATATGAAACTTGTCAAACTTGTTCAGTTTAAGCATTGAAGCATTTTGTTGAAGTATTTACACTATTAGCTATGATTTCTATTTGAATCAGCAAATACTTTCCAACCTAATAGAGCTCTTAAAAGTGTTTGGTTCTGCTGCAGGATTACATTTATGATAGCTAAGACAACTAGGCTGGAAAATGTCTTTCTTTGATTTCTGGATACTATTTCCTTCCTTTGTTTTTCTTGCTTTTTCTTTTTAATATCTATCCTTTTATTGTCTTTATTATCTAGTAGTAAATAAGGAATTGGAATATGAATCATTAAATGTAGAGACTTGATTATTACCAGATCCTTGGGAATCTTGAGTATCATTGTTTGAAGCACAAACGTTCCACTCTGTGTTGCGCTGACTGGTAGATGATGAAGAGTTGCCTGGGTCGAACGGTCTACAGCAGAGTTACCAACTGTGGCAATTTCCAGGTATATGGGTTTCAACTCCCAGAATTCCACAGCCAGCATAGCCATTGTTGAGAATTCTGGGAGCTGAAGTCCACTCACTTTCAATTTGCCAAGGTTGGGAAACACTGGTCTATAGCAGTGGTGGGATTCAAATATGTGAACAACTGGTTCTCTGTGTGGATGCCTAAGCAGGGGGTTGGACTAGATTACCTCCAAGGTCCCTTCCAACTCTGTTATTCTATTCTATTCTATTCTATTCTGTTCTGTTCTGTTCTATTCTCTGTGGTAAAAAAAATTATAAAATCTCACTTAATCTCATTTAATAACCACCCTGCTTAGCAACAGAAATTCTGATCCCAACAGTGGCCATGAGTCAAGGACTATCCTATATTGAACTCTGCTGTATCCATGTCTCAGACAGATCAACTGGCATGCACCCAAGTTGATAAGCATATCCAATATACATGAGCATATATTCTCATATAACATGCTGCCATGATTTCCCCATGTGTAGAAAAGATTGGTGAAGCAGTACATCACACATCCGGATTTTAACACCAGTACTCTGGATTCAGACATTGCTCTAGTGGAACTTACTGAGCCTTTAGAATTCAATCATTACGTTCATCCAGTGTGCCTTCCAGAGCAAAACAAGAAGACCGAACCTTCAAGGATTTGTGTCATTACAGGATGGGGCATTCAGTATGAAGGTGAGCATTTCCATCAGAACATTCTCTTCATTGATTAGCCAGAATGATTCTTATCCAATTCTTCAACCAAGGGAGTGTATGAAAAAAAGCTATAGAAAACAAGTAAAGGTAGACTGCAAGAATGATAGCATAACACATATCAACTCAGTGTGTTACACATAAGGCAGGGTTAGAAGATCCTTTTTCTACCAAGAATTACATTCCATGATAGGCAATCTCTTAGGGGGTTCCATGCAAGGCCAAACCAGTGGTAGGCAAGCCTCCCTTTTTCATTTTGCCTCCCATTCCCCTCTTTTTTTGTTATCACTTTCTCTTCCTTCTTCTCAGGGAGGTTTGTTCACTCTTGCCAGATGCCCAGAGTGATTTCTCGGAGGGATTTTGAAATTAGACCAAGGGTTCCATGAAATCAGCTGCTATCTTTCTTTTCAACATTAAGGTCCTCCTGATTGCTTTCTTCATTGTAAACTATTGTTTTTCCTCTCTTTCACCTCAAGATGGAGCACAGTCAAGTAAACTGCACCAACTCAAAGTTCCTATTTTGGTTTCCGAAGAATGTCAGAAATACTATGAGAACTATCCTGGTGTTGTGAACGAAAAGATGTTTTGTGCTGGGTTTCCTGCAGGAGGAGGAAAGGATGGATGTACGGTAAGCTGCCTATGGAATATATGCATTTCACAAATTCTGAAGCTCTCCAATAATACTAAGATGATGACAACAAAACTGTTTCACAGAGAATTGATGTACCTCTGTTCATGTTTTTTGTTCACCCAACCAAAAAAAAAAAATCATATCTAATGCAGGGTATGTTTTGGCTAGGAAGTTGGTTGCAAAAATCTGAACATCTATTAGATGCCAGCAAAGAGATGATGAAAAACCAGATTTCTGCAGCAGAGATATTATCCTTTCTATCAGCCTGCCTCTATATTCTTGCATTTGTCACCTCTGCCTCCCCTCTCCACCAACATCTTCCCTTATTAAGTGAGCAAATATGAGGGGGACTTTTTTGCACATTTGATTGAGAGTAGTTGGAAGATCCTGATCTAGTGGGTTTCACAGGTTATATCCTAGACCAGGGGTCTTCAAACTTGGCCCTTCTATGACTTGTGGACTTCAACTCCCAGAATTCCTCAGCCAGGCATGCTGGCTGAGGAATTCTGGGAGTTGTAGTCCACAAGTCATAAAAGGGCCAAGTTTGAAGATCCCTATCCTAGACAAATATGCAGAGAAATCCCCTATTCATACCTCTCCATAGAACAGGATGGATTACAGTGGAACAAAGAGATGTGGAGGCTTTGATATTAACAGGAACACCCTAGTCAACCATATTTCCCGAACACTGTTTGTTTATCTGTTGAATTTATTTGCTGCCTATCTCACTGTAGGGCTACTCTAGGTGGCTTACAATAATAAAAAGGAAGAAAAATGAAAGATGTGTAAACAGAACAGAAGTAAACAATACAACAATAAAATAAGCCATGACAAAGGAACATGGTTCTCGTTCCCTATAAAAAATGTTCTGTTTGATAAATTACTTAAGGAGAAATGTTCTGCTATGAAAACTGCTTGTTGGAAAACATTGAGGAAGCAGTTCCTATGATTTATTTAGCAGGCTTGTCTCCTTAAAATGTGCATCTTTCAGGAAGAATAGATTAGCAGACATCTGCTGTCTTGCACTGTCTTCAGAACTTAGCAGGATCCATCTTCATTTGCTGATAAATGGTGAGGAATAATAAATAACCAGAAAATAATGATGGGATGGCAACAGGAGTTATATTCTTAACTCCTTATTGGTTGCTACGGGTTGCCAATCTTGGCAGGTCTTGAAAAAGTTAACCAGGGTTTGTCTTTGTTAGTATTTGAATCAGAGTCTACTGGGAAATTCCATGGCTGTAGATTAGATTGGGAAGATGAAAAAACTCCCTGGAGGAAGGCAACAGCAAACAACTTCTATACTGTATCAGAAAAGAGATGGAGGTGTCCATGTAGTCACTATGAGTCAACTGATATTTGAAATAGCAATAGCACTTAGTCTTATATATTGCTTCACAGTGCTTTACAGCCCTCTCTAAGCAGTTTACAGTCAGCCTATTGCCCCCTCATTTTACTGACCTTGGAAGGATAGAAGGCTGAGTCAACCTAGAGCCGGTCAGGATTGAACTCTTGACAGTGGAATGCAGAGTCAGCCTGCAATACTACGTTCTTTTTTTTTTAATTGAAAAGTTTTATAAAAATTACAGTATACACCCCAAAACCCACCCACCCTAAACCCCCCTCTCCCTCCCCCACTTCCGAGAGCTGAGTACAGGGTTACAAATATAATAATCAAACTCTAACTAACATTAACCAACTATATAAATAACCAAGTCCATAATGCGCTTTAACTCCCCTTTAACATAAGTATAAACAAATTAAAAATAAACATAATATAAACAAGTCAATATTATTAAACAATACAGTATCCAAATTGTTAAATACTAATACTAAAAATAATAATAAAATTAATAAAAATTCAACTATAATAAACTATTAATAATAATAATACTCTAAAATTTACTCATAAACTGCAATACTACATTTTAACCACTATGCCACCACAGCTCCGGAAAATTTCATGCAGAACACATAAGCTAAGATCATAGTGAAAATCTGTGAAAACATACTTCTTTGACAAACAGATTTTGTTAACATAAGTCATATTCCTTTTCACTAGGGTGATTCTGGAAGTCCACTGGTTTGTCCTGCAAAAGACTCAAGCTACTACACCCTTAATGGAATAATCAGCTGGGGCTTTGGTTGTGGAAGAAAAGGCTATCCAGGAGTCTATACAAATGTTGCTGCTTTTGCTGATTGGATCAGTCAATACATAGATGGAAAAAATAGTATGCACTTATGTTCATTTTAACAACAGCTCTTCAACTTTGATCTGGATATTCTTCATATGCATAATCAGTAGGGACCTGCACAAAACTGTTATGGACTGACTGCTGCCCTTTGCATATATCAGAGGGGGCAGAAAAAAATCTCAGTGTAATTCTGCTCAGTCAATCAAGTAATACTGCTCCAGCCCTTTAAAGTTCAATGCATAGAAGCCAGCAGGGGAATTACAAACACAATTACCAATAAATCATTCCAATCAAATTGTTTTTAAGAGATGACAGAGCTATTTTCTGTTGCACACTCCCACCCTACCTGCAATGCCCTTGCATCTTATTTAGGAAAGAAAGCATTCTTCAGAACCAGGACTGTAAATTTATAATCTGCAGTCCTTGGGAGCAAAGGTACTCCCACCTATGACCTGACATTCAAGAACAGGAATTTCCAAACCCCAAGGGAAAATTTATCAGATTATCATGGCTCTCATTAGAAAAGGGGGAGGGGCATGTGGGGAAGGGTTGCTTCATATTAGTTAACTGAAGAGAAGGATAATTCGTGCTTTCAAAAAGCCCCCAACCTCTTGCAGCTATATTTGCTTTCAAGTTGTAACTTTGAAAGGATTCTTTTGTAATTTACCTGTGACCTGTGTTGACCAATCTGATTTAATGATTTCGACATTTCTCTCCATGTGTGGATCTATATATTGGATCTTTTTAGGGCTCCTTTGTATGTTTATGCAGAGATCCTTAAACGACCAAAAGTACTCTGGATCTTGAGAAGTCTTTTCTCTACCAGCCCCTGCAATTTTATTTTCAGATTATTTTAATTTTTTTTTTTTTGAGTCAGAGCTCATTGTTCACTTCTTCCAGTTGGTCTGGCTGTTTCTACATTAACAGTGGAGTTGGGCTACGATCCTAGTGCTGTGATGGGATGTTGTCATCTGCTAGCAATGGATTTCTAAAATCTTCATCAAAATAATTGCAATCAGTGTTAACCTTTAATTAAATGTATTCCCAGAAAGCTTAAGCTTTTCATAATCATTATGCCATTCCTTTGTTGTAATTTAATGTGGATCACCTTTCGATTGGCCTACAGTTATTGCTTGCTTCTTTATTTTTGCAGATTCATCAAGTATGGCATGAAGACCTTTGGAGAAGACAACTAAATAAAGGCACAATTTCTGAAGGGCATTGCTTAGTTCATGTATCTGAGCCCTAGATGTGTGGGCTACATTGGTAAAAAAAAAAAAAGATAAAAAAGCTGTAACTGTTCTATTCTCATATTGGGATATTCATTAATTAGTACAGTCTTAATTGTGTGCTTATATTCAAGTTTCTGTATGCATTAAGAATTACTCAGATAGTAGTAGTAAAAGCACTGAATGAGTTAGGAGTTCTAACATTCTTTTAAAAAAAGACAGTGCACCTTATTTTTACAGTAACTTTATAGTATAGAATCAGTGGTTCTCAACCTTTTTAATCCCGCAACCCCCAACCGGTCGTAAGTCGAGGACTACTCAACTGGTCGTAAGTCAAGGACTACTCAACTGGTGCAGTACCGTTTGCAGAATGGGACTTTTGGCAGGCTCAGCAGGGCAGAGACAGCCTGGACAATTCCTATGGCTTTTGAAAGCCAATAGAATTAGACTCTATTCAAGAGAGTCTATTCTATTGGCTTTCAAAAGCCAATAGAATAAAAGGAGTAGCACAGCTAAAGAAAAGGGGGAAAAAATGGCGGACTGCGTTGTTTGGCGACCCCCGTGAAATGGTCGTTCAACCCCAAATGGGGTCCCGACCCACAGGTTGAGAACCACTGGTATAGATGAATATATATTTTTTCCATATTGTTAACTATCTGCTGAAGGGAGGAGAAAAAGGGACAAAAATAAGGATGATTACGAGGCAAGAAATGTATGTGATTGTAATATTACTTATATAATAGATCAACAATGTCCAGACTCCTGATGAAAATTATACAGTTATATAGGCTTTTCACCATCATACTTACGAATGCTGCAAATAAATGTATGTAGAAGGATTTTTAACTGAGATGTTTGCTATATGTTTTCAAATAATGCTCTAAGTCTAAGGCAACGGGCCCCAACCTTTTTGGGTCTGCGGACCAGCAGCGGTAGTAGCAGGGAAGGGTAGAGGATGATTGCACAATCTAATCCCGCACATGCACAAATAAAGCTCAGCACACTTGCCTGCCACTTGCAGGATCCCTTTCCTCTAATGAAAGACAATGGCCTGTTGGTTTTCCAGTGATCTCCTTTCCAAATAAAGACCGAGAGTTCTTAGCATTTTTTAAGATCAGCCCAGGTGGGTGAGGTGCTCTCCAACCCTCTATCTTTTCTTTCTATTGACCCAAGATTCTAGTGCATCCCCAAGGATCCACCTATCTTTTAAAATGAGAAATAAGCTCAGTTTATTTAATTGGATTTATACCCCAACTTTCTATTCACAGTTTTACATCCAAGAATGTTGCAAGGCACAACGTATTTCCCGTAGTCATGCTTTGTCCAGCCAAAGGTCCTCTGAAAGCAGACACCTAAGGAACCCCAGAAAATCCTATAGAAAAAGGCAGCGCACCAGCTACCTCCAAGTACTTGAGTTCAGCAGCTCTTCTGTTTAAATGAAGAGAGTCTCTAAAGTAGTGATGGTAACCTTTTAGAGACTGAGTGCCCAAACTGCAACCCAAAACCCACTTATGCATGGTGGAGTGCCGGGCGGGTGTGGCCAATTGGGTGGGCGTGGCTGCAGTGGTAATGGCAGACTGGGTGGGATTAAAAAGTTCAATCAATCAATTCCAACTTTGCAAGATCTTTTTTTTTCCCATGAGAAGTTGAAATTGACTGATTGAAACTTTTTTTTTTTTTTGCACAGGCGGTGGAAGCCTAAAGCAAAAAGGTTTTATAAAACCCAGCTAAAGGACTGGGGCGACGGCACGTGTGCCCACAGAGGGCGCTCTGAATGCTGCCTCTGGCATCCGTGCCATTGGTTCGCCACCACTGCTCTAAAGCAACAAGGGGCAAGCTGAGCTTTTCTTGGTGGCCCAGAGAGTCTTCTCTGATCAATCTTGCTGAAAATATAATTTTTCATCTATTAAGAAATGGAACAGTAAAATTGGAGGGGAAGGTCTACGCTCAGCCTAATACAGTTAAATGAACTATGAACCCCATTGTCCAAGACCAAGGGAGAGGGGAAAACTAAGGGACTCCCTTTCCATCACTGTCCCGTGCCCGGTGGCCCTCGAGGCTGCCAACCGGGGCCGCCCCCCCCCCGCCACCCAATGGGCGCCTATCTCTGCTATTACCCTAGCCTTTGCAGAACAGGTACTGTACGTAGCCTGGGAAAAGCCAGAGCAGGTGTTGTAATCGCAGGCGCCGAGCCGAGCCAGCGGCGCCCTTTGTCCTCTGGATCAGGTGAAGCTGCGAGAAGCTTGAGGACGTGGGAAGGCGCGGCGAGATCTCCAGATCTAGGAAGTGGGGAAGAGAGGAACCTGCGAAGCTATTTCGGCTTTTCCGCCCTCCGTTCTTGCCTGCGGAGGAACTGCTGCCATGGAGCCGTTCAGCTGGGTAAGCGAAACCGAAGCCACCCTGGCTGGAAAGAATAGAATAGAATAAAAGAGTTGGAAGGGACCTTGGAGGTCTTCTAGTCCAACCCCACCCCGCTCAAGCAAGAAACCCTATACCAGTGTTTCTCAACCTTGACAATTTTAAGGCATGTGGACTTCAACTCCCAGAGTTGAAGTCCACATGCCTTAAAATTGTCAAGGTTGAGAAACACTGCCCTATACCATTTAAAAAAAAATAAAGGTTGTCCAAGCTCTTCTTAAAAACCTCCAGCGTTGGAGCGCGCACAACTTCTGGAGGCAAGTCCTTCCACTGATTAATTGTTCTCACTGCCCGGAAATGACAGAAGCTGCTCGGCGACTCCTCTTCCCTCCCGATTCTTCCGCTGAACGGAGCGCTCCCTTTTCTTTCACCAGATTGCCCCCCCCACCCCCCGCAGCCACAGGCAGAGCAAGGGGTAGCGGGACGAGTTGGGGAGACGGATTGTGGCGGCGCTTGGCGAAGGGACCGTAGGGAATTCGGGAATTCGTTCCCCACTGATGAACACAGTACAGTAATGCTTCTTTTGTCCAAACAAAGTCTGCACAGGAGTGACAAGAATAAATAAAAAAATAAAAAAAAATCGGCGTAATCTGCAGGTTTTCTTTTCAAATACCCGAAGAAACGCCACCGTGAAGAGCCCGTTAAGATATATGGATTTATTATGAACAGTTCCAGGAAGGCAGATTCTGCAGGATCCAATCTGGGTTGCTCGCCGGTCCCGGTGACCGACCCAGATTGGACCCTGCAACGTTATCCTGGGACATTCGCCTTACATACGTAAGGCAGATTGTGGCTGCCTTTTTGGAGACGTTTCCTTACAAATGCGGTGTCACAGCGTAGGGAGGGCTTCTCTATCTCCTCATTGGATAGACAGCCCAGTTAATATTTTAAATCTGGATTCCCACAACAAGCAGAGATTTTGAGTTCAAAGCCCAAGGGACCCTTTTTAACCAAATAAATTATATATTTCCAGGCTGGGTGGGCGGGTGAGTGGGGTCTTATGGTTACCAGCATTAACACTTCCATTTGTAATAATTCATTCCTTTATCTATCTTCTGATGATCTGAAGTAATACTGTAGATTTATTATTTTTTTTACAGCTTGGACACAAACATAAAAAAGTTGGCACAAGAAGTGGTAGTGAAAAAATACAACTCATATCTGCTCCACCTCTGAAAAGTGGTAACCTGAACTAACTTGTTTATATAGCCGTGCATGTCTGCATTAAGACAAGTTTCACATTTCTTAGGTGGAAAAGTGATAAATGGAGGTTAGAAAAATGACTTTTCATTATCCAGAGTCAGATATAGTTAATGAATTCTGCTCTTGCCTTTAATAAACCGAAAGCTTATGTTTTCCTTAGTCATAAAGTAGACTGTATGACTTTTAGACAAGTTGATCCTTGTCTGGGTCCTTGGTCTTTTTGGTAGGCACATTTAGGGTTTTGAGAGCAAGTTACCAAACTTCCGTATATCAGATGAACAAAAGTCTGGGCAGCAGCCAAACACTCCAACACTAGAAGTTTTTAAGAAGAGACTGGACAACCATTTGTCTTAAATGGTATAGAGTTTCCTGCCTGAGCAGGGGGTTGGACTAGAAGACCTCCAAGGTCCCTTCCAACTTTATTATTATTATTATTATTATTGATCATCGCACAGTCAGCCAGATGTTCAGACTGGATTTGGCATTTTTGTCTAACTATCGAGTCCTTTCCAAGGACCTGGGATAGGCAGATGTGGATGTTTGATGGTATTATAGGTATTGTCACAGGATGGAAGCAGTTCCTAGGAAGGCCGCCTTTTGCAATTGACTGATGGCGAATTTGTCAATGCCAGTGGTGTCCAAGTGGTGCTCCAGTTGTTTTGGGATTGCACCCAAGGCGCCTATTACTATTGGTACTACCCTTGCTTGCCTTTGCCACAGTCTTTCTATTTCTATTTGTAGGTCTTTGTATTTTGTTATTTTCTCCAGTTCTTTCTCGTCTATTCTGCTGTCTCCAGGCACTGCCATGTCCACTATCCAGACTTTTTTGTCTTTCTTATCAACAATTGTTAAGTCCGGGTGTTATGTTGCAGGTGCTTGTCTGTTTGAATTCTGAAGTCCCAGAGCAGTTTAATTTTATCATTTTCTATGACTTTCTTTCTATGTATTATTATTTTCATCATCATTACTACTACTACTACTACTACTACTACTACTACTACTACTACTATTATTATTATTATTATTATTTCATTTTCTAAGAATGATTCTGGGTGCACTCAGGCATCATGGAAATTCAGGTAGTCTTCAACTTACAACAGTTCATTTAGTAACCGTTCAAAGTTACAACGGTGCTGAAAAAAGTGACTTATGACTGTTTCCACACGACCATTGCAGCATCCCCATGGTCACGTGATCAAAATTCAGATGTTTGGCAACTGCTTCTTCTAATGACGGTTGCAATGTCCTGGGGTCATGTGATCAGCTTTTGCAACGTTCTGACAAGCGAAGCCAATGGGGAAGACAGATTCACTTAACAACCATGTTACTAATTGAACAACTGCAGTGATTCACTGGCAAGAAAAGTCATAAAATGGGATAAAACTCACTTGAATGTTTCACTTAGCAGCATAAATTTTGGGCTCAATTGTGGTCGTAGCTTGAGGACAACCTATACTGCTTATTGTTGAAACTGGTGCCTTGCTTTACAGCACGATAGCTTCCCATTTATTTTTCTAAAAAATAAACCAGTCTTAGTTTAAAGAGTTAAATGGGGTTAGGGAATTCTGCAAGTGCTAAGTTCTGGATTGTAACATTGTCTCTGGATGCCACATGCAGGATCCCTGTTTGTTCAATAGATTTAAAGTGGATCAATTTGATGATAAGCTGATTGAGAAGAAGTCCAGTTTTGCACTGGAGTTTTCATTCTTTTTGCATACCTGTGCTCTTTTTTCATCTTTTAGGATATTTCTGTTTTGATTGCCGTGGCTGCAATTGTACCATCTATGCTATTTTTGCTTTATAAAATAATTGGATTTCAGAGGAAGAAAGATCCAGTGACCTTGCAGGATCCAAATATCAAATATCCATTGTCTTTGATGGAGAAAGTGGTGAGCTGTCAGTTCTTTTTTTTTTTCCCCTGAATGTATGAAAATGCCACATAAAACTCTTGACAGCCATGTGCCAAGTTGGATGTCTATATTTTAAATGAGAGATTTCAGGGGTTGGACTTGAGCCTTTGGCACAGAAAGCATGTGCGCTGACAAAAAATTGTGTCTGTTCAGAAGCATTAAAGTTTGAGCATGTGATATTGGCTTACATTTATTTTCTCATGTTTGGAAGGCCATCAATGTGCCAAGTTATTTGGAAATTTTGCCCTTGGGATATTGCATAATGTTCAGTAACAGCAGCTCTGATATACTGGAGCAGCAACAGAGGAGCTACCGCTTAAAATTTTAATATGTGGTCCAGTGTGTACAAGATTTTCCCAACCCACAACTGGGTACGTAGTATATTCAGTCCTGTGGGGTTGTGCAATGATCTAATAGAGGCATAAAAAGAAAGAAAAAGAAATATTCCAAGGAATTAAATCTTAAATGATTACGGGGGCCACATTGCATAAAGTATGCTACCTGGTGGGCCGCATTCATGTACATAGAAATATTAAAAACTGAACTGAAACTGAATATTTTTTATGAAATATAAAATAGGTAACATTATTCAGTGTACTCAACATCATATTCCTGGTGTGGCAGCCAGCCACGTTTCTCATTGACTGGCAACTGTATTATCCAAACTGGGACACTTTGAGAGAGATAGGGGGACATTAAAAAATAATAAACACATATGAAAATTACATAAATCTTGTGAATGTTCTTAATTTTCCTGTGTTTCCCACTGACCTCACTGTCTATCTCTACAGCACCTCGGGCAATTCCATTGATAGGCAAACTAGCTGATTCAAGGGAAGTAGAATGAGAAGATACACAAGCCCAGGGGTAGCAAACTTGGTTCTTTTATGACTTGTGGATTTCAATTCCCAGAATTCCTGAGCCAGGAATTCTGGGAGCTGAAGTCCACGAGTCATAAAAGAGCCAAGGTTGCCTACCCCTGACCTAATCTATAACCTTGGATGGCTAGCTGAAGACTTCACTGATCATATTATAAATTGAGCAGGTGTCCCATGATGGATATTGGTAATTATAGCATGATTTATAACATGGCAGCATAGCTGGCTCGGGAATTCTGGGAGTTGAAGTCCACCAGTCATAAAAGAGCCAAGGTTGCCTATCCCTGCACAAGCCAATGTGTTGAGGGAAAAGCAAAGGCAGTGCCAGGCACCCTTTCTCCATATTATCTCCTTTATGAGGCCTCAGACAGCTGCTGTCTTCTTCCCTGCTGCACAGTTTGTGAGGCTCAGACTTCACCTTTAACCCCCACAGTGCCTGCTTATACGGCATCAGTTTTTCTCTCACAAGGTTGCAGTGTTGGCTTCCTTTGTGGGGGAGGAGTAAAGTGCTATTCACTAAGGGAGGGAATCCAGCAATGCCAAGAAAAAGACATGGGAAAAGGGTGCCTGGAGCTTGAAAATCTGGGATAAATGATAAACCAGGAGGCACGGTCACCCTATTGAGATGCTGGCTGCCAGGCATGGCCAGATGCACACAGTGGGGATGGGAGGAGAAGCTGAGCCAGTAGTGCCTCATGGGTGAGGCTGCCATAGGCCGTACCCAAAAAACTCTCAATGGGCCAGATATGGCCACAAGCTGGATGCTTGAGATCTCCGAATAAACCAATGCCCAAAGATCTTGTATGTTCTCTGCCTTGTTATGGGTAGGTCACTATGGTATCCTCAGTTCCCCCTTATCAGTGCTTTTTTTCTAAAAAAAAAAAAAAGGTGCCGGAACTAACACACGTCATACAACCTGCCTTGCCTACCCTATAAGGTTCCATCCAAAAAAGGTGCCGGAACTCCGTTCTGGGTATTCTAGGAAAAAAAAAGCCCTGCCCCTTATTTTTTTCCTCAGTTGTATATTTTAGCACATGGAAAGTGAGGCTTGTCACGATGAAAAGGTCTTAAATTATTTTTGTGATGCTTTATTGCTCAATGTTTTTCCACCTGATTTCTTTTTCCAGGATATCAGCCATGACACCAGGAGATTTCGATTTGCACTTCCATCCCCAGAACACATATTGGGCTTGCCTGTAGGTAAGCATAGCCTTATTCTTCCTGGTGCAGAGTCCTTTCATTGGTGCCTACTCACCAACATCTTCTTTGAAAAGCCCTTCTTTGAAACTTGTTTGATACTGAAGCTGTTTTTTTTTTAGCGCTGCACAAAATCTTTTGTTAATTATCTCCTTGAAATCATAAGTGATTTTAATGTTGAGATGTCGAATAAATACTATAGTTTGCAAGGACTCTCAGAGATAACAGTCTGTTTTCAACAGCATTGGGTCAGCATTATAGGTGAATAATGTTCACTTGATCCAAAGGACTGAAAATTAATTCACAGTCTGTATCAAAATGAGTAGCAAAGTTACTTCCAAGTAAGTAGTTATGCTTACTAAGTTACACTTACTATTTCATTCAACGACTCTCTTAAATGGATGGTGATGGGTTAAGTTATACTTAGGCTGGAACTTGGTCACATTGTAGGGGAAGCAGTCAAAATGCAGTCATGGGCAAACTTTCCTGGATAAATCCAATGGACAAGAGTTGGCTTTATTTTTAACTAATTGTGTTGCAGAATAGGTTATCTATCAGTTCTGGGAAATGTGGGTGGAAACTATCCAGTTGTGAAGCATCCAGCTGTGTGCACATGTTCTTTTCTTTTCTTATGGCGCTGCCACCCACCTTCTTTGAGGGACGTACTTTGCCCTGTCTTTCTTACAGGAAAATATATGGTGCCCAGATATCTATCCGTTCCCTGATAGATGATTTGCTTAACTAGAGTTTCACACAGACTGACTTGCCTTATTATTAAAGTTCTTTTATTGCAGGTGTTTATATACTGTCCTTTAATACCGTATATTCCGGCGTATAAGACGACTTTCTAAACACTTAAAATCTTCGCAAAAGTGGGGGGTCGTCTTATACGCCGGAAAAATATTACTCAGCAAGTTTTCTCTTCCCCCCCCCCTCTCTCTCACTCAAAAAGAGTCCTAGGGTTATTATTAAAACCAGACGATCAACTAAAGATATCTCTGAGAGTACGATAGGCATTATCTGGCTGTTGTGACGGTAAGATTTCCTGGAGGTTTAATCCCCATTCTATAATGCTACATTGCAAACCGTCTCCTCTCTTCTTCCCTCCCTTTTGCATCCCAATTCCTTGCCCACCCCTCCAGAACTGCGGATTGGTAGTGGCCATCCCCTGATTAATTCATTCAAAGGAAGTAGAAAGGGATGGCCCATGTAATGGGGAAGGGGGGAAAAGAATTGTAGGGTGGTTTTTTTATATAATGAAAACAAACCTAAGCATCTGCGTCCATTCGAGGCACTTTTCAGTGCTTCTTCATGCAAGCTTTTCAGCGTTTACCTCTCACTGCCGGTGAGAGTAGCTTGGGGGAGGCGGAGCTTATGGGTCTGGAAGGGGAGGGATGTCAGCTAAATTCCTCTCGGATTTATGAAGCAGGAATGGAGTGGGGACAGAAAACAGCTACACAATCCTTTCGCCTGTCGACTTCCACCGAGCTTATGCAAGCAGTTCCCCCCCTCCCCCCGCCTAAATAAACTTGCATGGTGCCTTTGTGGTGTTATTTATGACAGATCCTGGCTGGTCAATCTGGCTCCCATCTATAAGTACTGTAGTGCACTGAGTTTTAATAACAAATTAAAAGGAAAGCATTTACTCCCCCCCATTACCTGAAAAGGGGGCAACTTATCACATTTGTGGAAATGCAAGTTTTCAAAGGGCAAATGTCTTTCTTACTTGGTTTATTAACTTCTTCCTTTCCTTCTTCCCTAAACATTCTGGCTGTCTCCAATTTCATTCTTGGTAGTGTTGCTTTAAAAAACTGCTGAGAAGTCCTTTTGCAGGCAGGGCAATTTTCATCAAGGTGTGTGTGCGAGTGACAAGGCAGAGCCTTTGAAAAACAGGCAGGCTTTCTGCTCACTCAGCTTGGAGAGGCTGTGGAGTATTCGCAGGGTGGAAGACTGAGAGGAGGAGATCCCTGTGTGCAGCCTGTTTGCTCCAAGCCAAAGCTTGCTACTGGGGGGAGGGCACTGGAAGGGACCCAGGGAGTCACACGCATGCCTACATGTGCACGCACACACCCTGAGCTACTCATTTGGACTTACAGGTGGCCAATGAGAACTCAGAAACTGTGCTCCCTTTCCCCCTCCCTCATGGAATTAGCTTGTCCATTTTTTCCCTAGGGCCTATACAGGAGTAGGCAATCTTGGCTCTTTTATGACTCATGGACTTCAACTCCCAGAATTCCTGAGCCAGCATAGCTGGCTCAGGAATTCTGGAAGTTGAAGTCCATGAGTCATAAAAGAGCCAAGGTTGCCTACCCCTGGCCTATAAGATGACAGGAAGGGTTGGGCAGGCAGGGAGAGCTGATCCACCCAATCCAAGCAGGCTTTGTATACAACAACCAGCTAAGGTTCATCGCTTGCTGTGATTGGCTGGTTGTTGTATACTGGGTACATACAGTACAGCACCAGTATCTGTACCAGTTCATACAGTACAGCACCAATACATACAGTACAGTATACAAATGTCCAATAGTCAAGACCCTATCATGGCTCCACCAGCCAGAAGAAGGAAATATGAAGCCAGTTTCAAACTTAAAGTTGTAAACTTTGCCATGGAACATAATAACTGCGCTGCTGCAAGACAATATGGAGTAACAGAAAAGATGGTTCGGGACTGGAAGGCAAATGAAAAAGCATTAAAGAGTATGCCAAGGGGTAAGTGTGCATTAAGAAGAGGCACCCCACATTGGCCAGAACTTGAAAAACATGTAGCAGACATGGTGAATGAGCATCGCCAAAACGGTTATGTAGTGACACGAAATAAAATACGTTTGTTTGCACTTCAGTGGGCCAAATCTAACCCAGATCACAGCAACAGATTTAAGGCCACTGCATCCGGGTGTACTAGATTCTTGGAAAGGCATAATATGGTACTGAGGCAAAAGACGAAAATTGCACAAAAATTACCTGCAGATCTTGATAGCAAAGTAATTAGTTTCCATCAATACATACTACAACAGCGCATTAAACATGGCTATGCATTAAGTAGTATTGGAAATATGGATGAAACTCCAATGAATTTTGATATGGTTGGAAATAAAACTGTCCATCAGAAAGGTGAAAAAACAATTTTAATTAAAACAACAGGACATGAGACGTCCAGTTTTACAGTGGTACTAGCATGCACAGCTGATGGTGCCAAACTGAGACCAATGATTATTTTTAAAAGAAAAACAATGCCAAAACTCAAGTTCCCTGTTGGTTGTTTTGTACATGTGAATGAAAAAGGCTGGATGGATGAAGAAGGGGTAAAGCTATGGCTTGATAATGTATGGAGCAGGCGACCAGGTGGACTTATTCAAAAACGTAGTCTACTGGTGTGGGATATGTTCAGGGCTCATTTAACTCCCAGCACCAAGCAAAAGCTTGCAAGACTAAACACAGATGTGGCAGTTATTCCTGCAGGATTAACATCGTTAGTACAGCCACTGGATGTATGCCTAAACAAGCCATTTAAAGATCGCATTCGAGAACAGTGGAATGAATGGATGGTTAGTGGCGAAAAGTCATTCACAAAAGGAGGAAACATGCGTGCTCAACAATTGGATGTTTTGTGCAAGTTTGTCATAAAAGCCTGGAATGATATTGATGCAGAAACAATAATCAAGTCTTTCAAGAAGTGTGGCATATCAAATTCATGAGATGGTATGGAGGACGACTACTTGTGGCAAGATGAAGAGGAAGCCGAAGCTGAGACCACACCATCTGATACGGAATTCGATCCATACGATGACTGCCTTGCAAATGTATCACAAGATGTCATTGATATTTTTATGATATCAGATGATGAACAGGATGATTTTAAAGGCTTTTAAAGGGAAAGTATCATGCCAGCAAAACATATAAAAATAGCTTGCAGTTATGATGGGCGTTGCTGACTCGCCAGGGACTTGCCCGGCACTTGCTCTCTCTATTGTTTGTTATCTTCCTCCTATCATCATCAGTTCCAGTTGGGTTGACAGCTTAGAAAACAAATAGCATGGCAGCTCCCATGGGTTTATTGTCTTATCCTTCCTTTCAGCTTTAGAGTGAATTAGGAAAAGTTTAATCACTTGCACTGTTTTATGTTTACATGTTTGATGACAAACAGCCTTATGTTTATAAGTGACAGTTTTCCTGCTAAGTACCTTTATGCCATAAGCATTTGAATTAAAATTACCATATTGAAATCAAATCTGATGTTTTTTAATTTTTATTTGGTGTGCGTTGAAAGAGGGGTAGTCTTATACGGCGAGTATAGCCCAAACTCTATATTTTAACTGGAAAAGTTGGGGGTCGTCTTATACGCCCAGTCGTCTTATACGCCGGAATATACGGTATATCATAATGGAGATTGCAAAATAAAATGAGAAAGTAAAACACAGATGCCACAGAAGTGAAACTACAACCGAAAGGTGGCATATACAGTATTTAAAACTCATCTTTCATTGAACACCGGGGAGAATAAAAGATTTCAGTTTTAAATAGTGGTCAGTCATAGTTTTTCCAAGCCAGGTGTGACCCATGGATGGTGAAGGCATAGATGACAAGGACTTGTTCATGCTTGTTTCTTTGGCTGTGTCTGGCTTCAAGGATAAAAACTGGACTATTAAACCAGAAACAAGTTAGGAAACCAGGCAGATATTTTAGCATAAAAGATAGGTCTCCAATGAGGTAGAATTCTAGCACTGTATTGTGAGCTCTTAACTTTTGGAAAAGGCAGAAACTACTCAAAATAGGTTGGAATTTAACTGTTGATTACAGCTGCATCTGTATTTTATTTCAACAGGTATGCTGTCTGATGCAATCCCTTTAATATAGTCATTAACCTCTTTAAGATGTATCTGCCAAACTAATGCCGTAAGAGAGGCAGTCAAGTTACGCAAAGAAAAGAGTTAATCCCCTGTCATGAACATTAAAGTTCAGGCTGCCGTAGTTAACTAACACATGTTCATAACTGCAGTCATGCAGTTAATGTCATGATTTGTTTGGTGGTCTTCTATTTTTTTACAAGCTTGAATGGTGACACTCCACACCTCTGCAGGATCTACAGTTCAGGGGGATTTGTAGATTTCCAGATATTATTTTCTTATCAGCTAGTTGGAACTTACTTCTCCCGCCCCCACCCAGCATTTTTATGTTTATCTTTACAACTGTAGGAGGTTCTTCTTCTTTCTTAACTAAGTATATAAGAATTGACATTTTTCTCTGGGGATGAGAAGAATTGAACTCCCAACCAATTTTGCAGATGCTATCCAGTTTGGAAAAGGATCCCAAATCATTTGCTTTCTTCTTTAATGGAACTATAACTATTTTTCTCTAGGCCAACATGTATACCTCTCTGCTAAAGTCAGTGGTAACCTTGTGATTCGGGCTTATACTCCAGTTTCTAGTGATGAAGTGAAAGGATATGTTGATTTAGTAATAAAGGTAGGTTTAAACTGTTTTGACCAGGTAAATTAGTCTGTTTTTGTTGCTATGTTTCTCAAATAAATTGTTCCCTAATCCTCTAGTTACATAAGTCAAATTAGAATAGAATAGAGCTGGAAGGGACCTTGGAGGTCTTCTAGTCTAGCCCCCTGCTCAAGCAGGAGAGCCTATACCATCTCAGACAAGTGGCTGTCCAGTCTCTTCTTAAAAACCTCCAGTGATGGAGCGCCCACAATTTCTGAAGGCAAGCTGTTCCACTGGTTAATTGTCCTCACTGTCAGGAACTTTCTCCTTAATTCCAGGTTGCTGCTTTTTTTGGTCAGTTTCCAACCATTGTTTCTTGTCCTGCCCTCTAGTGCTTTGGAGAAATTTTGACCCTCACTTCTTCTTTGCAGATGTTAAAAACAGACAACACATCACATTTGATATCTAGAAATTATCTTTGAATGTATGGTTGGAATACTGTGCACAATTATTTTAGGGATAAAGCACTGAGACCGACAAGAAGAATGAGTAAATGATGAAAAATCTCTATAGCTTATTTAATTTTGTTACTTTTCTCAGCGAAACCAATGTACCTACTTACTATAGGTGCTTCTAAAACATCTGAGGAGTCCTGATTTGAATTTCTTGTTCATAATAAAAGTAAAAGGTCTTAATGGATGTTGACAGACCAGAGTATCAAAAGACAGAATGTGATATACATTGAATATTTTTAAAACATTTTATGTCTAATTTGAGATAAAGACCCAGAGTGAATAGTTCTTCTTGACCCCACTATGTGTGGTTCTGCCTGTATGTATAATGAAGAAATAATATCATCCAGAACTTAGTAAGCAACGTATTCAAAATTACTCTGAAGTGATCTTGATCATGATTTTGGGGTTATTCATTTATATTTACCATGTTAACGTTGCTTCCTTGAGGCACGCATTCTCTAAGACCTCACAAAACAAATCTAACATTAAAACCCGCTACAGAATAAAACAGTTATACTTAAAACAGGTTATAAATAAAGAAGCTCAGCCGAGAGTACATGTTCTTCAAAAGGTTAATTAAAAAGTTCTTCCCCCATTGTGAGAAGATCATTAATGTCTGGGGAAACTGTTCTATAACTGAAAAGGCCTTCTTATTAGAGCTTTCCCTACCTTGCTATATGAAGAGAGGCTATTATAGAGAAGGATTTCTAAAGATCCAGCTTCTATTTAAGATGGTATTTTAGGCAACTTGCTCCCAAACAATTTTGGGGTCTAAAACTAGTACATAAATAGGGCCATTAAATACCTGGTAAAATAATAATTGAGGGTGAAGGTTTGTTCTCCAAGCTTGTGGGTTGGTTTCCAAACATTTCATTATCGGGATAGGTAACATCTTCATCAGAGTTTAGGGGATATAATTAAATACTTCATAATTGGCCAAAAGTAACAGTCTAGGTCAGGGATAGGCAACCTTGGCTCTTTTATGACTCGTGGACTTCAACTCCCATGGCTGGCTCAGGAATTCTGGGAGTTGAAGTCCACAAGTCATAAAAGAGCCAAGGTTGCCTATCCCTGGTCTAGGTTAATACTCTTGTAACTTTATTGAGGATAAAATTATTTGCCCCTAGCATTGCAGTGGATTTGTTTTATAGAGCGTAAACAGGAGAAATGTGGCTTTTCCTGGCTTCTAATTCATGATTTATGTAACAGTACAAATTAGAATTATCTTTTCCAATGCAGACCACTGTCATCTAAATGTAAAACAGTGCAGTTATTGCATGTGTGTATTCTTTCTAGGTTTACCGCAAAAATGTTCATCCCAAATTTCCTGAAGGTGGAAAGATGTCCCAGTACTTAGACATCATGAAAATTGGTGACACCATGGATTTCAGAGGGCCTAATGGGCTTCTGGTTTATAAAGGATCAGGTACCATTTCATTGTCAAGTCCTAAGAAATTTATAATTACGAATAAGTTTGATCAACTGCTTTTGAAGAAATAAAAGCGGTAGGCAGATGAGAGATATTTATTTTTTTATTTTATTTATCAAGTTTTGAAACTATCCATCTCTCTACAGAGAGTCTCTGGGCGGATAATATAGCATGTCACAAGTTAAACAAACCTTAGATCTTTTGCCTGTGCAATCAATTTTAAGTTGTTTTTTATGTGCTTCATAGCCATTTGACCTACAATAATTTGGAATGCATCTGTGATATTTTACAGATAGCATCTCCAACTTTAGCATACTTTTTCCCACTCCTGCTGTTAATGAATATCACATTATTCATGTGGTTGAATGTAATTCATTGAATATGGCAGGGACCCCCAATCTGTGGGCTGTGGTCCACTAGCAGGCCGGGCCTATTGGCTTCCAGGCCGCGTGAGTGGCTGGCCAGTGATTGTGTCTGCACGTGCATGCACAGCCCCACTTGCAGGAGCATTGCAAGCATCGCAGGTGTTCGCAGCCCCACTTGTGCAAACATCACCACGAGTGTCACAGGCATTCACTGGTTCACTTGTGCGAGTGTTGTCACGGGCATTCACAACCCCACTTGTGCAAGCAATGGATGTTCTTGTGAGCATGCATGCACACATGCATTTATCTCCCCCCCCCAGAAAACCATCCCTTCTTTCCCTCCTCCCTCCCTTCGGGTTGCCAACCCCGAAAGTTTGGGTAAGTCTGGAATATGGTATTCAACAAATACCACATTATTCTGTTTATTTCTTTGTATCTTATCTGTTGTTTTTACAAATAACTCAAGGTGGCAAACATATCCAGCACATCTTCCTCCTCCTATTTTTTTTCACAATAACGACTGGCTTTTGTGGGTAAGGGTGGACTTGAACTCATGATCTCCTGCTTTCTAGCCTGGTGCCTTAACTACTAGACTAAATATAATTTGGTAATAACTCTAGTCAAACTATCAGATCTGAGCTGAATGTAACCAACCATTAGATGGTAGCAAATATTTACAGAATACTAGCAAATACTTACCAAATATTATAATTCTGTTATAATGGTAGCAAATACTTACAGAACATCTGTGCCACCATCTAAAGGTGGTTTATATTGCAGCAGATCTAGTTGCATGGTTCCAAAGGTCACAAGAAAACTCTCAGGAGCTGTAAACTGCTCTGGAGACTCAGATTGTACACTTGTGGATTAATATTTAGCTTTGTATGAGCTCAGGCAATTATGGCTTATTCAGCAAGCTAGTTTCAAATATATACCTAGCTTAACTCTGCTTATGAGAGGGAAGGCCTTTAGCACTATACAGGTTTTCACTCTTAGAAATCGATATAATATTGCAGATTTAATATGTAGTAATGTATATAGCTGTGATTCAGAGCTTTGCACTGGTTCAATTTTGTTGGAATTGACGCTTGTAATTTTACACAGGTAAATTTGCTATCAAATTGGATAAAAAGTCTGAAGCAAAGATGAAGTTTGTTAAGCACCTTGGGATGATTGCTGGGGGAACAGGTAGGTATTCCTTGTTTTGGGAATAGGGAGGCTTGAATAAATTTAAAAAAGCCATATACTTCCTGATTATGATGTATGCTCTAAAAGGAATTTTGTCAAATTAATATTTATTATTGTCCCCTCTATTGCAAAAGAGTAAGCACAGAAGACCTGACCAAGGCTTAGCATGGGACAGAAGATATGTCATATCAGATGCACAACTTAATTTACTTCTAAAAATGTTTGAATATTTACCCTTGTCTGGATAATTACTTAATAAGCTAACTCTGAACTATGTTTGAAGAGCTGATTATGACATAAAGTCCTAGTCAGTTTGACACTTTGGCTTTTGAAAAGCCACATTTTTATTATGAGCCTAGGCATTCTTTGAGATCTTTTAAGATTTCTTTTCTACTGATCCTCTTTCATAGTTAAATATAATTTAATATTCTGTCATTAGCCATGTGCCTCAGAAGCTGAATGTAAAATTAAATAGTGTGAGACTAGAGTCATTTAATATGAAAGGAGGAGAAAAAAGATATCCTCTTAGACAAAGTATTAAATAATATTCTTGAATCTTGGGAATGACTGTTTTATCTATCATTTCTCTCTCTCTCTCTTTTCTTATTTTGGAAATTTTGGAGAATTATATTACCTTCACTGAGTATTAAAAAAGCACACATTTGTTCTATTTTGTATGCCTTTCATGCTCACACAAATGCCCATCTAGTTTTATAGTTGACAAGGATAGGAATAATAACTAAACGTTATGGCTCTGCTTTTGGGCTATGGAAAAAATATTACTTCATTCTGAACCTCAGCTTTGATTTAATAGGAATTACTCCAATGCTTCAGCTGATCCGCCATATCACAAAGGACCCTACCGATAAAACAAAATGTTATCTCCTTTTTGCTAATCGGGTTGGTTGACTTACATTTTGCTTGCCTTTCCTTTTTGTGAAATCACTGTAAAAGCAACTAAGCCACCAGCGGTTGCTTGGACATCCACACCATCCTCTTGACTACATATCAAAAAGTTTGTTCATTGTTCTTCCTTTGGTGAAATTTTTTTTCTGGTTCCCATGGAAAGCTGGATGCTATTGATTTCAAACAGAGGTGGGAGGGAGAATGGTGAGGTAGCCAGGAAGAATTATAGTTTGAGTAGCCTCCTCATCTTCTTATATACCTCCTGTGTAAGACTGATATATGTCCAGTCAGGTGCTGACAGATTAATTCTGCATGCCCCATGGGTTCATTGGAAAGGGATTATACTTAGCACATTATTATCATTAAGCCCAATGATAAATTGCATGTTTAATTAATAGAAGAGCCGAGGTGGCGCAGCAGTTAGAGTGCAGTACTGCAGGCCACTTTAGCTGACTGTGTTCAGCAGGTCAGCGGTTCAAATCTCACCGGCTCAAGGTTGACTCAGCCTTCCATCCTTCCGAGGTAGGTAAAATGAGGACCCAGATTGTTGGGGGCAATGTAAATATATATATACATTGCTTACTGGTGTACACCGCTTAGAGAGTGCTTGCACTTAAAGCGGTATATAAGTCTCATAAATAAATAAATAAATAAATAATAGAACCAGCATGTGCCAGATGTACAGGAAATCCCTGGAAATCAGTTTTCTGATTCCACAGAATTGCTAACATCTAATTCTAACCACATTACCCACAATGTAAGCCACTCGACTTGAGAGTAACTCACTTCTAGGAAGGTTGAATAGACTGCCTTCCACAGCAAAGAGAATTGATGAATACAGGGAAGCCGCAAAACAATGTATAAAATAAGAATCCTAGATCAAAAGGTAAACTAATACTAACAATGTCAACCTGCATGCTCAACTCTGAATGGCTACTTGACTTTTGATTGGCAGACGGAACAGGATATATTACTGAAACCAGAGCTTGAAGATGTAGCTGCAAACCACTCAGACCAATTTAAATTGTGGTATACTTTGGACAGACCACCTCATGGTAAGCTGATGTTGCTCAAAGGCTAAGTGAACTCTTCTGAATAGAACCATTTAAGATAATGCCTTTATCTCTATTGCAATCATATGGGACATTTGCCTTGATATGATGCACCACTTTTACTAAAGTAGAGTTTGAATTTTTCACACATTGCCTTTCCAGACTGAAATTATTACCATTATTCCAAGGATCTTTCCACTGTGATTTGAGCAGTACAATATCAGATATTAAGTCTCTATAGAAAATTACTTGAGAAGTATATGGTTACTGTGCTGTGTTTCTAAGTAATGGATTACCTGTCACAGTTAGCGACACATGTTTTTTAACACGGGAAGGTGAAGAGTAGCATGAAAATTCACAATGCAGTCTTGCCACCTGTAGTAATAACAGTAATTAAGCAATTAGGTTTGTGCAAGTCAATAACAAATTTATTCGATTTTTACCCCACCTTCATTACTTTATAAGTAACTCAGGGTGATGAATATACATAATAGTCCTTCCTCCTCCTATTTTTCCCACAAAAACCACAAGCCTGTGAGGCAGGTTGGGCTGAGAGAGTGATTGGCCCAAAGTCACCCAGCTGGCTTTTATGCCTAAGAACTAGAACTTGAAATCTCCTGGTTTCTAGCCTGGAGTTTGGTAAACTGATCTTAGTTAAGGTTATGATTCTATCTTTGAAGCAGAGGCGTACAATCTTGGCCATGTGTGTTTGCAGGATATCTCCAAAAGTTGCTGTCAAAGTTATCAATATGGTTTGAGGAAATTATTAAATATAAAGAGAATGATTGTGTTATTATGAGATATAACATTCAAATTTAATGAAGTCAAGTTTAGTTAGATTTCTTTGAAATGCAGGAGCCATGAGAACACCATGAGTGCGTGCAATACTGTCTTCTGCTAGACGTTGCCATGAAGCTTCTCTTTTCTTTTTGTTGCAGGATGGAAGTATAGCACTGGCTTCGTTACTGCAAACATGATAAAGGACCATCTTCCTCCCCCCTCTGGGGACACTTTGATTCTGATGTGTGGACCTCCACCCATGATTCAATTTGCCTGTCAGCCCAATCTTGAGTTTCTGGGATATGCAAAAGAGAGCACATTTGCTTACTGAACTTGAAAGTAATTCATTTAGCAGATGTCATAGCTACTATGGTTATGCAAAACATTTGAAGGTGCACATTACAGAGTGGGTTGATGTAAGCAAAATGTTCCTTGAAGCATTAAAACAACCATGACCTGTAGGAGTGTCCCTACAACTACCTTGAAGAATTTCCCCAAATGTGTAATTATGCAACTACTTTGGTTGGCCGGCAATCCCAGAGAAAGTGTTGTTTGTGCACGAATACTGTAATGGAATGCACACCTGGAAGAGCAGTGGGTTGGTGGAAGGGACTTGTGGCAACACAGAGCTTTTCCAGAGACAGGCTCAGAGTAAGAGGCTGCATAGTTCCAAGCTCTGTGTGTGTGTGTGTGTGGGGGAAGAAGTTCAGGGTAGCCACAGTCTAGAACAGGGGTAGGCAACCTTGGCTCTTTTATGACTCATGGACTTCAACTCCCAGAATTCCCGAGTCAGCTATGCATAGTGACTCGGGAATTCTGGGAGTTGAAGTCCATGAGTCATAAAAGAACTGAGGTTGCCTACCCCTGTTCTAGACTGTGGCTACCCTGAACTTCTTCCCCCCCCCCACACACACAGAGCTTGGAACTATGCAGCCTCTTACTCTGAGCCTGTCTCTAGAATCTTTCAGTATGTATCTAGTCAATTAGGTTACAGTTTTAGTCTGGCCAGATTCTGTCTATTAACTGTAAGCAAATGAAGCAATGAACTCAATTGCATGTTGCGGTATCGTTTCTAGGCCTGGGCCTGACAAACACACATGCCACAGGACCTGTGCTATCTCATACTTTCTAATGCCTTGCCTAGCCTTAATAAAGTTTTATAAAGCTTTTTTTTTGTTTCACGTGAATGAAATGTCGATACATTTTGTGGACTTTGAATTTCCATATGATTTTATGTCAGTTTTTATTAGTGTACAAAGCATGAACCGCTTTTGAAAAAAAGTTGGTTAGGAATTAATTGCAATGGATAGTGGTATGGAGCCCATGGCTTCTTGTAAGATCTGTAGTCCATTTTTTTTTTTTTTGCAGTTGTTGAATCTTCTTCTGGCCACAGTTGCTGAAGCTGACTTTCAGTTTTTCACCAAGGTAAAAACTATGACATGCAGTTTTTAAAACGTACAATTAAAAAGATTTAATTCAAGTATGGCCAAAAGAAATCCAACTGGGGTTTTGCTGGGCTTAAATAGCTAATTTATATTCAGATTGGCCTCCCCAAATATTGATTCCAGATGAACCAGATGAAACCATTAGCACACCAAGATATCCCTAGAGAGAAAGCACGCTCCTCACCTTCCTTAGTCTGACACAATCCTATTGACGAAGTTCTTTATTGGGCAGTCTCTGACTGAAGAGAAGCAGGGATGCATTTAGCTTGATGTTTCTTGTAGAAAAGATGCTGGTCATGTAAAAAGAGCCATCTAATTACCATCTGCTATGTTGGCAGGACCAAAATGTTTGTCTTCTGAATCAAATATGTATGCAGGTTCACATGTGCAATATTTAGAATAACCATGCAACTACAGCACAATTTCTGATCATAAACTTCACCCCAAGCTACTGGTGAGAAATGTGCTTCATTATAAACCAACTTAATAGCTGTAAATACAACTAAGAGTGACATCACCTAATTATATGTGATACCACTTGGAGCATAAGCATTTTCCACAGAAGACTTTAATATTTAGATAATAAAGGAGACAAGCAAGGAAATTATAAATATTTTAAACTGTTCTCATGCAGAACCTAAATACCTCATTTGGATTCAAAATATTCTGCAGCAGAGAAATCAAAATTCTGCCATTTACTGATATACGATACTCCGGTCCAAAATATTTTACCTTGTAGCCCAAATAATGCTTCAGCTCCTGGGAACACCTGTATACATGCTTGTAATGCAACATTAGTTTTGTAAAAAAAAATGTACAATAAAGTTTGACGTTTGAACATGCAATATTTTAAATCCAAAATTATACCTGTACAAGAAATAAAATTATGCTCAAAAGGATTGTAGGTCTGAAAGGGACCGCTTCTGGATGAACATTGAGCCATGTCTCTGCAATTTACCATTGATTATAGTATCCAAAGCTCTCTTACTTAACTGTGAAAGCTGGGCTGGTGCCAAAGAATAAATGTGTTGATATCTTCAGGTTAATACTTGTGCAGGAAGAGTACACTCAAGGCTGTGCTTATGTCAGCAATAACTTATGTTGGGAATGTATTTTGCAAACAAGGAATTTGTTTGCCACTAGGTGGCAAACTTGTATAAGGATATTTAGATGATCAGGGTTGCATTAGAATTGCTACTAGCCCTTTAATTTAAGCCTTTAAATTGTAGATTGCTACAAGCCTTTTAAGACAGATAGGCAAATATTTCCACAAAAAAAAATATTAAAAAAATGGGCTGATTGCCCCCCCCCCAAATCACTCCTGAAAGAGAATAGTGTTGAGGTGTGTCCATTTATTTCATTTCAAGAGGAAACTGAAACAGACAACAGTGCTGTTGGAGATAAGACAGAATACCACGTCAGATTCTAATTATTAACAATATTGCCCTGATGTGAAAATTTGTTCTCACACACCCCTGAAATATTACTAATCCTTCCCCCTGAATTTAGATGGTGAACTTGGATCACAGATTTTGGTGGCTTAAGTGTAACTATTAATTATAACATTAATTAAAATTATGGTTCTTTTCTCACGAAGGTGTTTTTCTCTCAGTTACTGTAATTTAAGAAAATATTAAAATTAATAGTTGGGAGATGACTTCAAGAATTTTCTGCCCTGAGAAATAAGTGGGATGAGACAACAAGAAGTCCAACTGTGGGCATTTGCTTGGTCCCTTTGTTGTTTTTCATGCTTCCAATTAAGTTCGATCTACAGAATATTTCAAAGAATGTTTAGCTTTCAGCTGATTAGGACAAAAATAAACTGATCTGCAGGGCTATTATGTATAAAGCAGTGATGAGTTTTCTGACTGTATGGCTATGGTCTAGGACTGGGGTGTCCAACCTTGACAACTTTAAGACTTGTGGACTCCCAGAATTCCCCAGCCAGCCATATTGCCAGGAAACTCATCACTGCTTCCTTGATGTCAGCTGTGAAAACCTATGCCAACATGCTCTTATGTGTTTCCTTTGAATGTGTAAGTCAAACAAAATATAGAATTTAGTAATATTTAAGTAACTGTAGAATTTAGTAGTAGGTGTTGCGTGAATTAATGCACCCATTCATACCCTTGAATGAAGAACAGTCACCTCTAACATTTCCATAGTTTCTATCACACTACAGCAATGAAACATTATACAAATAACTAATGTAAATTGTTTGTTAACCTGTCACCACTTGGCCCGGATAACAAGGGTTCGTGTTGTAGAGCAGTGGTTCTCAACCTTTTTAATGCCGCGACCCCCAACTGGTCATAGGTCGAGGACTACTCAACCGTCGTAAGTCGAGGACTACTCAACTGGTGCAGCACCGTTTGCAGAATGGGACTTTTGGCGGGCTCAGCAGGGCAGAGACAGCCTGGACAATTCCTATTGACTTTTGAAAGCCAATAGAATTAGACTCTATTCAAGAGAGTCTATTCTATTGGCTTTCAAAAGCCAATAGAATAAAAGGGAGTAGCACAGCTAAAGAAAAGGGGAAAAAATGGCGGACTGCGTTGTTTGGCGACCCCTGTGAAATGGTCGTTCGACCCCAAATGGGGTCCCGACCCACAGGTTGAGAACCACTGTTGTAGAGTGCATGTATAGTTCAGAATTAGCAAGTGGAAGGAAGACAAGAATTATTGCAAAGAGGATAAGAATGATTTCTTCATCAACTATTGGGAGCTTCTAGTACTCGGTAGGTGATACTCATCATAGTTATTAGTCAAAGTGCTCAAGAAAACAGTGAGTGTATCAGTTGGTGGTAGCACCAGTTAACATTGTCCATCTTTGAAAATCAAACAGGAACAGACCTGGTTAATTTTTGGATGGGAGAACATCAGAGAATATAAGATTGTAGAAGCTTTAAAAAAAAATGAAGAAAAAGGCAACTTCCATACTGCTTTAAAGATAGTTGCATGGTTGAGTCTACTGAGTCATCAAGGGTTATGTTGCTCTTGATCATGACTGTCTTTTGAACCAATGAACACATTTTTAATACATCAAGGAATCACTTTCTCACTACCATAATTCAGATTCAATATACATCATTGCACAAAGTACACTAAAGAATAGCTACAGCTTTGAAATCTATTGCAGTTCCATTGCTGTGCACTATAACCAAATCTTAGAATTACAAAAGATAGAAAAATGGATCACTATTAAATTGTTCGTAGTGATTAAAACAACAGATCTTTGATTTCCAAATTTCTAGAAAAATTGCAGTTTGTTGAATGCATGATTTTACTAGCTAGACCATAGTGTTTATCTGTATATATATGTATATCCTTTAAAAGCACATTGAACATTCACATATTTTAGTGGCAAAGAAAATGATATATTTCTAGGTATAGCATCCAGCTTGTTGCATCAGTTTTCTGTCATAATAGGAGAAAGGATTTAGTGTTATTCCTGTGGCATCTTCATCTCCAGTCCTCAAAAGTCGATGTTAAAAACTGATCATTGTTCAGCATTTGATCTTGGCTTAACATTGTCTGGAAATTAAAAAACATCAAGCCATATCTAGTCAGATGCATTAGAAAGTAAGAAATGTTTTTATAATTTATGAAAGGGTTTACCCAAAATCCTTTTCTCTATCAGAAGCCTAGGCTTCTTCATTCCTCTCTTAAAGGATCCAACATTTTGAAATTAATAGTGTTTTCTTCCATTGACCTCAGTGGGAGGAAAGAAAATAAATAAGGGGAGCCTGATAGAGCGCAAGAATCCATCTCTTGCATGGGGATGGCAGCTAATATTATATATTTGCTGATTAACAATGATCAGCAATAAAACTTCTAGATGGTCCTCTTGAATTGATACATACCGTAAGGTTGTTTATTCCTCGAGACAGCTCCCCTATTTGCATCGCTGTTCCTTCTGAATGGTCCATCTGCAAAATCATTTCAGCAACTAGATGAAATTAAAGCAACCATCCAATCTTAGTCAAATCGGCATGCACAAGTTTTGGGATAGCTGAACTGTTCCACACATAAGACAGATGTCTCTGTCTTCAAGAAGTTGAAGTTAAATTACACGGTTCCCCCCCACCCCCAATACTGGAAATATTTCCAAGTTGCATGTTTTCCATAAACATATATCCCACACCACTGCATATAACAATTAGTAGGTTAATGGGACCAAAAATGAAAAGGCAATTCATTGCAACTTTTTAAAAAAGTTCTAGTTTGATACTATATTTTTAAATAAAAAGAATGCAACAGACCTGTTTTCAGTAATTCAAAAAGCTTTTCTTGATCTCATGCACAGATTCAAATGTTTATCATACTATTTTAATAGTTCAAACATTCATGTTCATTGTTTAATACATAAGATATGCATTAATATGTTCAATGCTTCATTATTCTAAAATGTATTTCAGTTTTTTATTTGGCTCCATTATTTAGTCATGGCAGTTATCACTGTAACAGAGAAAGTAGGAATATGTCCACTGTTCTTTCTCCTTTTCAACCCCACTCAACGTCCCCATTGTAAGACCTGAATTTCTGTATTCAGAAATATTCGTGGTGATGGTAGTTTGTTTCTAAACTAATTAGGCTGCCTGTCTTGTTTAGATCCATGGGAGATTAGGTGCCTAAGTACATTACAGCTAATTCTTGTGGCCTATGTTGACTTGTGTTTTTCACACTATCCTTTCCCCTTGCAAATTTTAGAAATTGACATTTATCAGCTAGCCTTACTTAGATGTGTGCCTTTTCCAAAGTTGGATTTCTTATAATCTCCCTATTCCAGATAGCCTGGGCTTTATTTTGGGTTAGACACCTTTGTCTAACCTTACAGTATTCTATATAAATCAGTCTTAAGTAACACTCAAATAGGCCTACCAGCAAATCATACAATTGACTGCATGTGTTTAAGGATTCTTTCAAGCCATAAGGGCCAGCACCTGGGGCAGCACAATTTAAGAGCATAGTTTTCCTCCCATTAAAATAAACATTTTATTTTAAGACAAGACAGTCTCATCTCTGTAATGATTTTTCTAAAGCAGTGGTTCTCAACGTTTGTGTGACGGCGACCCCCGTCACACAAACGCTATGCACATGCGCGGCGGCGCCCCCATGCGCGGCGCGCATGCGCGGCGGCGCCCCCTGAGGGGAGAAAATGGCGGATCGCCGCCTTTGGCGACCCCCGAAAAATGGTCGATCGACCCCAAATGGGGTCGCGACCCATAGGTTGAGAACCGCTGTTCTAAAGAAACAGTAGCTAGCAAACTTATATACTTATTAATATGACTCTAAGATACAGTCCATGAATGTTACTCAGCTGTATATTCCACACTGGCATTCCATACCACTCCAGCGTTCATGGATATTCAACTAAATTTTGATGACTTGTTTTAAATCAATGTTCGGACTGGAAATTTCTGGGAGTTGGAAGTCCAAACATCTTAAAGTTGCCAGGTTTGAGAAACACTGCTTTAAATGAATTGGGACAGAACAGATGGGTCTTCAAACAGTGTGGTTCCGTGGTTTCCAAACTCTAACCATGACTGTTTTAGATGGGCAGTGAAACAGCATATAACTCTAAATTACAAGTTGTCAGGAATCATAATATTTAAAACATGCAAATTCCAAGTTTAATTTTCATTTACTTTGTGGTATTACATGCATGCGTACTGAGAAGCTTTTCTGTACGAAACTGATTCCTGTAAACCAGGCAGATCCTTTATCCTGACTGAGAGGGGAGTTCTCAGTGAGTTTGAAATGAAAAGAGGCTGAGTTCAAAGTTAGGGGGCTAACAAAATGTGAGGAAAAATGTATACTTTATGAGTGTTTAATTTTAAGAAGCTCCAGGAGGAGTTAGATTGAAAGCTGTGTTCTAAAAATAAATCGAACATTAAAATAGTTCCGATTGTGTATAAATCAAACTGATCATACTGAACAAATTACATGCTTTAAACAAAATAGAAAAACAATTTCATTTTAAATGAGAGAAAAATGGAATGTGTTAGATGTAGTAAATCATGCATATGAAAAAAAACTTTTTGCAATTAATCTTGTGATGTTACCATAATTTTTCTGATCAGTTTAAACGGAGGTTTGGCTTGCTATTTTATATCTTGCAGAAAACTCCAATTGCTCCATTTTTCAGGCTTTTTAAAAACTACTTTACACATGTTTTTATGTAGTATTCCTTGGGACAGCAATTCATAAAATCAGGCTAAGTACTTTTTAAAGCATAATTCAATCACAAAAAGAATAATCACAACAAAAACAATTAGAGATTTTCACAAGTAAATATTTTATTGCTTTCTTCAAGAAACTGTATTTAGATTTTTTTTTAGAAAAGATTGATTAGGCCTATATTGTAATGTTCTATTGTATGTAACCACTATGGTGCAGACGCTGCACAATTAAAATAACATATTTTAATAAAAATATACAATCCAGCTGTGCCGTCAAGAATAAAATAGATCATTCTTACCACTGTGGACATGAAAAAGCTAATACAAAATGTTAAAAATTATTGTTGGGCATTATAAATGAAATATAAAAAGCTCTGTCCTGCCACAGCAGCTCAGAGAGCACTCATGCTCAATTTTAGATGCCTTGAATGTCAGCTACAACTGTTGTGTAAAGCTTTTTCTTTTCCTGAAAAAGGGCTTGAGAAGATGAGTAGGATGAAACAGTTGTAAATGGGGGGGAGGGGAAATTCCAAATGATATTTTAAAGATTCTTCAAGCTTCATCCTAATACATTCACTAAAGACATGCAGATGCATTATGCACTTTAGTTAAATTATAAGAAAAGGTTATCTGTAAGCTCCAGAATGCATCAAGAGGATGAAAGGTGAGTGTATCAGTCCCCTTGGCCCACCTGATCCAGTTTGTCTAATTCTTTGTCAGGGAGGGTGTTATGCACTCTATATGCACTATAGCTCTTCTGAGTGCCATTGGTTATACTTGTATCCATAGGGCAAATATAATCTGTAGATTCATCAAACTTCTTTTTTCTTAAGTTTCCAAAATGTGAAAATCCAAGTTTCTTTGGCTGTCAAGAATGAAGGGTGGGTAGGTGGGTGGAGAAAGAGAGAAAGCTTTGTCAGATAATCACTACACAGGAAACACAGAAAACACTGACAGTTAAAAATGACCCCTGCTAAATAATAACACCTTTCACAGACTTTACAAGATTAATTTGAACATTTTCATTGATTTTTCAAGTTCCTGTAGGAAATGAACAAATGCATCAAAAGGAAAGGGGAGGATTGTCTTTTGCTGAGGAGGATGGTTAGTGATGGGCTCACTGACATAATTTTTTGGACTCCGTATAGGGAAAGTAACCTGAGGTAAAATTCTTTAAAAATCAGAATGTAACTGTTACCATTTAGCAAGTAGTATTAACATATTATTCTTTAAAAGGATATGGATGATAATAGTTTGATAAAGTCTTAAAACAATTTATTCAGTGCTTACGAAGTCACAGTATTTGCAAATCCCAATATAGAATTCCAGGACTCCCTATACAAAGAATCAAAATACTAGAAGATGCTTCAGAAGCTATTTAGTCCAACTTCCTGTTAAAGGCAGATTCTCAAAGCAAGATACAACGGCAGCATCCCTCGTTGGTTACAAGAAGGCAGACTTCCCAAGAAGCCAGACAAGTCTTGAGAGAAGTGAGACTAAACTTTCTACTACTGCCATCATGTTCCTATTCAACCTTGATTCTTCTAGGTACATTAAGTTTAAGATTTTAATGCATACTTTTAAGGGCACTAATTCCCCACCAAAGAAAAACTGATCCCAGCTGCAGAATGGGTGATATGCAAAGTAGCAGAACATAAATAAATGCTTCTTTAAAGCAAACTACTCTACTCAGTGCTGAGAGACACACACAAAGGTCCATATATCATTATGGAGAGTTTTTCTTCCATACCTGCTCCCAAATATCAGACCTCTCAAGTAGCACAAAACCATAGGAGCAACAACCCAGGGTTTTTTTTTAAAAAAAACAAGCTTTAAAAAAATCTGGACAAACAAGCATTATTTCCCAAAAAAGAAAGAAAGAAAATTATCATCGCAAGTATATTGCCCCATAATGAATCCTGGTTAACATCACAGATATGACCGTCCTCCTATTATGTTCACTTAGAAATAAGCCCTACTGTCTCATCTTCTCTCTCTCTCTCTCTCTCTCTCTCTCTCTCTCTCTCTCTCTCTCTGTGTGTGTGTGTGTGTGTATGTGTGTGTGTGTGTGAGAATCAGCCTTGCATGTGTGCCTTTGAATCTGTGTGCCTTGATATAAACCCCTGCATTATTTTGGGAGAATTGTTTTGCCCTTGCCTTCTTCCTAGGGCTGAGAGGGAGTAACTGGCTCAAAGTCACCTAGCTGGCTCCTAAAGATGAAAGAGGACTAGAATTCTAGTTTTCCCACTCCAGCCCAGTCTTTAACTTATGAGACCAGACTGGCTTTAAAATTTAACCTAATATACTGAACATAAAATGAATATGTCAGATGCAACCATCAGCAGGGTAATGTTTACATCATTGTGCCCTGGCTGGAAGCTACGCTGCCTTTCTATCCCACGGATAAGTTTAAGTACAGTATTCCAGCTACTAAAGAAAGGCCTGCCATACTCTGCAGATGCAGATACTGTTGCTAGAGCCTCAAAATGGCTTAATAATTAGAGCAGGTATTCTCTTTTGAGGACACTAAATGAAATCCTCATCCTCACTTAGCCAGATTCCCCAGAGTTCTTTGAGGATGCACGCTCTTAGTGTACGAAAAGCCTCGGTTTTTTTAAATGACATGCCATTATAACAGCTCTTATTCAACTATTTCAAAAGAACTCCTACTGACCTCTCCGTGAAACTCACTCTCAAGTAGTTAACATGAAACATAAGATTGCTGCCTAAGAGATTACTGGCTTTTAAATTGTCAGCTAGGAACTTAAGCAGGATTTCTAAAGTTTGCATGGTTTTTCTATAGCCTACCCGGACTTTTGCGGTAGTAGTCAGAGCTGTATAAGCGGTGGATTCCACGATTTCCCTTTTATCTTGCTGAGCCTCTGGTCCGATGAGCACATTGAAATTTGTGGTTAAGTGGCGTCTTAGCAGAGTCTTTTGGGGTGGAATGTTGAGGAGCATTGCTAGAGTGTCTCCATTGAAACGAGGCTCCAGGATCTGTGGGAGAAACAAAGAGCATCTGTGCTGCTTGAAGTGTGGTCTCTAAGCAGCAAGGTATTCAAAGGCTATTCTGAGGATTGCCTGGTTTCATTTGCTCTGCTAATGTGGGATGTGTTACCGTATCACAGAGCCAGGAAGCGTCAGGGCTTCACATGTTAACCATTATAGTCCGTTTCTAGCAACTCTATAACATTTAACAGGAAATATAAATTTTAAAAATGCCATTTTAAGCGGCACTTCTTTGGGATATCAAACAAAAACATCTGTTTCAGATAGTTATATTGAAGTTTCAGATCTATACTGTAGGGTTAGTAGGCTCTTCCATTTCCATTTGATCACATCTCTTAATGCAAGCCATAATGACTTGGATCCTGGAGTTGTTCCTGGGATTTTGAGTCAGCAGAAACTCCCAATGTCAGGAAAAGAAATGATTAATCCCCTTTCCTCCTATATTTCCATGCTATTCTGGAGGGTGCCCCATTCAACTGCAACAAATCTGTGGGAGGGGATTGTAACAAATATATAAAAAATTCCAACTTTTCTGTCCAGCAGTGAGAACTTTGGGGAGCATAGTTTTGCTCACGGAAGCCAGGATCCAAGCCAATGTTTAAAAAGGGGTATTGGTCATTTATAACAAGCCATTGCCTCAATGGATATTATAGTCGAATGATGAAAAATAGCACAAGAGAAAGAACAGAAAACTATAAGAAGAGATGAACAGAATTAAATAGGACTATGTTTGCACACATACACACACACACACACACACATCTACATTCATAACATCTGATGTGTCATTTTTAGAGGCACAAAGGAAGAAATCAATTGTAGAAAAAGATTTAAAAGAAGGAAGAGGAGGATTATATGCTTGATATAATGTTATGAAATGTATACAGTTCCTAGACTAATGTGAGCTTGTTTAAAATAAGATAAACAATAACTGATGTCAAGAACACAATTGTTTTAAAATGCATTTGTAACTGTCCATCTTCAGTCTAAGCCACTTGAGTTTGTACTGTTGTTTAAAATGATTCACGATGAAAGATAATTTGTTCTCCCTTGCCTGGGATAGTTTATATTCATTAAGCCTCAGCCAACATTTTATCAATTGAAAGTAGTTTCTGCTCTCCAATTTATTTCATATATGAAGTGCTAATGATTTGGGTACTGGTTTATAACACAAGATGATTTATAAAATGTAAGTTAAATATTGCCAAATTTATTTTACATAAAACACTCAGAGAAAAAAATTTCCATTGTAATAAACTGACTTTCCTTTTCTTCAATCAACAAAATAGACACAAACAGTAAAAACTGAAAGCTGCTGTGTCGATAACTGTCAAGTTAATATTTCTATTGCAAAACCTAAAGGAAATTAAGCTCTTTTCTCTTACGATGAGTCCACCGTGAACGCCGCTTCCTCGAAGGTTTGGTGCATATTCTGCCAAATCTACTGATCTGAGCCATTCCATCACTCTATGATTGGACCATTGAACTACTTCTGATGATGAAACATTATTCTGTGTTGTAGGAAAAAAAAAGGCATGGTAACTACAGTAAACTACACCTAGGTGCTGCTAATAAAGTGATGCTTTCTAAATATTCAGTAATTCTTCCTTAATCTGTTTTGTAGCTTTTATTCCAATTTCTTTCTCACTTTTTCCACAAATATCCATTTGCATTTCAATCTGTAAGGTAAAAAGTAGGCCGGAATCAATCTTATACTTAGAATTGCATATAAATATGGGCCTGGCATTCATATTTCTCTGAACAGAAGCAAAAGGCAAAGAGAAATTAATAGTGAGCTTGCCTAGGAACCAAAAAGTCTGAAAGATTTCCTCACCAATGGGGATACGAGCACTGAGTCTAGGAAGCAAAAATCAATGATTTTTATCTCACCTCATCTGCTGGTCTTCTGCGTAAGCAATGCGGGTTAAAATTGTTCACGTGTAGCACGTGGATGGCACATTTAATACTGAGGTGATGCAGCTGGCTTGTGACTTTGAGGAAGAGGAGGTCATTCTGTAAAGGAAATCATTGTTTTAACAGAATAAAGCTATTAAACTTCAGAATTAGAATTTCTTAGAATTTTAAGAAACCAAGACAACACAATTTTTCTTTTCCTATTGGAGTCTGTATGTACCACCATTGTGATTTCTACTACTGTTATCAGCACACAAAGTAAGAAGGGAGGCACTGTTTCTTGTTCTGTCACCACAGAATCTTCCTCGACTGACAGCCACAACTGGAAACAGAATTTCCATTGCTAAGCAAGGCAGTTGTTAAGTGAGTCATGCCTGATTTTATGAACTTTTTTTGCAATGTTTGTTAAGCAAATCACAGGGCCGTGAAGCAAATTTGGCTTCTCCCATTGTCTTTGCTTGTTGGAAGATGGCGGGGAAGGATACAGGTGGAAGTCACATGACCCTGGGACACTGCAACAGTCGTAAACACATGCTTGCTGGCAGGTGCCTGTAAGTGCAAGGATCAATCTTAAGTCACTTTTTTCAGTACTATCGTTAACTTTGAATGGCTGCTAAACAAATGATTTTAAGCTGAGGACTATAAAATACTGGGGAGTCATCAGTTTAAGGAAGATGCAATGCTGTCTAAATGCAACTAATTAGCGGGCGATTCCCCTCTATTTTATAGAAGTTGACTGTTTCTTTTGCCTATTCTACATCTCAGTTCTGGATCCCGAAAAATCTGGTGGTTGTTTTGTTCTGTTCTATTTTGTTTACTCCTTTGTATTATGATACTGGCAGTATATATAAATACATTATGTATATATGCCCCTTTATGGATTACTGCCTTGTCGTGGCGAAGGGGCTTGCGTAACTCAATGAAGCTATAAGCTATGCCGTGCAGGGCCACCCAAGACGGACAGGTTATAGCAGAGAGTTCTGACAAAATGTGATCCACTGGAGAAGGAAATGGCAAACCACTCCAGTATCTTTGCCATGAAAACCCCATGGACAGTACTAAAAGGCAAAAAGATATGACGCTGGAAGATGAGCCCCTCAGGTCGGAAGGTGTCCAATATGCTACTGGGGAAGAGCAGAGGGCTAGTACTAGTAGCGCCAGAAAGAATGAAGCGACTGGGCCAAAGCCGAAAGGACGCTCAGCTGTGGATATATCTGGTGGTGAAAGGAAAGTCCGATGCTGTAAAGATTTTTTCTCCATAGGAACCTGGAATGTAAGATCCATGAATCAAGGCAAGCTAGACGTAGTCAAAAAAGAGATGACAAGACTGAACATCGACATCTTAGGAATCAGCGAACTAAAATGGACAGGAATGGGTGAATTTAACTCAGATGACCATCAGGTATACTACTGTGGGCAAGAATCCCTCAGAAGAAATGGAGTAGCCTTCATAGTCAATAAAAGAATAGGAAAAGCAATACTGGGATACAATCCCCAAAATGACAGAATGATCTCAATTCGAATCCAAGGCAAACCATTCAATATCACAGTAGTCCAAATCTATGCCCCAACCACTGGTGCTGAAGAGGATGAAATTGACCGGTTCTATGAAGCCCTACAGCACCTTATAGAATTAACACCAAAAAATGATGTCCTTATCATCATGGGGGATTGGAATGCTAAGGTAGGAAGCCAAAAGATAACCGGAATAACAGGCAAGTTTGGCCTTGGAGTACAAAATGAAGCAGGGCACAGGCTAATAGAATTTTGTCAAGAGAATACGATGGTCATAACAAACACTCTTTTCCAACAACCCAAGAGACGGCTCTACACATGGACATCACCAGACGGTCAACATAGAAATCAGATTGACTATGTGCTCTGCAGCCAAAGATGGAGAAGCTCTATACAGTCAGTAAAAACAAGACCAGGAGCTGACTGTGGCTCAGATCATGAGCTTCTCGTTGCAAAATTTAGGCTTAAATTGAAAAAAGTAGGGAAAAGCACTAGGCCACTCAGGTATGAACTAAATCATATTCCTGATGAATATACAGTAGAGGTGACAAATAGATTTAAGGAACTGGATCTGATAGACAGAGTGCCTGAAGAACTATGGATGGAAGTTCGCAACATTGTACAAGAGGTAGCAACTAAAACCATCCCAAAGAAAAAGAAATGCAAGAAAGCAAAATGGCTGTCTGAGGAAGCTTTGCAAATAGCTGAGGAAAGAAGGGAAGCGAAAGGCAAAGGAGAAAGAGAAAGATACACCCAATTGAATGCAGAATTCCAGAGAGTAGCTAGAAGAGATAAGAATGCCTTCTTAAATGAACAGTGCAAAGAAATAGAAGAAAACAACAGAATAGGGAGGACCAGAGATCTCTTCAAGAAAATTGGAGATATGAAGGGAACGTTTCATGCAAAGATGGGCATGATAAAGGACCAAAATGGCAGAGACCTAACAGAGGCAGAAGAGATTAAGAAGAGATGGCAAAACTACACAGAAGAACTATACAAGAATGAGCTTAACATCCCAGATAACCACAATGAGATGGTCACTGACCTCGAACCAGACATCCTAGAATGTGAAGTGAAATGGGCCTTAGAAAATCTGAGCAACAACAAAGCTAGTGGAGGTGACAGTATTCCAGCTGAGCTATTCAAAATCTTAAAAGAAGATGCAGTAAAAGTGCTACACTCAATTTGCCAGCAAATTTGGAAAACTCAACAGTGGCCACAGGATTGAAAAGGTCAGTTTACATTCCAATTCCAAAGAAAGGCAATGCCAAAGAATGTTCAAACTATCGCACCATTGCACTCATTTCACATGCTAGTAAAGTTATGCTTAAAATCCTACAAGCTAGACTCCAGCAGTATGTGGATCGAGAACTACCAGAAGTACAGGCAGGATTTCGAAGAGGCAGAGGAACTAGAGATCAAATTGCCAACATACGCTGGATCATGGAGAAAGCTAGGGAGTTCCAGAAAAACATCTACTTCTGCTTCATTGACTATGCAAAGCCTTTGATTGTGTGGATCACAACAAATTGTGGCAAGTTTTTAAAGAGATGGGAGTACCAGACCATCTCATTTGTCTCTTGAGAAACCTATATGCGGGTCAAGAAGCAACAGTGAGAACTGGACACGGAACCACTGATTGGTTCAAAATTGGAAAAGGAGTCTGGCAAGGCTGTATACTGTCGCCCTGCCTATTTAACTTATATGCAGAGCACATCATGAGAAAGGCAGGGCTAGATGAATCAAAAGTTGGAATTAAGATTGCCGGGAGAAATATCAACAACCTAAGATATGCAGATGATACCACTCTAATGGCAGAAAGTGAAGAGGAACTAAAGAGCCTCTTGATGCGGGTGAAGAAGGAGAGTGCAAAAGTTGGCTTGAAACTCAACATTAAGAAAACCAAAATCATGGCATCCGGCCCTCTCAATTCCTGGCAAATAGATGGGGAAGAAATGGAGGTAGTGACAGATTTTATTTTTCTGGGCTCCAAGATCACCTCAGATGGAGACTGCAGCCAAGAAATTAAAAGACGCTTGCTCCTGGGGAGGAAAGCTATGGCAAATCTAGACAGCATTCTAAAAAGCAGAGACATCACCCTGCCAACAAAAGTGCGCATAGTCCAGGCCATGATTTTCCCAGTTGCAATGTATGGCTGTGAAAGTTGGACCATAAGAAAGGCTGAGCGCAAAAGAATTGAGGCCTTTGAACTGTGGTGCTGGAGAAGACTCTTGCGAGTCCCTTGGACTGCAAGGCGTTCAAAACGGTCGGTCCTAGAAGAGATCAACCCCGACTGCTCTTTAGAAGGCCAGATCCTGAAGTTGAAACTCAAGTACTTTGGCCACCTAATGAGAAGGAAGGATTCACTGGAGAAGAGCCTAATGCTGGGAAAGATTGAGGGCAATAGAAGAAGGGGACGACAGAGAATGAGATGGCTGGATGGAGTCACTGAAGCAGTAGGTGTGAATTTAAATGGACTCCAGAAGATGGTAGAGGACAGGAAGACCTGGAGGAATGTTGTCCATGGGGTCGCGATGGGTCGGACACGACTTCGCAATTAACAACAACAATGTATATATGAGAGGCAGTTTGATTTAATGATTAAGGCATCAGATTAAAACAGGAGACCATGAGTTTTAGTCCCATCTCAGGCACAAGGCCATCTGGGTGACCTTGATCCAGTTACTTTCTCTTGGCCCTAGAACGCAAGCTATGGCAAACCACTGCTGAAAAACCTTGCCAACAAAACTGCAGGGACTTATCCAGGAAGCCTCTGAAAATTGGACACGGTTGAACAAAAAAAATGTACATATAGTACGCTGTTTAGATTGATCTACCATTTTAATATGGGAATAATAATTTTTATAGGATTGAGATGTATTGTAGAATGAGATTTATCCTTTTTTGTAGTATGATTTTAACAAAAACCATTCTCTTGTTTTAAGCTAGAGCAGCAATTAGTGTTAGTTTTTTTAAAAAAGAAAATGTGTGGGAGTTTCCCATTGTCATGTTTACCCTGAACATCCCAAAATGGTCTGGGTTAGCTTTCTGTCCACTCAAAGTATCTGAAAAATTAAATACTGACAATACTTGGGAATGAAAATTCTAAATATGGTTTTGAAAGAAAGGAATGCTGGGATAAAATTATTCTCTTCTGCTCCAGGTCACACATTTGAATGAAAGACAGGAACTTTTGCCAGTCCCAAATTTTGAAAATACAGATTTTAGCTACCTTACCACAGTTAGATATTGCAGCATTCTGCCATCAACTCGTGATTCATGAAACTGATCTTTGTACTGAGGTAAACCGATATCATCAAGCCATCCTGTGGAATGCACATAAATATATTTTACTGCGTAATAAAAAAACCAATTCATTAGTTCACAAGACTAAATTTCGTTTTTGCAGAAAGTTTCTTATATAACTTCCTATATTCTCTGGGGAATAATATGATTTCCATCCCTATTGTTTGTGTTCTTTCTACATATTTAATATTTTTCCCATCAAAACAGCTTTTTAAGAAATCTTCCATCTAATTTCATAGTTTATATAAAGCAATGCAATGCTTTATATGTCAAGGAAATAAAATTGAAGAAAATGAAAATAAAGCCACTTATCTCTGTAATGTTTCTAGAAATGAAATTAAAGTTGAATAGGGTTTTTTAAAAAAACACATACAAATGTCTAAATTGTAAAGTAGGCTAGAAACATAATCAATCTGTTTTTCATTTCCTTTTGCCATTTCAAATACTTACGTGTAACCCAGATATGATCTAACTGTGCAGACTTATCATCTTGTTTTGCATTTATAGCTTTGATTGCCAAAACCAATTTCTTCCTGTGTAAAGGATGCTTAATTCCTAATTCCTGTAAGGGCAAGAAGTGATGATAATTAAAACAGTACCTTTCAACTTGACACCTCTTCAAATAGATCACAATTGGAAATTTCCAAAATAATATTAAAGTTTTAATGTTTAAACCTCAAGATATCCAATTTGTTGTATGCTAGTACATGACATAAAGTTGCTAAAAAGAGTAACTGTTTTGAATAACTGAATAATTCAATATATGCATGGCTGATTTTTTTTTGGACCTATGGATCATAAATACTGTATTTCACTTTTAAGTTTAAAATATGCAGAAAAAATTATATTTGAAAAAGGGTTGTGCAAAGTATGTTTGTGTGTGTGTGTGTGTGTGTGTGTTTGTGTATAATTGTAGAGAAAAGTGAAAAAAGAAACTGAGTTTACTCTTTAAAAATCCTTATAAAAATGAACACACTAGGAAAAGCACACACAAAATATGTTTGTACTGCCTTTTACTTGGTTTTCTGTTTTGTTCTATGAAAATTCTGGCAAATCAACCCTGAACAATTGTTTTAATTCCTCCATTTCTCTATGTTGGCAACCAAATTTATATACTCTGCCTACAAAGATTTATTTATAGGTACATTACATAATTAAACCTACTTATTAATTAGAGTTGAATTAACAGTGCCTTCTATTGGATTTACAAGTCCTGTTATTTGGTTTATGTTAATAGCTATTTTAGGAATATTCATGATTCATTGCTATAAAGGGCCTTTTATTAAATGTATTTATTTATTAAATGTATTTATTTATTAAAAAAATAAAATCTTTTATTAAATGTAGAGTGGATCTATAAAATAAAATAAAAGCAGTCAAAATAATCTAAAACGCTCCCTTGAATCAGATATGCACCATTTAAACATAACTTATTCTGTCCCTCCACTAAACTTTTAGTATAGCCTCTATAAGTGACTATCCTTAAAGACAGTTTTCCCTTCTCCAAAGAATAAGGGTCTTATGTAAAGCAACCTGACAACTACTATTCATTTTCCCTGCTTAGACCTCTGCTTTATATTTTTGGGAGATAATCCAACCATACTGCTGCAGCCAGATCAAGTAACACCATGGGATATTACTTTAATATTTTCAAAATTACATATAACAGGGTTGGAAAGTACCTTGGAGATCTCCTAATCCAACCCCCTGCTCAAGCAGGAAACCTTGTATCATTTCAGACAAATGGTCGTCTAATCTCTTTTTAAAAACTTCCAGTATTGAACACCCACAACTTCTGGAGGAAGTTGTTCCGCTGATTAATTGTTCTAACTGGCAGGAAATTTCTCCTTAGTTTCAGGTTGGTTCTCTCCTTGATTAGTTTCCATCCTTTGCTTCTTGTCCTGCCTTCAGGCACTTTGGAGAATAGGCTGACTCCCTCTTCTTTATAGCAGCCCCCTAGATATTGGAACACTGCTATCATGTCCCCCCTCGTCCTTCTCTTCATTAAACTAGCCATGCCCAGTTCCTATTGCCATTCTTTATATATTTTAGCCGCCTCTTCCTCCTCCTCCTCCTCCTCCTTCTTCTGCCATATCCATTATCGGATGTTGGCGATCATGTTGGCGATCCTGTTTTAATTTTAGCCTGCAGTCCCCTAATCATCTTTGTTGCTCTTCTTTGCTCTCTTTCTAGAGTCTCAACATCTTTTTATATCATGGCAACTGAAAATGGATGCAATATTTCAAATGTGATCTTACCAAGGCAAAGTAGTACTAACATTTCACGTGTTAATATACAGTATCACCTGAATGCACCAGCAAACAGAAAAAAAAACCCAGAATGAATTCTTAATGGAACTTTTAGCAATCTAGAATGTTTACCTTTTCCATATCCTGAGGTGTTGCTGTCAGAAGTGTATGGCCAGATGTTATCCACTGTCTTGCAAAAATGACATACTGACCAAGACCAAAGTCCTCAAGCCAATTGCAAACGCGTTCAGTGCCCCATTGGGCAAATGGGGCATTATGATCACTAAGAACCATAATTAAGGAAAAGGGATTTAATTTAGCATATCATTATCAACAATATGTGATCCATAACTGGGACTAAGTTGTAAGATAAATTGAATAAATAAATATATAACACTTTTCCAACTATCAGTCATTTCAGATTAAGGCCAGAATCACTTAATCCCAGGATTATTATCATAATAATATGGGGAGATTATATGCAGAAAAAACTTGAGCACAGAGATATCACACTTTATACTCTTAAAGTATTACCAGTATATTTTTGTTTCCTTGCAGTTGGATTTATTTTCAAGAATAAGGAAATTTATTATGCATCACCTGACTTTGAATATTAATAAAATTGTAATATTTCTCAGAAACATACAGATGAGCTAATTTGGCAAAAATGGAACCCCAATAGCTTCAGCATGACATTTAGATTTTAGCATTTCATATTAATCCCATTGCAAATGTAAATGAATTTGCTCTTTGGTCACTTGCTATGACTCAGTTGCAAACAATCAAAGTCCATTTCGTTAAAGTTAATGGGAAGTAGACTAAGTAAAGAAGCAAACATTATCCTTGCTCCAGAAACTGCAACCAAATATAAGTGGGAAAAGAAAAATTCCCACTGAACAGCTACGTGAAGCTGCGTAAATAAGAATTACTACTTATAAAGGTTCCTAAACAGTTGAATGTAGCCTGTACAATTACAAATACACATTCACCAATTGGTTTGAAAATCTCTACATAATGATAAATCAATGTTTTTCACTACACAGTGAATTTAGTCAAGGGACTAAATACTTAAGCAAATAGTTAGCCACAGAGAAAAAAAATAGCCATCTTCTACCTCTTTTGTCCCTTGGTGTCCTTTGACCGAGATAATCGAGGTCCAGCTGTTGCACGGAGACCACCTCTTCGAAATTCAACTAAGCCTAGATCATCTCCAGGGAAATTTCCAGATTGAGTTCGACGTATCCTTTTATGGAGATATTAAAAATGCTAAGTCATCAGAAATTCATCTTTCAGCAACTTTTACATACCAATACCTGAATTTTTAATGTCAGGTATCCTACATTTCTAATGTTTCTTCAGGTGGATTCATTAATTTATTATTACTTGTGTTTCCTGGATTTCCCTTTTATATTTTGTTTTATTGTGCGATTTTATCAATTATTATTATTACTATACATGATGTGTGCTGAACAATGTAAAATAAATAAATGTGAAATAAATAAATAAATGAGGTGTGGGGGGGGAATACACTTACTTTCCCCATATTTTTTTAATTCCTTTTGGACTTCTTTTACTGTCTGGAGATAATGGAGACTGTGCACCTGAAACTGTTCCAGACGACAAGGGTGAAAGTTCCTCTGAAGTTGTGTGGTCAGGGGCTCCTGTGGAGTACAAAGGATATTTATGAATCTCCAGTTGCTCAGAGTATAAATCACTCAAAGCTGCTCATATATATTGGGCAAAATTGCAAAAATTTCCATCTGTTGTTTCTTGCAAAAATAAAAGCCTGCATCCTCTCACGTGTACAAACTGGTGTTCTATGGGCAAAAAAAGTATTTGTACTTAATTTACTCGGTTTACAGTCATGCTGGCCATATGGCCATTGAAATAGCTTTGGACAATGCTGACTCCCTCAGCTAAGAAACAGAGATGAGCACTGCCCCCTAGAGTTGACATAATATGTTATGCTGGCTAAGGAATTCTGGGAGCTGAAATCCACAAATCTTAAAACTATCAAGGTTGCAGACCCGTGCTCTAGGAAAAACCTTTACCTTTACCTAATCCAGGGGTAGGCAACCTTGGCTCTTTTATGACTCGTGGACTTCAGCTCCCAGAATTCCTGAGCCAGCATGGCTGGCTCAGGAATTCTGGGAGCTGAAGTCCACGAGTCATAAAAGAGCCAAGGTTGCCTATCCCTGACCTAATCTATAACCTTGGATGGCTAGCTGAAGACTTCACTGATCATATTATAAATTGAGCAGGTGTCCTATGATGGATATTGGTAAATATAGCCTGATTTATAACATGGATGCAAAAAAGATTGTTCAAATGAATGGAATTCTCTATGGCATGGAATAGCTAAAATGTTTTCCCATAAGCTATGTTTTGCATGGTTTAGTGGCAAAAATAAGATGCATTTTAAATGTTTTTTTCCGAAACCTAAGTGTTTTCCCTTGAAGCACTAAATACAGATTTCAAGCATGTCCAGTATCCATTAAAAACCACAGAATCCCTCGTGTTGCTCTCTAAACACAGTCTTGTATTATTAGGACCATATGTGGCTTTCACTTGCTGGATCAGAAATCACAATTAAAAAAGGCAACTCCCTGCAATTCGTCTTTTCAATAAAGTTATTTATTTCTAGCATAAAGGTGGCATTTTAGTTAGGTATACAATACCTAATATTGGTGCACTGACACTCCTGATGCGATCTTCACTCATTCCAAGAAGCAGAAAGCCATATGAAGAAGCAAAGAGGATGTAAAATTGAAGCAAAACAAAGTTAAAGAAAAGCAGAGAAAGCAAACAGCCAAAGGAAGAAAAATAAAAACATGGACAGGAGGCAAAATAGTAAAGCAGATGAATTTGAATGCTCAGGAGCAGAGTGTGCTACGTACAGATGAAAATCTTGTACTATGAGAAATGTACAACTTAAAATGCAAACAATTTGTAGCAAAAATGTGCATGTTTTCCCTCCTTAAAAACAAATCATGCTGATCTTCTATGCTCAGCTATCAGTTTTATTTATAAAGAGAGGCCAAAGATCTTTTTTTCCAAGGAGAATCTATGCATTTGAAAAGGGCTGTTTATTATTTCGACAGGCCTGAGTTTTTGAGCGTCTCTATAATGTAAATGAAAAGCAGAGGCAGATCCCTGTGGCCTAGTTCTTAGGAATTCAACCATTAAGTCATGCAGCTTATTTACATGCCCCAGTTAAATTTGTGGGTAGCTTCAGCTGACATGATGACATTTCTAATTAGCAATTCAAAAAGGTGCAATAGGTTTACAACAACATGTAGGCAGTATATTAAATAATGATAAATTAAGAATGAAGAAACTATAGTAATACAAGTAAATAATGGAAGTTATCTTTCCTGGGCCTACACTGGCATGGACATCATTGCCTTGGTCTGACAGTGATTTATTATAATCATGAACAGAGGTGTCCACAAGGTTTTTAATGTATGTCACATATCATATTGTTGTGGTTGCCGTTGTGACTTTTCTGCGCATATCCCTGCAGTTGTTCATTTCCAGCCTTTGCAATGGATATAACAATTCAGTATCCACAAAATTCTTCCCAGAATAATAGACACTCCAAACTCTCAGATTAATTATATTTTAGGGCTACCATCAACTAATTATGAAGCTTACAGTTCTGAATTCAGAGAATTAGGAAATCCAATTTTCTACAGTGTAAGAGCCATATATTGATGGAAATTAAGATTCATTACTTTTGATAACATATTATTCTGACAACCAAGTCCAAATTTTTGCTCTGCGGCATTTTAAAAATATTTTTAAACCACACACAAACGCACATAGATAGCAAGCTCATTGTTGTTTCCACAGTACATACTCAGGCTCTGTATGCCGTTGTCCTCACTGCCATTTATACAACATGGAGTAGCAGGTGTATTGTACAAGTGGTTATCTCCATTGTGTGCTGCTCGAGGAAGTTTTCCTGGCAAGGTTTGATACTTGCTGCTTTTCACGTGAGTTTTATTCTATGCACGTTACAATTTTTTTTTTTAACAAAAAGAGAAAAATAATTAAGTCAGCATTATTTCTAAAATACACTACACTTGTTTTGGTCAGCAGCTATCAGCATTTATCTTCTGAGAAATAAAAATATTTGGCCAATATAGAAATTCTCACTGTGCTCAAACATTCTCTACTATTGTGGAGAGATATGACTTTCTGGATTAAAGAATATATCAGAGAGCAGGATTTGACAGCTAAAAATAGAGTAATGAGGGCAGTGTTCATCACATATAAATATTTACATGCCACATATCAAAATCTATATTTTATCTAATTATTTTATCTTAATTTATCCTTGTATGCTACTGGAATCACTATATTATTTAAGGAAATAAATGCCACCATCTGTGTGATATCTGGAACAGATGCACCATGGATGTCCTTAATTTATCTGACACTTGATACCTTCTGAGTGCCTGAATTCTATGCTGAATACCCATGGATAGCTTTTATGGCCCATTTAACTATTCCCACTGTTGAGAAGCCTACACAGTCCATTTGTTACAAATACCTAATTTTTTATCATTTATAGATTAGGAAAGCAAGGAGTAATGTGTTAATATTTAGTTACACAAGCATTTTGACATGACTTCATCCTATTATACCTACTCGTTAGCCTTAGAAAATGTTAATTTTAAGACTTAACTTAAAATATTTATTATGCAAAAATTAAAAATAAAAGCTTGGCTCATTTGCACAGACTGCCCACATACAAAAATTCTCAAGCACACATTCCATGGTAACACAGATAAGAAAATTACACACAAAATAAAGAAATGGTTTTCAGAGTGTAAATGTTAAAATGGAGTTAATATACCTCTTCTCCTAGATCACGTTCTACTGGTTTCCCATCAACATGCTATGAAGTTGCAAGAAGGGCAATTTCAAAGTATGAGGGAGAGAAAGTAACAAAAGATTAGTGTAGACATAAATGATGTGATATTTTTAGTCCAGTCTGTCGGATAACAATAACAGGTTTATTTTCTCCTCAATATCCAGTGTCCTGCTATACTGCTATTAATGTGCATGTCATTTCTCATAAAAATACAGAGAATGATAAGGGGTCTGGAGGCTAAACTGTACAATGAATAGCTGAAAGAACTAGGTATGTCTACTCTAACAAAGAGAAGGACTACAAGTCACACAGAAGCTGTATTCCAATACTTGAGGGACTGTCACACAGAAGAGGTGTCAACCTATTCTCCAAGGCACCAGAGGGCAGGGCAAGAAGTAATGGGTGGAAGATCATTAAAGAGAGATCCAATCTAGAACTAAGAGGAAATTTCCTGAAAGTGAAGACAATCATGGAACAGCTTGCCTCCAGAAATTGTGGGTGCTCCATCATTTGAGGCTTTCAAGAACAGATTGGACAATCTTTTGGTATAAGATCTTATGCTCGAGCAGGGGTTTGGACTATAAGACCCGAAGGTCCCTTCCAACCCTTTTATTCTGTCTTCTAAGTCTAGCTTCTACCAAGTCAATGGAATCTGTTGCATGAGTTGCTACAGACAGTATGCTGAATGGAGTCACCTTCCATTCTTTCTGATCATTAATTCACAGAAAACAAACTTCAAAAGTTGGCTACTGCAGAAATCCATATACATAGGACATGTTGGAATATAGTAAAATGCAGAAATCCATATACATAGGACATGGTGGAATATAGTAAAAATAACATCCACTCCAATCTCACCACTCCTCCATGAACACAATGAAAGATATACTAATTGTACTAATCAGTGCTTATATTGTTTCTGTATGTGGAATGAAAGACCTGCTGATTTCCCTCTGAAAGTGAATGGCAATACATTTTTGCATTTAGGTTATACAGGTTGGATTCAGCAATATAGGCAGCACAGAGAATGCATGGAAGTGATGCAAATCTTCTGTTCCATCGTTTTATTATACTAAAAATAGAAATAGAACAATCTGTTTATAGTGAATTCAGCTGGAAATAAGTTGCAACTGAGCAACTTCAGAGAAAGGTGTGCACTGAAGAAAAACTTCATTAATGGATGGTCAACAGTTTTATAAAACAAATTCTCACAAGTATGGAATCCCAGGGCTCCGGTACATGGTATGGTTCAGTTAGGATGCTGCAAATGGAACAGAATCTGTAATATTCCCGATAAACATTAACAAACCTACCATTTCTGGCCTAAGGGTATGAGGTCTCCCTTTCAAGTTTTTGGCCATAATCAGCTATTTCAGCTTCTGCCTAGGATCTATCTGCCAATTGCACATGGTATCAACACAATCTCTGGTATCAGCATTACAGTATATCAATCTCAAGGTCTCACTAAAATCTGTTATATAATAATAATAATAATAATAATAATAATAATAATAATAATAATAATAATAATAATAATAATAATAATAATAAAGTTGGAAGGGACCTTGGAGGTCATCAAGGCCAACCCCCTGCTCAGGCAGGTAACCTTATACCATTTTGGACAAACGGCTGTCCAGTTTCTTCTTAAAAACTTCCAGTGTTGGAGCATTCACCGCTTATGGAGGCAGGTTGTTTCACTCGTTAATTGTTCTAACTGTCAGGAAGTTTCTCCTTAGTTCTAGGTTGCTTCTCTCCTTGATTAGTTTCCATCCTTTGTTTCTTGTCCTGCCTTCAGGCACTTTGGAAAATAGCTTGACTCTCTCTTCTCTGTGGTAGCCCCTGAGATATTGGAACACTGCTATCATGTCTCCCCTCGTCCTTCTCTTCATTAAACTAGACATACCCAATTCCATCAACCTTTCCTTATATGTTTTAACCTCCAGTCCCCTAATTATCTTTGTTGCTCTTCTCTGTACTCTTTCTAGAGTCTCAACATCTTTTTTACATCGTGGTGACCAAAACTGGATGCAGTATTTCAAGTATGGCCTTACCAAGGCATTGTAGAGTGGTATTAATACTTCACGTGATCTTGATTCTATCCCTCTGTTAATGCAGTTAATGCACTGTGTTGGCTTTTTTGGCAGCTTCAGCACACCGCTGGCTCATATTTAAATGATTGTCCACTAGGACTCCGAGATCCCTAGTATGGACATCCAAATTATACACCACAAAAGAACAAAGTAAATGTGGAAAACAAGGAGAAAATAAACCTTAGAATTATATAGTAATTGGGAAAGTTAGTTCTTCATTTACTATACATGAGAACACAAATTATACTGAAGGAATACAATGGAAAGCCCACAGATTAGCCTATTAAACTATACATTATCTTCATGATGAATAAATGAGTATAGTTAGTTATGTGCAATCAAATTATTTTAGATTTGGATTTATATTGCATATGTTGTTCAGAATTTATCAAATATATAGTTTCTTCCTGATGTTGGTGATTTAGCAGATATTGATGTATTTGACAGTACAGACCATTTTTTTTTATCTCAGTAAGGCAACAGTGGAATTAGAATTATTCTGCTACATGAAACTTCTATGGATTGAGCTTTATATCCAGCTTTATGTATATTATGCATATTTATTAGACAAAAATTGAAATATTGGAGCTAACCTTTTCCAGAGATTCACTTTGCAAGTCTTCTAGACTACTTGAAATTTTTTTCTGAGATATCCTTCAAAATATAATGGCAATAATTAATGAAATCATACATATACCAAATCACATTGATGATAGCAACAATTATTTGACATTTACAAAACCCTCCCACATAACCTGCAATCTTAAGTTTGAATAATAAATGCCACCAGTAAAACTCTTAGCTGTTAAGACATGGGTGTGTCCATGTACATGCAAATAGACTAGAGCAAGTTAAGATGCTTCCAGAATGTTAATATGGACATAATTTGTAATATACATTGTATATGAAGGCCAGAAGTGTACTGGTTTTTGACAGATACATCGGGAATACAAGAATTTTTTCCTTGCTACCCAAATGCCAGAACACAGAGCCTCCAGGGCGACTGATTTGTTTATCAAAGGAAAACAAAATAGACTGTGAACATAATAACTGAATTATTATTAGACCATGTGGGAGGCAAAGGAGGAAGAATGAATTGCACTTTATAGATCATATAAAGAAAACACATAAATGTATAAAGAACGAGTGAATAGGCTGTGAGGAAGGGGAAGACATAAAAGCTTTGGCTGATGGATTTAATAATATCCTCCAAAAGAGAAAATTCAGAAGTGGTGCTTAAATTAGATCAACTTGAGATTTGTTTCCTTTTTTCCCCTTACCACTTATTTTAACTTCTTTCATTCAGTGCTATACTCTTTTCTGTGCTTTTCATAACATAATCTACTTTGAAAGGTAACAGCATGAGGTATATGCATCAATGGATATATTGACAGAAAACCTCATTTAGATAAACTAGACAATAAACTCCTACAGATGGACCAGAATACACAAGTTTTTCTAACTCATTGTAACGGTACCTGTTACAATGACTTTGATAATTTGATCAAAAAATTTTCACAGTTATTTTCTTACCTATTTTGAAATTCCAGGGTTTCCCCATTTGTCAAAGATAGTTTATTTGAGGGAACTGGAGAGCTTCCTCTGCTGATGATAACAATATAGTGTTATTTGAATTTGAATTTAATTTAAACAGAATATAAGGGGCAATCTTTTACTTAGTTTAACCCTAACTTAGGCTATATACCCAAACATACATAAGTAGCCCACAATTAACTGTGAAAAAAAAATTGTATAGCAGAAATAGGATACATTCAGCTACATCAACAAACTAAGGAAAAAAACAGCTCTTACCTGATTTCCAGAATTTTTTGTGGTGCAGAAAGCAATATAGGTGGGGCCAAGTCCCCTTGAGGTATCTATGTAAAAAGCATTTCAGTGTGATTAACTTTCACAGAAAAAAGTGACAAATTAAGTGCATAACTGAAAGAAAGAATAAGCAAACCAACCTCTGATTTATATTCTATTTGTGGCGCATGCATGTGGTTCCATTTCCTTAAAGTTGCTTCAAAATCAACTTCACCACTACCAGACAAAACTCTTTCTGAGGTCCCTTGAAGGTGCAAAATTTTGAAAACATCAGTTAAAAGGACAAAAGCTCACAATATTACCAAAGTCTAAATACCAATTGGCTAAAATCAAATATGTAAAGAATTCAGCAAGAAAAGTTAAATAAAGTGGATTCATTTAATAAACAATTCCTGATATATGTTGCTGATTGTTACATAATCTCTTTAACACAGCGGTTCTCAACCTATGGGTCGCGACCCCATTTGGGGTCGATCGACCATTTCTCGGGGGTCGCCAAACAAGGCGATCCGCCATTTTCCCCCCTCAGGGGGCGCCGCTGCGCATGCGTGCCGCGCATGGGGGCACCGCTGCGCATGCGCGCCGCCCCACGCATGCGCAGCACGTTTGTGTGACGGGGGTTGCCGTCACACAAACGTTGAGAACCACTGCTTTAACAACTACATAATTCTACATTTTCTAGAAAGGAAAAGATATAATTTCCTGAAGTTGTAATTTAGAATTGAAAATGGTTGAAGGAATTTAAGAATGTCAGTTTGGTGTAGTAATTAAGGCACTAGCTATTAACCAGAAGACAGCTAAGTGCTAGTTCCACCTTAGGCACGAAACCAGCTGAGTGACCTTGGGCCAGTCACTCTCCCTCAGCCCTGGGAAGAACTTAATGGCAAATCACTTCCAAAAATCTTTACAAGATAACCGCAGGAACTAGTCCCAGAAATTTATTTTTTATACAAAGTATGTAAAAATGCAAATATAAGGATAAAGTACAAATAAATAAAGGATCTTAAAAAGCTAAGGAAATTATAATTTCCCAGTATATCATTAGTAAATTATGAATGATTGAATATTTTGCCTTAGATAATTAAAAATCATATTATGCTATGAGCAAGAATTAATTTCAAGAATCATGGCCCGTTCAGTATAAATCACCACATAAAATTATAAGTTACAGCTGACACAATCAAAACTGAGAATCTGTTCTGCTTTAAATGTCTTATGAAATTGAAACATAAACCCTGTATATAGAAGAACCAAATCACTAGATGGGGAAGAATGGGGTTTTGAAGTAATTAGATCTGAATTAGCAATAGCACTTAGACATATATACCACTTCATAGTGCTTTACAGCCCTCTCTAAGCGGTTTACAGAGTCAGCATATTGCCCCCAACAATCTGGATCCTCATTTTACCAACCTCAGAAGGATGGAAGGCTGAGTCAACCTTGAGCCGGTCAGAATCGAACTGCTGAACTGCTGGCAGCTGGCAGTCAGCAGAAGTAGCCTGCAGTACTGCATTCTAACCACTGAGCCACCTAGGCTTCTAGTTTTTGGCAATCATGTAAATACAGCTCTACAGCTTTTAACGTATCAGGTGGCTAGATTATTAGGGTTCTCTTCTGTAACCCTAAAATGAAAGAATACATCTACTGTAAATAATTTTAAATTTAGAGATTTGATGAAGTAATTCATTAACATTGGTCCTTGTAGAAAAAACATTACAAATACTAATTAATTAAGATGATTGAGCATCATTTGAGCTACAGCTGGTGCAGAGTGCAGCAGGGCGGGTAGTTTTGGGAGCCCCAAGAATGGCCTCTGTAACACTACCCATCTGCTTCCGAGTGCAATTCAAGGAGTTGGTAATCACCTTTAAAGCCTTTCATGGCATGAGTCCAGGTTATTTGAGGGATTGTCTCATCCCACTGGGATTGGTCCATATGATTTGTGCCAGCAGAGGAGGCATGCTGCGGATCCCATCAGCCCGATTATTCTGGCTGGCGGGGTCCAGGAAGAGGGCCTTCTCTGCTGGAACATCTTGCCCCCCCATTGTGAGGTTGGCCCCAACCCTCTTATCTTTTTGTAAGGGCCTTAAGACATGGCTTTGCCACTCAGCTTGAGGCTTCAATGGGGGAACCAGCCCAATGGAGGTGGTTGATTGAATAATAACAGATCCCACCTTTCCCCACCCTCTCCATGTGTCTTTGGTTTTAATGTTTTTTTTTTGTTAACTTTTTATGTTTTAACTTAGATGTAATTGTAAGTCTCCCAGAATTACCCTATGGTAAGATGGGCAGCTAATAAATTGTATAAATAAATAATATTTGTCTCATTAAATTAAATAAATATAGATAGTGCAGTATTATAACTCGGATACATTTTGAGGATGCTTAAAAAGCATAATTATTCTTGATAAGTAGTTCTCTAGTAACTATTCATAGAAGGCAAGGTAATTTTAATATTTTTCAATGTTTGAGAAAAACAAATATAGATTGTTTCATGTTATAACAATATATAAGAAGCTTCTGGCTAAAAAAAGTTTTCCTCAAAACAAATAGATTCAAAGATCTCTGTTGAAGATATAGATAATTGCACATGACTTATTTCAGAGGGAAAATCTTCAGAGTTTCATGCCAAATAATATTTGTTAGATTTCCCTATATAGAAGGAGGTGCTAATCAAATTATATTTAAAGAAAATATAATTTATGTAACATTAAATCAAAGCTATAATATATAAATACCATATATGTAAGAAATATAAAGTACTATATATGTATGAATATGTGGAGGGAGGGAGGGAGGGAGGGAAAGAGAGAGAGAGAGAGAGAGAGAAAGAGAAGGATGGTACAATAATCAAGTTATTTTTTATGTTGTTCCATTACAGTTTTACCCATAATAGCCAAACATAGTTAATTACAGCAGATTGGATCACTGAAAGTTTTGCGGTAAATAAGCTCTTTTAAAGATACATTACACAACTGGAAAATATAACCATACACAATAAAATATTGCCCCATAATATTTAGTTTACATATTACATTTAGATAAATGGAGGCAAGGCCATAGAGAAGTTACTTCTTGCAGTTCTTCCTGTATTTTTTGCCTGCTCTGGGGAAAAACTGAGCAATTTAGCACAACCTTTTTGCTAGACCTATCATTTAAGAAATATTAAAGGATTAGTCTTGGCATTAGCCTAATAATGACTACAAGATGAGAAATATGATGATTAAAGTAATTTTTGATGTCAAGTTATGTACCATGTCAGCAAGTATTACACTATAGCTTTATTTAAACTGCAATACTATAATTATAGCTTTACTAAAACTATAATGCATTAGTTATACATTATTATGGCTAAATAGATTTAAAACTTATTTTATTTGGGTATGCAGCTTTTGTTTTAAAGAAGGAAGAATAAATGTTCTATATATATATTTTCCATTCTGACTAGATATCCACATAAAATGTCACAGTTCCTGTCTGGATTTAGAAAAGCCTAGTCATGAAGATAAGTGAACACAGAGAAAATAGATTAAGCATGAAATCATTTTAACAATGGAAGCAAGAATTATCTGAATACAATATGCCATCCCATCCAATAAATGTTTCATGCTTAAAGAGGACAGTTTGAAGAATGTAGACATAGGAGACCAAATACCAGCTAATATTCTTTCAACTTTGATTGTTTTTCTCATTAGTTTTACGTTGTTGTGGGAAAATCATTATTAAACAATAATAATGCTTCCATTGTCAAAATTATTATTATAGTAACTAAGCAATACTTTGAGCTCTCACATCTGGAGACTTTTGCATTCTATACAGGTAATAATAATAATAATAATAATAGTAGTAGTAGTAGTAGTAGTAGTAGTAGTAGTAGTAAAAGTAAAGTTGGAAGGGACCTTGGAGGTCATCTAGTCCAACCCCCTGCTCAGGCAGGAAACCCTATACCATTTCGGACAATTGAGGTGATTGAGATCTCAAACAATGAAGCTTCCTAGAGAACATAAATGGAATATTTGTTATGTTACAATGTTCTCTAAATTCCTGCACATGTGATAAGGTTATGAATTACACAGAATACAAAACACATTACATTTATGTTACACTCACCAACTTATCTTGCTGGCATTCTTTCCCCTTTTAATGATAAGGTTTTAAAAATGTGTTCCAATGTAATTATTGTACAACTTTTACTGTTATGAATGTTTTACAGTTATTAAATGAGAGTTTTATCACTTCTTCTTGACTTGCTAATGATTGAAAGGCATTTGCAGGCAAAGATATGGTGATTTTTTATCCATATCTATTCCTTGTATAAAAAGGGTGATTTGATCAGTTTTTTCTTTATCTTTCAATCTGTACTTGGCTGTTCAGTTCTTTCTGATTCTTAGTGATTGTCTACATTGCCTGTCAATAACTGCTTTTTTGAGTTTTTATAAGTTCAAGTTTAAATCACCAGAGATAATATAAGTCATGTTGTCTTCTATTAGCCTATTTTTGATTGCCTTTTATTTTTCCAAGGATCAGGCCTTCTCTAATACTCCTGTTTTCACATTGTGGTTCAGTATATCTCAGCAGCTTGATTGTTAGTTGTATTTTCTAGGACCCATTTCAACTTCATATCTAGCTCTAATTCAGTGATCAAATCTTTCTACCCATCATCAATTTTACAGTCTTTTTAACAAAGTTGCTCCAAATATTTTCACTTTAATTTTCTTTCTTCAGGAGATCTATGAGTTCTATATTTACATAGCATGTTATCCTAATTTTCTTAAATAAATCTCCTGTATTTCCCTCCAAATATTATCCACACCCTCTTTGTCGTGTCTGTTTAGATGTAATTCCTTAGATGTAAGATGTCTCTTCTTATTTAATCCAGCCTGTAGCTGGGCAAACTGTTGCCTTCTGAATACAGCCTTTCTTTAGTTATTTTCAACATGTCAGCAGCAAGCTATTTCTCTTTCTTTTACTTTTTTATATTACCTTGTAGTAAACAGCTGCATAATCGTTTTATTTTAAAATGTTCCCTCTGAAACAACCGCACAAGCTATTCAATTTTAAAGGAAATGGAAATAGGCTGTTTTTTCCACAACTGTATTTCTATATAGTAGCTTGTGGATTATAGCTCTAATCAATATTAAGCTATGTTTGCCTGCTATAAACACAAATAGTAGAGCAAAAAATTGTTTAATCTTCTTTTACTTTTCCCATATTGACACTGCAATCTACTGATGAAAAGCATATGACTACATAATAAACATAGAGGTTATTACACTGAGTTCAACACAAATATCCACAGAGCTACAAAGAAGAGACAGTAATGAAGGCAGTTGGCCATTTTTTTGAGCATTAGATAAATTTTAGTTATTAAATTAGATGAGACCATTTTGAGGACCTTCCAGTCAATACATCAGTAATTAATTATACCTTGGACCGCTAGCATTATCTCTTTCACCCTTCGGTACTGGCCTAGCAAAACAGTTAACTCTTCTATGCGACGGTCCTATAAAGGAAAAAAACAACAACGCTGAATTTATAAGAGTATCAAAATAATCAAACACAGAAAGTTCTGAGTGGAACATTAGATACATGAGACTTTTTCTAGTCTTCCAAATCCTGAAGTTATTTCTGTGGGATGGTTTGTAGGTAACCCTGTAGGTAGGTTATCCCATTATCCTTTAAGACTCTATGACAGGTATGGAAGTGTCCGTGTATCAACTCCTGTGATAACAGATGGGTGCTACATTAGTGCTCCTGTGTTTTCTGGACATCCTCTTCTGAATCAAATCTGAAATAATGCACCATCATATTCAACAGTGCACAAGTGCATTGGTGTGCCTCTGCCACTCCCTCTGCAGATGGATAGCATCTCGGTAATGGGACAGCATGTGAGGCCACTTGCAACATTTTTTAACTACAACTATTAGCAAAATAATATACACGGTATTTGCTTTAAAAGTCACATTATTATTTCAGGAAGATGCATCAGCCTGTACATTAATACAAAACTATCTATCATCCTCCATAGGCCCCACTCTTCTCAAAGACATACTAGTTTAATTTAGTTAAACCACACAGTTGATTTAAACTTTTGATACGCTGATACAATCCCCAGAATGATAGCCAGTTTGTTCATGGAAGTAAGCCATCAATCCTTTCTCCAGTCCAAGTATTCATTAGACATTATTGGTTTTATTTTATTTCCAGGTACAAAAAGAAGTATGGTTAAGGTCTCTCCAAGTTAACGAAATGGGTGAAAAAAAAATCATGATAGGATAGTTAGCTACTTCAATTCTGGATAACCACATTTTGAGAAATACTGACATAAAATTATTTAAATTACCATGCAAAGAAGAGGTCCCTTATAAAGAACCAATTCCCCTCCCCAGTTATGGCTTGAATATAATCTATATTCCATAAAATATAAAGAAAAATGGAATAATTATAATAAAAGATTAAGATATTTCACCATTGTAATAATTAAAAATAAAAACAAAATTATGAAAGGCTAGAGACAGCATAAGGAATTAACAAAACAGTAAAAGGCCAGTACGTTACACAATGCCAGAAACCATGACCTTAACATGAGTGCATCATGGATAGCTTCCAAAGAGGAACAGGGAGACAGAGCAGATACTTGAGGAATGAAGAAGCTGGCCAAAGAAATAAATGAGCACGCATTAACCAATTAGAATTGCGCACAGTGAGATTTTGAGCAGCAGCACAGATATAAAACCTTTTAAAAGAGACAATACAAGTGGCATGCTCTTTATCCTCAGGAAAGTTTCCCTTTTCTTGAGTTGGATTGGGCCAGAACTAGCAGTGAGAGAACAAGAGAGATGAGTGAATGTGTGTAGCTATTGAAGGAGTTTGTGCATATTGCTCAAAGAGGAGTAAGAAAGTGACTGTCTATACATGGAACTCAAACAAATAAGGCTAGTTGGATTTGGGAGAAAATTTTGTTAACACTAAATAGCAATATTCATAGCTACATGATCACCTACTGCATCTTGATTTAAACTTTTGATACTCAACATCTTTCAGTTTAAGCAGGGTGGAGAAATGCAGAATGGCAAGGACAGGATATTCCTTAGCAAGGAGGGTTTTTTTTTCTTTTAAAATCTCTCTCTTAAAGAGATTTCTGGAGGAATATGGCAGAATGAATACAATTCAATGGACAAGTGGATCTAACATTTGCAGCAATTTACAAAGGAGCTGGTACAGATTGTCTCATATGATCTTCTGGATCAAAGAGACGAGAAATTGCTCAAGCTGTTTCTCCCTATGGTTGCTCTTCTTCCTCACAAAGAGACTGCAAGACAGTTATCTCTGGTGATGGCGGGGTGTGTGTGTGTGTGTGACGGTGAAATTGGGAGATGGGAATTCACCATATTTTTTCCAGCTGCAAACAAAGTCTTTCAAACGACACACAGTTTGTGCACCTCCCTTGCTACCTATTTTCAGAAATTGTCTTTTACTTACTTTAAACCAATTAAGACACCTGCAGAGTGGAAAGGCTGGAAGTACTGGGTGAGAGCTTTCAGCCTTCAATATAAGAATATAAAGATTTACTTTTATAATCTTTAAGAACTTAAACAGCTGAGAGCAAGACAAAGTTTTGGCTACAGAAAATTTTAAGTGCTCAGAAAATTCTGGAGTTTTGGACTTTGAACATTAAGACAGATTATTTTTTTAATAAATAAATGTATGCCTGTGGGAAAGAAATTTTGGGTTTGAGACTGGAGACATAAAAGACAAGCAATTTATAATGGAGTTTGCATACACCTTTAGGAACTGCAGGGAGATTTGCATCGTGAATTTGATTCATTCATGTCAGCTTTGTTGGGTCTTCTTGAGAACACTTGGTTCCCAGATGAAGATGTTATGGAACAAGTTATGCAGCAAAATTTATTTGAGAAAACTATAACAAGATTCTGAATAAGTATTTGTCACCAGATAGAAAGAGAAGACTCGATTAGGCTCTACAAATTACAAAGAAAATAAAAATGATAATCCCAAAGAGCAATTGCAATAATTTCCTTTTGCTGGATTTACAAAAGAGGCTGTTTAAAATGCTAAAGTAATTTGTAACCAGGATCAACAACCATTTGAATGGATTACAGAAAAAGACTGCCTGTATGGAAGAAAAAAGTTGGTTTATTCGACTAAGAATAAAATGGGCTGTTATTTTGGGTGGCTCTTTCTGAATTTACTGATATTTTAATTGGAAAAATATGGTACTTGATTTGTTCACATTTAATACGATGTAAAAGTTCTTTCCCTTATACCTACTTTATGTAACCCTAAATTTATAGAAGTTAAACTGGCTGTGTATTTAACTGCTTTTTGAAAATTTAAAGTGAGAACTTGGTCTTTTTAAAGGAGAAAATATTTCTCTTTGTTATGCTAAATGTTAGTCTTTTGTTTATATTAGGATACTAGGATTATTTTATATATATGAAATGTGAATGCGCTTATAGCTTAGAGATATGGAATATATACTGTAGGGATAAGGTGCTTTTTGGAATGTGGTTTATTGGAGCTTGTTTTTTGTAGGGGAGGAATGGTCTCTATCAAATGTGGGCTTTCTTTTATTTAGATTACATTAGGATACTGGAATCATTGTATGGCTTTTAAATGTTATAAATGATTAAAAGTTATATATCAAGCTACGAAGACTGCTTGCACTGGGATAGTCATGCACTTCTAGCTTGCCAACAGTTATGAGGGGGGAGGGGAGCATATGGAATACATAGTGGTTTCTATCCGTATGGGAAACATGGTCGCTCGAGACATGTTATGGCGAGCAGAAAATTTCTTCTCATAACAACTGCCTGAAGACTAATTGGACAATGTGACCTGAACTGTCAGAGAGGAGAGGGAAAGTTTTACTCTTTTAATTATCTTTCTGGCGCCATATTGCCAGAGCTGGTTTTCCATTCATTAGTGCCGGTATGCTTTGCCCAATAAAGTTTTGCATTAGAGAATTGGAATGTCTCAGATATGCTTACTTCATGGGATCATCAGCTGCAAGCTTGACATTATAACTGAGTTGCAAAATGTTTAGCTCCATATATACATTAGCTAACGTTACAATTTTAGATTTTTGTTTGGATCTTTTGCTGGTAACTGGATTGAAGAACAATGCCACTATATGACTTCCCTATGGCTAAGAGATAGGTTAGGGGATGAAGAGTCTTATATTTGTTAGCTAAGAGGAAGTGAAGAGATTACGAAATTGTTTACACTTGTCATGATGAGAGTGGGAAATCACTTTTTGGGGAGGGAGTTCTTTTCATACATTTGTCTTCCTTTTCCTTACATTAGTTTCTCTTTTTTTAGTCTTCTGGTTTGTATTATCTTTTATTATGCTATTCAAAACAATTAATAACATTGTTTTTAAAAAAATCTCTTTAAGAGGGAAAGGCTGGGCTTGTTCTTCAGATCAGATAGGAAAATTAGAACAGAGTTGAGTTTAGCTCTGTAATTAAAGGCATAAGGCAGATGCAGCTGGAAGCTAAACTGATTGTCTATTAGCATTGCCTTCCAACAAACCAAACCAAACCAAACCAAACCCCCAGGACTAACTCATAACTGCTTTCTTACCTTTTCCTGATTTGCAGCCAATAGTGATTCCATTCCTACTTTTAAACACTGGACTTCTTGCTCTAAAAACGGAAACAATATTTGAACAGTGTTAATTACCCCAAATGGTATACAAAATGAGTGATTTAGTGAACCATAATAAGTTCATTGCCCTTCTTCCTATTTAAATGACACGTAGATGACAAATAGTTGCTGAGGATTAGTTCCCAGGTTTTATTAGATGTGCATGTCTCCTTAAAAAAAAAAAAAGGTAAAGGTTTTCTCTGTCCGATTGTGTCTGACTCTAGGGGGTCCTGCTCATGTTTGTTTCCAGCTGAGGGAGCCAGTGAAGCAAAGATAGGTACCTGTGGCCAACATGACTATCTACCAAGGCACATTGTTACCTGCCAACCAAAAAGTGGTACCTATTTATCTACTTGCTTTTGCATGTTTTCGAATTAAGTGGGCAGGAGCTGGGGCAAGACTGGGAGCTCCCCAGGTATGAACTGCCAGCACAGCGTCTTAACCACCAGCCTACCGCCCCCTTTACATGTCTCCTAGAAGGTTTCAATTGTTGTTCCTCTTCCTCACCCTTCTCGCACAATTAGGGATCAGCTTTTTTTTTCACAATTCCACCTTATAATAACCTTCTTTTGGTGGAAGAGAGAAGTTTAGACAGCTACACAAGGGAGGAGAATATGGAAATATTTTCTGTCACTGATTTTTATACAACGTTCAAGTTAATAAAAATACAGCACAAAATGAAAACACAACAGAAAACAATTAGCCTAGAGTTGTGCAGGTAGTAAAAGGTTCAAAGTCTTGTATGCTTAAGTACACACATAACTGTATCTGTGTCTGTATATAGGCAGATTTCTATGGACTATAGAAACTAGTTGCTTATTAAAAAGTAATACAATGTGTCAATATTTTAAATATGAGAAAATGGACAGTTTCAAACCAAAGTAATTGAGAGTGATTAACAGTTTTTTTTTTTAAAAAAACCCAACTGCTTAAAACATCACTTGAAAAGACAAAGATGTTTATAAAGTTTGGATTTTGTTTTTCTTTCCTATTTCTAAGAACAACTGCCTCTTTCTGCTTTACTGAATGATATAAAATTCCTTGGGGAAAAAAAATCTAGTAATGTCATTCAAGAGAAAAATGGTAGCAACTGTTCCACTCTATCTTTTTCTCTTAAATCTGCTTAAGAGAATTTTAGGAAAAGTCTTGTTATGCAAAAGGTATTTACCACATACTATAACAACTTTTCACTAGTCTTATTAAAATATAAGATTTTTGTCTGTCTGTTTCTTTTAATGTGGGCTAACTTCATAATCTTCTTCCAGAATGGATTGCAAGCATGCATGTAATCACTAGATGGCAGCTAAGAAAAATGTAAAACTCTATTTCTTTGCTAATAACTAGGGTCTGCCTGCATTTCTTGCAGCCAGTTTGGTTGCCTTGTTTTAGCCTATATGTAAAAACTTAATTTTATGTTGGATTTAATCTAAGGTGATTTACTGTAATAGAACACTTCAGTCACCCTTCAAAGATGAAACATAGATAAATGGCTCAAATATTGTAAATGCCGCTAACTGGATGGAAGATTCTCCATTGTAGACATAAAAATGTTAGCATTTTAGGAAAAAGATATAGCTGATGATGTAAAAATAGATTTGATTATAGTATCTGCCCAAACAATTCTGAGGAATTTTAAATGGACATACATTTCCCAAGTTTGAGAGTTTTTTGTACAGCAATGCAAAATGATTCAATTTATTTAAGCTTCAAAGAAATAATCTGCAAAGATGGCAATGTGACACACAAGGAAAGTTCAAAGAAAGAATGAACACTAGTTATGGATAGTAGTATGGTATGGAGGAAATATTGTTTAGAGATAATTTCATGCAGAAAATTTGAATTATTAATTCTAATGATTTATAAAGTTTTGTAAAGTATATTGAGGGAGTAGCAGAATGAATAATTATATGTTTTATTTTATTGTATCTTAAAAAATTAAAGTTGGCATAGATGGTGAAAAAAAGACAAGGGCATACAAAATTGCATGCAATGTGCAGTAACCAGACAGAAAAAAAATGTTCATTTTGTATTTAGAGATTTTTGAGAGCCAATTTAGTCTAGTGGTTAAGGCACCAGGCTACAAACTGGGAGACTGTGAGTTCTAGTGGCACCTTAGCCATGAAAGCCAACTGGGGGACCTTGGGCCAGTCACTCTCTCTCAGTCCAAATCACCTCATAGGTTTGTTGTTCTGGCGAAAAGAGCAGGAGGGAGGTAAGTTAGATATGTTCGCTGCCTTGAGTTATTTGTAAAATTAATAAAAATGGGTTATAAACAAACAAACAAACAAACAAACATTAACTTTCTAAAAGAGTCACAGCCAGGTCTTTTACTATTTAAGAACTCTTCTCCTAAAAGTACTTTATTAGACAAATATTTTAAAAGGTCAATTTGTACTTTTTTTTTTTTTTTACAAAACTATAAATGCTGGATGAGTACTGAAAGTAAAAAGGAAATAAGTTCTTAAACAGAGGTTGATACAATTCTGTCATTTCTCTGCAACTAGTAGTGGTTTGCATTTCAAGATTATTTTTTTTTCAACTATCCAGTCTATCCTACAACTTGGCTGTTTACCATCCATTAAACTGCTGCTTAAACATCTGTCAAAATTGTTTGAGTATTGCGACCCTCTGTAGAAAAGCACTTAAAAAAGATCTTTTGCATTTATGGGTTAGATCTAGATTTTATTAAGAATAAACCCACCAAAATCAACAACATGTAATTAAGCTATAGCATTCTAGTTACTCAAAATGTAGCCATAAAGAGCTTGTATTAGAATTTATTGACTTTGACAGAGCCTATTTAAAAGTGTTACATTATTATCTAATTTCAAACAGAGATTTATATTTGTCAGATACAAACAACAAAAATGTTATCTGCAACATAAACCTTACAGTATAAGTAGTCCTCATTTAACAATCATTTTTTCAACAACTGTTATAAGTCCCTGAAGTTATGGCCTTTACAGCATCCCACAGTTATGTCATCGACATTTATGGTTTTTATCCCACCTTTATTATTTTATAAGTAACTCAAGGTAGCAAACTTACATAGTCCTCTTTTCTCCTCCTATTTTCCCCACAACAACAACTATGTAGAGCTGAGCTGAGAGAGAATAACTGGCCCAAAGTCATCCAGGACTTGGCAGTCCATCTCCGGTTACGACCAGAGATGCATATCAAATTCTCCCACTCATCTATCTCCCCAATGTCTCTGCCCTTTTGTCCACCCTGCAGGGACTCCTCGGTGGTGGTGGCAGTGTTGGAGCTAACGCAGAGGCCTGGGGCCTTCAGTAGTTTCAGCTGGCCACTTGCGCTGCTGTCCAAATAGCACACATTATTCTCACAAAGCTACAAAAGGATTGCGAGTATGTTGCAGGCTATTTGGAGAACAGTACAAATAGCCTCAGGAAGAAGGCCTGGCATGACCAGCAGCTGCCTTGCACCAGGCTAAGGTGGGCATGTCTCATTAGCAGAGGGATGAAGACGACACGGCATGGAGTTTGAGGTAGCACTCCTCAGCAGTGGCATTAGAGTTGAACTAGCGACCTGTGGATAATGACGGCTGGCTGAGACTGAAGGCCCTGGGCCTCTATTCAGCCATAGCACCATTGCCATGAAGTGTCAGTGTGCAGAGTGACTAAAAGACAAAGATGAGGGGAGCTGGGTGAGTGAGGAGAATTGAAAGGAAGGCAGAGAGGAGGCAGTCACTCCTTATTGAAGCTTGGGGCTGGGAGGACCAAACCGGGAAGTGGATCAGGGTGGGTCCTCACTTAATGACTGGTGGGGTTTGGTTAGTGATAGCAATGGGAAGTACCAGGATTGCTGTTGCTAAACGATGTGGACATGTGACATTGTAATTTACAACCACATCACTTAGTGAGATAAATTCCGGTCCCAATTTCATCGAACTCGAAAACTACCTGTGTTTAGATCAAGGGAAGGCAACTTTGGCTCTTTTATGACTCGTGGACTTCAACTCCCAGAATTCCTAAGCCAGCATGGCTGGCTCAGGAAGTCTGGGAGTTGAAGTCCACGAATCATAAAAGAGCCAAGGTTGCCTACCCCTGGTTTAGATCATTCAAATAGCTGTCTGGTTGCTTTCAATAATGAGTTATTCACATATATTAAAATTATGATTTAGCAGCAAAATATAAATTAATGTTCACTGCTGCAGAAATGCATTTTAGCTGCAATTTGTGTTTGAAAGGCAAGAAAGGGAAATCTCATGGCTTACGTTTTTCTTTTAGCCTTCTCTTATATACTTCCTCTACAACAGGAAATGGAGAAAGTCAATCAAGAATGCAGGAAAAACAGAGGAGATAACTATATGCATTTCCACTGAAATATGCACCCAAAAATAAAAGATATACTTGACATTTCTAATCTCTTCTCGGTTTTCAAAGGGACATAAGAATGTTTGTAAGGAGCTAAGTCACTTAAAATGCACAGGCCCTCTTTTGGAATCCACAGACAATTCAGTGGTCTTCAACAACAAGTGTATTTGCTAACTTTTCCAGCAATTTTTAGCCAACAGTCACATCTAGTAAACATGTTTAATGCAAAGCATGCAACAACATTATGAATAAATAGAACTCCTATCCATTTAATAAGCAATGCAATTCCTAGTGTGTCTCAAGACATCTTTGAAAAAAATCTTAAAATTGTCATTTGTGTATGGTAAACTACCATTAATTCAATTTTACTGCCCATAAATAGGAGAACAAGATTCAATTATCCATATTTGATCTGGAAGGGTAAAAGGCTGAATAATTACTATATAACATTATGAAACCATCAAGTTGGAAACAGCCATGTACATCATTAGCTGCAACCCCTGACTCAGTACAGGAATCCAAATGAGCTTTCTACCATTTTTACTGAAATACAACCAGTAAACATATATTTTGCTTGTGTGACTGATGTATAAAACATATTGGTAAACAAGAGAGAGTAGGGACAACATTTAATATTGTCCATTATTTTATATAATCTATTCTAGAGTAAGAGTGTAGTTAATAAAAAATAATCCTCTTCCCCAGAATATGGAGAGCAAGTCTATCTCCAGCAAACTCTTAGCAGGAGTATACTCTTGCCTGGTATAAAACAAGATTATAGTGAGAATTTCACCTGAATTGCTACAAGCCAATTAAAACTATGACACAATACTTAGATAATGAAGCAGGATATGGGAATGCAACTGTTGTAACTTAATAAATGCAGAAATGCTGTACGGATAACTGAGAAAATCAGTTTTTATTCTCTCTGGCACTATGGCTATCTATTAGACACTTCATTTTAAATAATAACAATCCATGTATGATTTTTTTAAACATCTGGAAATAACAGAAATAAAGCAAAAACCATTACCTCTCTCTGCAATTTCATTATTTGCTGATGTCCTCGAGATTTGACTCTGTAATCGTTCAATTTCTGAGTCTTTTAGAGCTAACTGTTCTTGAAGCTGTGCTATTTCAGCCTAAAGGAACAGATTCATAATCATTTTATTTCTATCTTAACACTTTGCCAATAAAGTAATACACAAAGAATCACTGTGATTTATTTCTTTTAACAATATCAGTAAACTAAAATAAGCCCCCCATTTGCTTTTATTTTTTAGGGAATTAGAAGACCAGATAATGGATCCATATATGATCCTACACATATCCTGGTTTTACACAGCATGAGCTATTGCTTTAATTAAAAAAATAGGAAGTATTTGGCAATAGGAGTTTCGAGAGAGGAATAGCTTTGGTGTTCAAGTTTCAGAACAACTGTCTATTAAGATATGGTCATTGAACCCTAATTAAGTTTCAGATTGTTCACTGACCCTCAAATTATATGAACATAATTTAATAAATACTACTAATAGTACTCCAAATAATAATAAAGCAGCAATAATAATGGATACTGTAGTCCCACTGATCACTATGCAGAATCTTGGTCTAGAGTCTGGGGAGTAGGTCGCATACAAATTATTGTACATGTACATGGACCTATTTTGACATGTTCTCTATTTCTATGACATTTCTTTGGATTTAACTTCTAGCAAGTAGCAATTTTAAAGAGCAAACTAAATATCCATTGTAGCAGTGTGAAGTAATTGAAATATTCTGTGAGATCGTTCCTCAGGAGCCAGTCTATACAAAATGCTTTTGGCTTTCTTCTGATATTTCCCTATGTTCCTCAGAAACAAAAAGAATCAAAATGCACACTATAATCTTCTGGAAATTAAAATATACATCATAGAACAGTGTTGGTGAACCTATGATATACATGTCAAAAGCGACATAACATGATATTTTGGGTGACATGCCAGTGGATAAGACCTGGCTTAAAAACAGTAGCTGTGAGAGGGACCTTGGAGTCCTAGTGGACTCCATGAGCCAGCAGTGTGCAGCAGCCACCAAAAAAGCTAATAGAATCCTGGGTTGTATAAACAGAGACATAGAATCAAGATCACGTGAGGTATTAGTACCACTTTATAAAACCCTAATAAGACCACACTTTGAATACTGCAGCCCATTTTGGTCACCATATCACAAAAAAGATGTTGAGAGTTTGGAAAAAATTCAGAGAAGAGCAACTAAGATGATCAAAGGCCTGGAGACTAAAACATACAAAGAATGGCTGCAGGACTTGGGTCTGGCTAGTCTAAAGAAAAGAAGAAATAGGGGAGACATGATAGCAGTATTTCAGTATTTGAGGGCTGCCACAAAGAAGAGGTGGGTCATGTTATTCACCAAAGGACCAGAGGGCAGGACAAGAAATAATAGTTGGAAACTGATCAAAGAGAGAAGCAACCTGGAATTACGGAGAAACTTCCTGACAGTGAGGACAATTAACCAGTAGAATAGCTTGCCCCCAGAAATCATGGGCGCTCCATCACTGAAGATTTTTAAAAAGAGGCTAGACAGTCACTTGTCTGAGATGGTATAGGTTCTCCTGCTTGAGCAGTGGGCTGGACTAGAAGGCCTCCAAGGTCCCTTCCAGCTCTATTTTATTCTAACTCCTTGAAAGCACACTCCATTCTCTCACAATTTCTGGAAGATGCCTGAGAATGGGGTGTGTTTTCACGTGGCCTCCAGACCTTCCGAAAATCACAAGGGAACAGAGCACGCTTTCGCATTTGTACATTTTTTGAAGACTGCAGAAGAACATTCTCCAAAGCCGCTTCAAGAATGAAGTCTCATGCGACTTAGAGGTGTCTCAGGTAGGCTGCAGAGGCCTGTCAATAGAAAGAGAATATTGCTTGAAGATAAGCAGGATGTGACAGATCTTGGGGATCACACATAATTGGAATAAACAAACATGTAAAGAATTGTTTCTCTTTTGTTCTGGGCAGGGTAGTGGTAGTGGTGACACACAGCAGAGTCAAATTGGTTCAGATCTTTCCTGGGGCAGAGCTGGAAGGTTTCTCTAAATTGTGCTGCTTACTTTAGTTGCTTTCAGTTTCCATTCATATTGAGTCCTTTCATTTTCAAGCTCTTCAACCTTAATTTTCAGGTGTTTGAGTTCCTGTAATAAATTCTGCAGAGAAGTGAGAGATAAAAGAATACTTCTTAATGACACTGCATTTAGAGTAAAATCATCATTATATTAATCACATGTAAATATTATTATCAATGACAAATACATTCCATGGTTAAATTTATGTTATGGTAAAATGACTTGAGTGAAAATATTGCAGTATGGCAGTGTTTCTTAAAGCATGAGTTTTTTTTATAAAGGGTGGTTCTAAGACCTCTGGGTGTCCCCCAAGAACCTCTCAAAAAATCAAAATTATTCACAAGTCTATTTTGAAAAATAATATAATATTAAATCCCATCAGACAATCAGTAGTAGTGGTAGCAGCAGCAAATGCATCAACTTTAATATTTAATATGGTAAATATTGATAATTATAGCCCATACAAGCAAAAGCTCTTTTGGAATTCTCCATAATTTTTAAAAATGTGAAAGGGCCCTGAGAGAAAAACGTTTAAGAAACACTGCTGTAGAGGAAGAAGAATCTAGTATTCCATTTTATGCAGCAAATGCACTGTTTTATTTATAAGCCAGAAATTTCCATTCTTAATCTCCTTTCATTAATATCGGAGTTTGGTATTCTACAGGTAGTCCTCAACCTATGACAATAATAGAATTTTCCCATTGCATTCATAAGTCATGAGAGTCATAAAGTACATGAGTGGATTGGGTTTTATGATCATTTTTTGCAGTTGTTAAGCAAAATAATTGTTCGCTATGTGGCATTTTTGCCAAAACTCAAAAAAAAAAAAAATGCCAGGTTTGGCAAAAATATCTTGTCCCATGATTATGGGACACTGCATATGGTCATAAATGGGGGACAGTTGCCAAGGGACTGAAATGCAGTCACATGACGGTGGAGGGGCCCAGTTGTTGGAATGTTGTAACTGGGTCACAGACACCTATTGGAGGCCCACTGTAATGATGAAGACTTTTAATTGTTGAAGGAAAAGTCTTCATCAGTAACTTTGAACGATCACTAAGCAACTAGTTATAATTCGAGTACTATCTGTATAAAGTCACTTCAAGTACTACTTTTAGCTTTAATTACAGAAAAAACAGCTTCTGTCAGAGTATCCCAATATAACATGCAGTCTTCTTGAGTGAGATAGAAAAGCTAGGTCTTAAGTACCTCCTGAAACCCAAGAGGGAACAGATAGACTGGATCTATGGATCACATTGGAGCAGAATAAAAAATGCATTTCTAAGATCCTATCATTCTCAGATAGAAGGGACCTGCAGGAAGTTGACCCTACTTAATCTAATCCAATGGGGAAAATAATATATATATAATATTTTGGGTCAGTTTCTTTCAGCTTTGTTTTCTTTTTCAGTCTATATGAGGTAACCCCTTACTATGTTATATTTAATATAAAGCAACCATGCAGATAGAATTGGAGGCATTATTTTAAAGAAATCAGCAGGAGCAAAACAAATATGTCCAAAATGTGATACTCCAAGTTTTGAAAAGCACACTGCAACTTCAACAAACCTGAGCTAATAATAAATCTTAAAATCAGTTTATGTTAGGCATACCAGTGTCAGTCCTATCCTGTTGAATTCTACCAGCTTATCTAAAGTAGCTTTCAGTCTGACATATAAAGTGGTTTTGATCAGAGTGAAAGTTTATTCTACAAAACCCATATGGCCCTGAGATGTTTTTGCAGAATAAGCAATTAACTTTAAAGAGCTTTAAACAAAGAAAAAAAATGTCTGAGTTTTATAGAGGCTTCCCTTTGTCCCATTCATTTGATTCTCTTGAATAAAATGTACAAAATGAATGAAACCAGATGCCTATAACTTAAATACATTTTGAAGACCATTGCCTTAAATCAGGGGTTCTCAATCTTGGCAACTTTAAGACTTGTGGACTTCAACTCCCAGAATTCCTCAGCCAGCTTTGCTGGCTGAGGAATTCTGGGAGTTGAAGTCCACAAGTCTTAAAGTTGCCAAGATTGAGAACCCCTGCCTTAAATGGAGGCCCACAGTCAAGTAATTTTCTCATATCTATCAAATAATAAGAGTTTGATGCACTATGCTAATACATTATAGATTAACCTTTAAAATTACTTAATGGGTTTAATAACACATTAATTACTATAACATTGACTTAAAAACAGTTTATATCTGAAATAACTTTTTGCTTTCCTTGTTAATTATACATTATTAAAACAGATTTACCAAATTAAGAAATTAGGTTCAATATTCCTTACGTACTTCTATAAATTTAGAGGACTGGTTTCTTTAAATAAAAGCATTATAAATTAATAAAGATGCATAGAAGGACCTAAAGACCTAAGGGATATTTAACTAGACATAAGAACATAGAATATCAAGGCTGGAAGGAGTTCTTGTAGTCCAATTCCCTCTTTGAGCAGGAGACCTTATACCATTCTAGACAAATGGTTGTCTAACCTCTTCTTGAAAACTTCCTATGATAGAGCACCACAATTTCTGCAGGCAGACTGTTCAACTGATTAACTGTCAGGAAATTTCTCCTTAATTCTAGGTTGGATCTCTCTTTAACAATCTTCCACCCATTACTTCTTGTGCTGCCCTCAGGTGCTTTGGAGAATAGGTCGACCCCTTCTTCTCTGTTGTAGCCCCTCATATACTGGAAGACAGCTATCACATCACCCCTAATCCTTCTCTTCTTTAGACTAAACATATCTAGCTCTCTCGATCGTTGATCATATGGTTAAACCTCCAGACCCCCTTTATTGCTCTTCTCTCTACTCTTTCTGGGTCTCAACATCTTTTTTAGAATTATTATTTAGATTAGAATTGGATGCGGTATTCCAAATGTGATCTCACTGGTACAATATAGAATGGTATTGTCACTTCCTGTGATCTTGATGCTATCCCTCTGTGGATGCATCTAGGACTGCATTGGCATTTTTGCCAGCTGCAGCACACTACTGGCTCATAATTTAAGTGATTATTCACTAGGACTCGTAGATCTCTCTCACAGTTATTGCTGTTGAGACAGATACTGCCTATTCTGTACCTCTGCATTTGTTTTTTCTTGCCTATGTGTAGGTCTTTATTTTTCTCACCACTGAATTGCAGTTTTTTGGATAGGGCCCAGTGTTCAAGTCTGTTAAGGTCTTTACAATTTGCAGCATGGTTCTACTTTAATAATATACTGTGAGTTAAAATGTTCATATATTAACAAATTAGACATTAAGCACACATAGGAATAATCCATAATTTGAGACTACTTATGTATTGTAAAAGTGTGTTTTACAAATATGCATCCAAAGATGGATCACCATTACAATTTCATATCTGGAATAGCCCGTTATTTCAAGCACAGCTCTTCAGTTTTGACAAAGTTTAACAAAATCCCTTTAAGCCTGTTATTATCTCAACTCCAAAACAAGACAAGCAAAACTTGACTCTTACTTTGTTAAGAAACACAGCATTCTGTAAAGGCAGCATCAGTTCATGCCAAGTGGTCACAGAAACTCTTGATTAGTAATGTTTAGTTTATTCCTCAAAATATATATATATGAAAATGTACAGATTCAGGCTAACATTTGACCTTCATACTTCACACTGAAAGCAATTCTCTTGTGAAGGGAACTCTGACACCCATTCAGTGCTGTTTTGAGAACCAATTGCTTCGACACTTGGCTTCCTACTGTGTGATTTTCTTCCCTGGATTTGATTATTAATCTCCAGTTGCAGTCTACGCATCTGTTCTTGCAGGTCACTGATCAGGTTGACTACTGACTAAATAAGAAAGACAGAAAATGACATCTAGAGACAACATGAAATGAAGCCAAAAACATACTCTCTTGGGGGGGGGGGGAGATGAGATAGAACAATAGGCATTAAGGTGTCCTTTTTTGTGAAATAGTGAAAAGGGTAGGGATAATTCCACAGAACAGATCCCATTAATGCTTAAAACAACTATCAAAACTATTCCTTCTCAATCTTAAGAAGCTCAGATGACAAGTTAACATCGTAAGAGATAAAAATAATGCATGGGAAGACTCAAAAGCCCTTTAGTCTGATTAATGTTTCTAGCTCACTAAGAATGTGTATCTGTAACTGATTTCCTCAACATCTGCCTATGATCATATCAAACCAGTACTTTTTCTGCCATATTGTAGAAGGAAAGCTTGCATCTGCAAAGCTTACATTTCTTAAAAGAACATAAAAAAGGGACAGTAAAAAGTAATGGTGCTACCTATTAACGCTAGGCAACTCTTTAGATTCAGCTGGGAAAATATGCCTGCAAAAACTTGGAAAGACACCACACCTATCTGTAACTCATTACAGCATTCCTTTTTTTGTTTTTGTTTTTTTATAGAATCACACAACTACAACAAAAAACATTCCATTGTAGCTTTGTGATCCTGAAAACAAAAAATGGTTACATTAATGAATTGCGAATAAATACTATATTTATGCTATATTCTGAAGCCTTTCCAAAAAGTACGGTATACAAAGAACGGACGGTCCTAATTCTATATTTTAAAAAGTATCAAAGGCCTCATAGATCATAAGCTTTCATAAAATATTCCCGGGAATTTGGCTATTGTGGAATCTTACTAAACAGCAGAATCCCCCTTGTTGTTTTCATAGCAACAATACAGAGGTATGTTATTACTGGCTTCTCCTGGGATAGTGTTCAATTTCTCAGTCTAGCCTACAACCTGGGATTTCCCATTCAAGTGCTTAACCAGCTTTGACTCTGCTTATTCAGAGCCAACTAAGAAGAACCAGGTACTGCTACTGTTCTGAGAGAATCTTGATAGCTCTTAAAAATCAATTATAAATGCAAGTATCATATCCATCATGATCTACCAATATTTTTCTTTTTAAAGCTGAGTAGATCTCATTCAGGAATAATGAATCGAAAGTATATCTTACAAACACCTGGAGTTCTTTTTTAAATCACAACGATTCAACAACACAGACATTGAAAACATCCTCTGAAAGAAGAACAGCTGAAAATAATATCTCAAAATATAAAGCTATTTCCCAAATGAAAATAGAAGCACAGATAGCCTTTGCAGTGTTCATTGAACCAAGATAGATGAGAAAGTTTGGGTACAGTTGCATCGGGTTTAGCATTCCATAATCTCAGTTTATGCTTTTTTAAGATTATGATACACATAAACACATACCACAGAGGTACCATTAAACTCTCTATCAACATTGTATTTTGTTTTTATTTTTGATGGGTGTCAGCTCACCTATTTTTACGTAAAAGTTAATTTTAAATGATAAAACATTAAAGCAGTAAAAAGTCAAATCTAACTTTATGCTGAAGTAAATTGTAGCTTCTGAGTGGCTTTGTGATTATATATAAATTACGATTGACTTGACTTATTTTTAAAAATAATACAGGGGTCCTCAACTTACAACAGTTAATTTAGTGACCGTTCAAAGTTACAGCAGCACTGAAAAAAGTGACTTATGACTGTTTTTCACACTTATGACTGCTGCAGAATCACCACAGTCATGTGATCAAAAGTCAGATGCTTGTCAACTGATTCACATTTATCATGGTTGCAGTGTCCCAGGGTCACGCAAGCACCTTTTGTGACCTTCTGACAAGCAAAGTCAATGGGAAAACCAGATTCACTTAACAACCATGTTATTAACTTAAGAACTACAGTGATTCACTTAATAACTGTGGCAAGAAAGGTCTTAAAATAGGGCAAAATTCACTTAACAAATATTTCACTTAACAATAGAAAGTTTGGGCTCAATTATAGTTGTAAGTCAAGGACTACCTATAAAGGCAGGATGCAAATGAATAAATAGGTATACATAGATGAACTTTGTATTCATATAAAACTGTATCTTCAACTCATGTAAGAAAATCAATTCCAGGCAAAATATTCAAGAATTAAAATGATAAAAGTCTCGATCTTTTTTCTTGTAGTATCAATTGGAAATATTTTGCAAAAAGTCCTTAAGTTTTGAGAAGAAATTCTGAAGGCATAATTTTGGAGAGAATACATTCTCACTAAGCCAAAAATCAAACTGCAGCTGCATATTGTTTGCCTGGAAAGAGAAATGCAAGTAGTCTTCAACTTACAGCCCATAACCGGGACCAAAATTTTGATTGCTAAGCAAGCTGGTTAAATGAATTATGCTTGATTTTATGACCTTTATTACCATGGTTGTTAAGCGAATCTCTGCAACCGTTAAGTGAATTATGTGGTTATTAGCAAATCCAGCTTTCCCATTGACTTTGCTCATCAGAAGCTGGGTGGAAGGGGCACAAATAGTGACCATATGACCCTGGGAGACTATAACCGTGGCAAATACATGCTGTACATCAAGCACCCAAATTATGATCATGTGATCGTGGGGATACTTTGATGCTCATAAGTGCAAGGACCAGTCATTTAAGTCACAATGACTTCGTAACTTTGAACAGTTGTTAAACAAATGGTTATAAGCTGAGGATTACTTGTATATATTCTGCAAAGGGCATTTATTTTCAAACTAGAAGAGATGGGGATTCCGACAGGTTCCTTTCACTTAGCTGAAAGCAGATGCTAAAACCTTTCCTGTTTCTGTCTCTCAGTCAGGGTGACCCACAGGCTTTACCACCCAATTCTTGTGTGAGAACGAAGTACAAAAATTACAGCTTTGTTTTTCATGACATTTTGTTGTCATAGGAACCATTTCACAGAGTCTATAGAGCCACATGGTTCTGCTACTTTTCTTTCAATCTGTTTCTGTTTATTCCCCTGTCTGGAAAAAAAAAATCTGTTACATTGGTTTCATCTGGTTTCTACTATCTATGTCACTTCTTTTCAGAATTAAAATGGGAAACAGATTCAAGTAGAGTGGGAAAGAGACCTCTCTGATTTAAGCAAATCTGTTATTTCTCCACAGAGTACTATTATCTGTGTGTTTTGACTGAAATAACAGAGATAAATCAAGGGAGATAAACCCAATTTCAGGTTTGCAGCAGAAATATTTATTTTATTCAACTTGGATGCTGTCCATCGCCAATCATTTTGAGATGGCTGACAACAATAAAAGAATACAAAGAGAATTCAAAAGAATACGAAGAGAAACAAATTATAGAAATTAACCAAAACAGGCACCAAAAATAACTAGAAGATAATCATAAGATAGCAATCCAACAATAAAACAAATATATATCACAAATGGAGAAATACCAGGAAGGCTATCCAAAGTTCTGGGTAAACAGCCAGCTCTTAAAGCTTTCCAGAATTAAATCACGGTGAGAGTTATATGGATTTCAGAGGAGACTTTATTCCAGAGGGTAACACTGCTACACAGAAGGCCTGTTTCCTAGGCCCACAAAGATGACAGTGTGTAATGGAGTGGACCTACAATTAATCCATTGTGCCAGATCACACTGGACAGGCTGAAACAATTAAAGATAGGAGGCCCCATAGGATCTCCTCAGGAAAAAAACAGCAAGCTTCTTGACAGTGTCCTCACTGACTTTGCTTGTGGGAAGCCAGCAAATGGCAGTCACGTAACTATGGGATGGTGCAACCATCGTAAGTATGAGCTGGCTGCCGAGTGCCTGGATCACACTTGTGTAATTATGGGTTCTGCAATGGCTGGAACTTTGAGCATCAGTTGTAAGTACCACTTATTCTGTGTACTCACAACATCAAGTGTTACAATGAATGAGCATTAACTGAGGACTACCTATAGATGGGTGCAGAACTGATACAACAATTGTATCCAACAAGTACATACATACCAATGAGTCTACACCAACCAGTAGGAAGGTACTAGTTCAACATATTAATAAATTACTTGCATGAGATGTTAGAAAATGTGAACATTAAATCTGAAGGGAACACAAAAATGGGATGGATGGGAAATACTTTAGAGGCCAATACCAACATTCAAGAAGACTTTTGACAAGCTAAAAGCAGAAAGTAGAAACAAGTATCACTTTCAATAATGACAAATGTAAAGTCCTGCATCTGGATAGATAAAAGGGGTGTTGACTTACCTGAACGCCTTTTCTCAGCACGGAGATGGATAATCCACTCAGTGGGTTGAGACTGTATTTCCTGCCCAATCAGATCAGTCAGCCAAAGTTGCCACACCTGTCCTGGACCACGACTTCCCAGTCTTGACACGAGCAAAGCCATTGACTGACAGTAAGACGTTTTTGGCTCAAACTAACTATACCCTATTATTCTTGTCTATAAGGGTGGGTGTGGATTATCCATCTCCGTGCTGAGAAAAGGCATTCAGGTAAGTCAACGCCCCTTCTCCAGCACTGGAGATGGATAATCCACTCAGTGGGACATACCAAAGCCTATTGTCCCTTGGGTTGGGGAATAGACTGGTCCCGTGTGTAACTTTGGTCTAGAACCTGCTGGAGAACTCTCCTACCGAAGGAGGCCTCTGCAGAGAAGTACTTGTCGATTTTGTAATGGCGAATGAATGGAGAGGGCGAGGCCCAAGTGGCTGCCCTGCATACTTCTTCAATAGAAGCCTGCATGGCCCATGCTGCTGAGGTGGCAGCGCTCCTTGTGGAGTGAGCCGTGATATGCCTGGGGACTTGCAAGGACTCCACCTGGTATGCCCCAGAGATGCATGCCCTAATCCACCTGCCAATGGTAGAGGACGAGACCTTCCGACCCCTAGTGGCGGGGTGGAAGGATATGAAAAGCGCTTCTGAGCGTCGGAATTCCGCTGTGCGTGAAATGTAATATCTTAGTGCCCTGCGTACATCCAAGGTGTGCCATTGTTGTTCCAGGGGA